GTTACAAGTCGACCGTGCGAGCTTCGTTCCTAAAAGCTTGCACGCTTCCTCCCAAAACTTAAAAGTGAATCTCGGGTCCCTATCAGAGATGAACTCCCGACCCACCCCTTCATTTCGGTACACCACCTCGTACCAGACATCAGCGAATCCTTCCGCGGTGATGGTTCCGTGGCAGGGGTAAATGTACGCAAACTTTGTTAACCTGTCCACGAATACCACAATTGCGTCAAACCCGCGTTCTGAGCGTGGAAGACCTGTGATAAAGTCAAAGGAAACACTGTCCCAAGGACTTTGTGGAATCGGAAGAGGTTGTAAAAGGCCGGCAGGCTTCAGATTTGACGCCTTGTCAAACTGACATACCGGACAATTTCTGACATACTGCTCAACTTCTCTTCGAAGATGAGGCCACCAAAACAGACGTTCAACTAACCGGCGAGTTTTGTGGATCCCATAGTGCCCTGACACCTTTGAGTCGTGTAACTCCTCAATGTTTGCTTCTTTAGCAGCTTACTGTCCGGCACATTAATCTGGGAACCCCGAAACCACAAACCTTGCCAATTCTTGGTTAGCTGACTTGACCCGGTCTTTAACCACGGATCAAACGCACACAAAGAAACCAGGGAGTCGGTTAGATCAGGGTCTAACTCCACGGTTTGCTGTGAACGTTCCTTGGCAGGCATGGTGGGAGAGTTTCCTACCTGTGATTGGCCGATCACTGGAGGGCTCACCGTTGCAGTTCCAAAGAATTGTGGCCAAGGCAGGGCCAACCGGATTACGACTGGGAGGATCAGCAACGTTGGTCCTACCTGCTCGGTATTCCCACTGATAGTCAAATCTCTGCAACAGTTCGGACCATCGAGCCTGCCGCCTTGACAAGATTGGTTGTGTCTGAAAGAAGGTGTTTGGTTTATGATCAGTAACGAGTACGAAATGTATTCCTTCGAGGTAACACCGCCACGTCTGCAGCGCGTGCACCACTCCGAGCAATTCTTGCTCACCTGTAGTGTACCGAGTTTCTGCCCCCGAGAGTTTACGACTCTCATACGCTATTGGCCTTCCGTTCTGCATTAGAACAGCTCCCAGACCAATTCTAGAGGCATCGGACACTACTTCATATTTCTGCGACTCGTCAGGTGACGCAAGCACTGGTGCATGCGTTAAAGCCCACTTGATTGCGTCAAAAGCGTCTTGACACTGGGCTGTCCAAATAAACGGGTTAACTGCCTTAGTCAAGTCCGTTAACGGTGTTGCCAGCTTGGCATAATCTTGGATGAACTTCCTGAAATAGTTTGCAAGACCCAAGAAAGAACGTACTTGGTGCACATTGGTCGGTTGCGACCAGTCATTGACTGCTGCAATCTTGGCCGGATTAACCTTAATCCCCTCAGCCCCGACTATGTGACCAAGAAACTTAATTTCGGGTTTGGCAAACTCACATTTCTGTAAGCATGCGTAGAACTTCTCTTCTCGCAGCTTCTCCAGAACGAGTCGTAGATGTTTGTGGTGGTCGGCTTCCGTCTTGGAGTAGACCAAGATGTCGTCTAGATAAATGACGACAAAGTCCCGCAGGTAGGGCTTGAAGATGTTGTTCATCACGGTCTGAAAAGTGGCAGGGGCGTTTGTTAGTCCTTCAATCAATACTTTGAACTGATAATGACCAAAAGGTGTCCGAAAAGCCGTCTTTGGCGCATCCTCCTCTGTGATTCTGATCTGGTGGTATCCCGAGGTCAGGTCAATACTTGTAAAGAACTTCGCTCCTGAGATGGCATCCAATAGATCATCGATCCTAGGAATTGGATACCTGTTCTTGATGGTCAATGAGTTCAAAGCACGAAAATCAACACACAAACGCAAGCCTCTGCCGTTAGGCTTCGGAACAAATAGGATAGGGGCACCATAGGGAGATTTACTCGGTTCGATGATCCCTTGCTCAAGGAACCGGGCCAGCTGCTCTTTAGTCTCTCTCAATTCTAACGGACTCAACCTGTACATGGGCCTGAATGGTGGCACATGTCCGGCCTCCGTTGGAATTGTGTGGCCATACTCCCGTTCTGGAGGCAAACCTGGAGGAAGGGGGTCGACGAAGACGTCAGCAAATTCTCTTTGCAAATCCTTCACCCAAATTTTATCAACAGAGTCAACAGGCTGTCCTGTAGAATCAGCTTTTTGATCCTCAAACTCTGAGACAACTCCAAGCATAATGTGCTGCCCCTTTCGCACACGTCTCTTGACCTGCATGGCCGTCAACAGCTTAGGCGCCTTTGACTCCGAAACCTTCGAAGACAGCTTGTCACATTTTAGAGCGCCTTGATTCACCGAAATCTTGCGCCTGCCTTTCTGAAAAGTGACCCTGCACTTTCCATAGTCCAAGATACAGTGTTGAGCTCGCATAAATTCATCTCCCACGATGAAGTCAACGCCTCCCAACAACTTATCGATGACCAGACATGGCACGGACTTGTGAAAAGCTCCAAACTGTACAAACACTTGAGCTGTTCCTGATTGAGATGTGACATGACTGTCCCCAAGCTCAATCGAACCTACAGACGGATGAATAACCACCCCTTGCCTTTCCGCAAACGTTTTGCTGATAACGTTTGCTTCAGACCCACTGTCAAAAAGACAACTGGCATCAGCACCAGCTACCCGACCAGCCATCTGCATGACCAATCTGCCTGACAGACTAATTGCACTGAGCATCACCGAGGAATCTGCGACGGTTTCTTGATTTGTCTCACCATCACTAGATGGCACGCGGACAGTCTGACTGAAGTCATCAAACTTCTCAGACAACTCGGAGCGAGGATTGGCAGTTGGAGCTAGGTAATACACTTGCACCACCCTGTTTGACGGCACCATTACCGTCTCACCGTTTGCCCCAAGGTCCTCAATCAGCTGTCCCTTTCTGACGGCGTGAATCCTAGTCCAGCCCTGCGGAAAACCCTGTGGCAGCCAACCAGCATTTGGCAACAGCAAACAAGCAGAAGTAGAAAAAGGAGCAAGCCTTCGTGCCTCCATAACATGAGATGCAAGCATTCTTAAGGTGGATGCATTCTTTGCATTCAGCCATACATGTTTGCCCTCAATCTTTACATCTTGCAAAGACTCTTGCGAACTCCAATCTGTGGCCATGTAATCATCAGACTTTGAATGCAGGACACCGAAGTCAAACTTCCTTCCAGTAATCCTTTCCAGCAATACAAAGTCAGTGTTCACAAGGTCAAGTTCTACAGATCGTTTCTCGTCTAAGCACCGTTCGCTTGTACTTAGACCATCTAGTTTTCCTGCTTCTTCTTCTCTGCAGTAGGGCAGTCCCTAGCGAAGTGCCCTAGCTTCTCGCACAAGAAGCACTTCTTCTCAGTCTGCAACTTCTTCTTCTGCTCATCCGACATCTGACGGTAGTTATGCTGAGGCTTGCCGTTCTTGCTACCTCCTGCACTACCACCAGACTTGGCCTTCTGCTTCTTGGTCCCGTTGCTCCTTGCGCTTGCCACGTCATCAGAGCGCTCCCCCTGCTTGCGCTTCTTGTTGAACGTGCGAGGGTGTCCAGTCTCTTCCGGAGGGGACGGAGCCTGCTTGATGGCCTGCCACACACCGACGCTGAACTGGACGAGCTCCGCAAAGCTGGTCCAACGAGATCCGTCCAAACGTGTGGCCACCTTGGTCCGCATGTCTGAGTGAACACCTGCTTTGAACCTCTGGATCTTGTCCATCTCGGACGGTCCGTTCAGAGGTCCAAGCTTAGCCACCAAAGCCTCTGTGGCCCTGACGTACTCTTCCATAGACTGCTTGCCCTGCTTGCCCTGCTTAAGATTCTCATACTCATTCCAAGCCTGGGTGATAGGGTCAACCCCACCAAACGCAGCAATCATAGAGACCTTGAAGTGCTCCATGGTGAGAATGGGTTCCTGCCCACCGTTCACCTGCTCACTCATCTTGAGGAGTTGCTCCCTGCTGTCCCAAAACTCGCGCGCCTTGCCATCGAGATAGGAGATAGCTACAGCCAGACGCTCATTGTCAGGACACTTAGTGCCATCTAGGTACCTGTCCAGCCCTCTCAGCCAAGCCCGAATGTCAGACTTTCCCTCTCCAGAGAACTCTGTGGGCTTCTTGAACTGATACTGAGGCTTATGAGTAGGGGCTGTGGACTTTTCCACAGTCACAGGCTGACCTTGCAGCTTCAAAGCATTCAGCTCCTCTCTCATCTGAGACATTGAGCCTTGGAGCTCCACATTCTCTTTCAGTACCGCTTCCAGGCGTTCTGCCTCTGGCAGGTCAGGCAAGGCCTGCAGCCTAGCTTCCGCGTCAGCCTTGGCCTTTGCCTCGGCTTCCAATTGCTGACGCCTTTCCTGTTCAGCCCTCTCATATTCCTCCCGGTAATCTTCCTGCATCTTCTGACGTTGCTCCTCAGCAGACCTGCGAATCGCTTCAGCGAGCTGGTCATCCGGATGCATCTGATCCCTTTCCCTGACTGTCCCTGCTGAGTTGCTCGCCATCATGTCTTGAAATCCGGAGGAAAGCAAGTCTGAACAAAATCCACTCTTTCTTGAGCCCACTACTCACTTGGGGAAAGAAAGCTTCACGTAGACACGTGTTGCCTCTGATACCATTGAAACGATCACATGAAGTACTAGCGCTTCATTGGCTAATAAATCACATGGATCATGTGAATGTGCAACCGACATATGAACGGTAAAGATTATATCTTAAACGTTCCAGCCCTTCATGGACCCCTTGTGACCTTGACACAAGTCCAACTTGTATCATAGAAGTAACGGATGTATTGCGAAGCTGTCTAAACCTCGCATACCGTTAAGAGTACGCCAGGCCGCGCGGCGCGCGACTCGCGCGACCGCGATGCAAAATCTGAACCCCGACCGCGCGACTCTGCACAACAGTGACCTGTTCGGAACACCGGGGGGGGACGGGGGCCTGCGTCTGCTAGGGGTGGCGCTGCGAGTGACTGGGAATTGCGACATGGTGGTATGCCCATCATTCATTGGGTGAGTTCCTGCGTCCTCCAACTCTGTACCTTCTGACAATGGCTAGGAGTGCATCATTGGAGATGGTCAAGTCCCACCTCAAGAGGTGAAGCTTGGCCATGAGCTCGGCAGCTCTTGCTTTTGCTATCTAGGAAAACTTTCGCACACTGCACAAAGAAATGCAGTCAGTTCAGATGGTTGCTCCCGTTTTATGGTTCAGCACCACAGACAAGTGCATCTAAACGTGCAGTCAGACTAGGTGGTTGCTCAGGGTTTCTGAATTCAATGTCTCCGGAATCAGCTAGCTTCATCCCTTTTGAGCAATTCTGTCCTAGGCTCTTGGCTTGTTCTTACGTAATCCTCGCATTCTCTTGCAGGTCCATCAGCACTGCAATGTTGCAGCATGTATACGCACTTATAGAGCTTGTACATTTCACCCCGCTGCCCGACAAGTCGATCGTTGACGCAATCTCAGCAAAGTTTACCCAAACCGTGGGAGAGCTGCTCTTGATACAAGCGCAATCACGGTTTCGAGTTTACGCAGCAGTAGGGCAGCACCAAGAGATGGAACTCATCTGGTTTAAGAGTCTCAGGATGTTGAGCAGGAAGAGAGGGCCGACGAGTGAAGCAATTTTAGCTCTCGCCGGGTTGGTAGAGAAGTATGCGCCCTTCTGCAAACTCCTCGCAACCGACGCGGAAGCGGAAGTGCCGGAGGATCTAGCAGCAGGAGACCTCACGGGGCTGCGGCGGTTCTCTTCCAAAAAACGGAAAGGGGCCTCTTTGTCGAGCGCTTCGAACAAACCCCCCCCGTCAACCAAGAAGCCCCCGTCGAACGCGCCTCCTGGAGCAGGGGGATACCTTGCGACAGTCTCAGAGTCTGCACCCGAGGCCCAAGAACCGGAAATCCAGCCCGGCTGCTACTGGATGCGGTCACGCAAAGCACCATCGGGGGGGGGGCAAGGCAAGCAGTCAAGCACGGGGGCCAGAAAACGAAAGCCAGGGACGGTTGCCGAGGACGATGAAATCGTCCGGAACGTGGTTGCTAAGAAGGAGTGGTCAGTGGAGGAGGACGTGGAGTCAGTTGCCACCAGCGTTGAGGATGGCGGAAGCGAGGAATTCTCGGAAGACGAGGAGTCATTCATAAGCAGCTCGGACGAGCTGGGAGTGGTGCTGACCGAGGAGCAGAAGAGAAGGCGAGAGGAGAGGCAGCGCGAGAGCCTCGCGCTAAAGCATATCCGATTGCTCAGTGCTATTGCCGCGCAGGGGGGACTGGCAGAAGAAGGGGGGGGCGAGAGTGGCTACAAGACAGCGGCGGTGTCGTGCGGATGGGAGCTGATTGAAAGCGCTGCGAGTGGAGACTCACGTCACGGCAAGCTCGTCCAGCAGACAAGTTCCCTCGAAGGTTGGACGCTCTCGCCTGAGAGAGGGTCTGGCATGTTGTTGGAATTCCTAGACTGCCTGTAGGTGCTCAAGTAACTTGGGGTCAGGTCGATGAGCAGGTTCACGTCAAACCAGGTTCAAATCAACTCTGGATGCATACCACACAAGCTTGTTGCTCCAATGGACTTGTATCTTCTTCAGACATCCAAACGAGTATGACGCTGGACATTGAAGAATGGAGCTTTAGTATCCGGGAGCTAGACCAAGAAGCATTGTATGAATTGTGCTTGCTTTGGTAAAGACAAGGCCAATTGGCTTACCCAGCAGGTTGCAAGTCGATGCGCGTGTTCTGGCCCTCTTCTGAATTTATTGTTGCCTGTCACTTATCTGTCGCTTGCCGGTTGCCATCCTGCAATTGATTCGCCCTCATAATCCCGCAGGCAGGACATGAGTTTATGTGTAGATTATGCGCAGTGGGCCGCGGCCAGGCCCCGGATCTGGATAACGTGGATAGCGTGGATCTGGATAGCGTGGATAGCGTGGATCTGGATAGCGTGGATAACCGGATCTGTCCTCGTGTGATTGCACGAAAGGGTGCGGCACGTCCACCATGAGTAAGTGCATATGTATGGCCGGCCGCCCCGCAGAATGCGGGCACCGTGGCACTGCCAAAGCCTAGGACTCTGCTTGATCGTCTAGGCTAGTATAACGGATTGGCACAAGCACATGCAACGCGCGCCGGCCGGGTGGTGATGGATCACTGCATGATGCATTAATGACATCGCGCGGCCGGGGCCCGTGATTTAACAAATCTGAAGGCTTTCAATTGGCACATGGCTCAAGCTGGCTCGCGTGCTCTGAGTTGCCGTGCAAACGTATCAAGTGTTGGGCTATCATCTAACCGCTGGCAATCGTCGAAGAGCGCAAACGAGACTACTAACCCGGATAGTAGGCTTGCTCTCGTTTCTCTCTGACGTTCTTCACTCTCGACTCATCGGACCTGCTAGTACATCCCCTGAGACAATACATCTATCTGAACAGAGGTCTCGATGCTTGGAAAAAATCTTTCCTGCCATGACATAGCGTTGAGGAATCCTACTTAGGCTGTCACGGAATCAATCGGAGCCCTGAAAAGCCGAACCAGTTTCGCTCGCTGTCCACAATCGTTGATGCGCTTCGCACCATAAGCGCCACCCGCCTTTCCGATTCGATATTGCTCAGAAGGGAAGCAACGGTACCGCTAATCGCCCTTTGGATCCTGAGCGCCGTCCCTGTAACTTTGTAACTTGATGTTCCAAGCCGTCGAAGCGCGCCACTTGTTGGCCTTCAGACAGCGTTATGGGGGCGTTAACAACTTAATTAGTAGAGACGCAAGAGATTGATCGCTTCTGACCATCTTAAACAGGAGTTAGTGGCGCTTAGGACGGCTTCGACCAGAAGCCTGATTGCTGAGTGCACAAAGATTCTGGTAACTCCCATTTCACTTAAGAGCCATTTCACTTAGGCTAGACGCCCGGGAGACGGAAGTTAGCTAAACCTTGATTAAAAGCGTGATGATTCCGAGGCCCCAATGGTGGATTTGACTTCACTGAATGCAAATGCAAGGCTGCATGGATGCGAGTTGTATATCCTTGCGACTATTATATGTGGAAATTGTGCTTTCTTCATGCTGTTCTCCATCCGTCAATTCGAGGCGTGCTATGGGTTGCTGCGCGCTTGTATGATGATCTTATTTCTTACTCACCGTGGATTGATAGGCTATAGGCTTCTCACAGCAGACACACGTGTTTATTTGTTGTCCTTATAGTCGACTTCATTGACGTTGAATCGATTTCGGGTCGATTCAGATTATAAGGACCCACACAAAAACGTGTGTATGCCATGACAACCTACAAGCCTTTGCCAAGCGTTGTTGAAGAATGTCACGTACAGACCCGCCTCTAAAAGTGCCCGGTTGCTTGATGGAGAAGTGATCGGAGACTTTTGGCAAGATACGATCGCAGGATAAGATCCAATGCGCGAGCGACAGGTGCCCTGGGTCGGAACCTTGGTGTTGAAAGGCGGCTGAGCGAACATTCTTGGATGCCGGGACCTAATCTAGCTACCGGCTAATAAACCGGGCACTATAACAGTCGTCACGTAGGCTGCAGTTTGTTCCCGGTCCGTAACTTACCGCGCCATTCCTGACCGGCCGAGCAGATTTCGCCCAACTCGCAGGCTTGAGTACACCACCGAGTTTGAATCGATGGAGTCCTCTTCAAGGTACAGCGTAGGAATTTCGTTGCAGCGCGCAACGGCGAGCTTAACTAACATTTACCGTAGAGGTTATACCGTAAAATTTGGTCGACCGTACGGTCCGACAATATTTTCTGCCAGTCTGATACAAGTGTGGACTTTATCACGCGCCATGTGTCACATATTCGATATTTGCTGCGTGCGGCGGTCAGAAAGTGTACATAAAAGTGTACTTGTCTCGCGATTTCTGTACAGGGTGGGCAGGATTAAATCTTGACACCATCGAATCTCTTGAAATTGGCTGAGGGCTGCGCGCACCGTAGATGCAAATATCGACGGATTTGACTGCCTCATCCTGCGGGCGAATCTTTTTCAACTTTCAATGTGGTGCAAGGAGATAGAGGCGGGTTCCTGCGGTTCTTCAACAACGCTCTGTTGGCTAGTATTTGGTGGCATACGGCGAGTACGTGGCGAGTACAAGGATGATGTGGTCTCTTTTCGTACCGCCGTAGTAGCCAGTGTGGCCATAGGCTTCTCATCTTCTCATGGCATACAATTGTTGCCTCCCTGCCCCCTCCCTGTTGCCTCTGAAGATGTCTGCTTCTCTATTAACTCACGACGAATCCGAGCCTATACCGACACACTTACAAACACGAGGCTTACGAGATGCCAATTCGAGCGCTGCTCGGGCCTTGTCTAAAGCATAACCGAGGGTGTTTGTAGCTAAACGACCGTTTTTTTTTTTTATCGGACGGATTTGTACAAAGACAACGGTTTGTAAGGATGGCCGGTCGGCGTAGAAGAGTCGAAATTGACCCGGCCGGGTCACAATGACCGTGCTGTGTGACTGTGAACATCCAGTACCGTACTGCCAAGGGATATCGCCTGAAAATAAATATTTTGGGGTCGGTGCGAAAAGTTAGAAAGTAAATGGGACCCTAACTGCGAAAAGGCGAAACTAAAGAATTACCTCAAAATGGCGAAAAGTCCTGTTTTGCAAGGCATCCTTTGTGCGAAATGTAAAATAAATTCTCAACGCGTCGGGTGAAACCTCAAAACGAACGAAATTAACTTTTCGCACCAAAAGGTGGCGAATTCCCTTGGCGGTACGGTAAAATGTATGCAAGGTACACCGCCCGTTAGAAAACCTAGGAAAAACCCCTGCCCCGTACTTAGCTTAGGGGATCGTTTCGTTTCAGAGGGGAAAAAGGTAACGGTGGAGTGCAGAATCTGTACAGGGCTTAGAGCTGGGGCTTGAGGGGAACTTGAGCTTGGAAGCTTGACATTGGGCTTATATAATACAAGCCGCACAATATCATGATACTCCGATCGCAACTTCCCGATTGGTATGATAACGCCCTTAGTGTAGTCACATTATAGAGCCCCCAGGCCCTTGGGGGAGCATTGGGGCACACTATGGAAAGTGAGAATGCTATTATATACAGCTAATTTTCATGTTTTCTACCTAAATGGCTTATATTCGTCAGAGATCTAGCTATTTATGGCTCTTTCGGTGCACAGTTTGTTTGCCGAAAGCTGAGATCATATAGCTAAGACCAGCCACGAGTAGCCGTCGAATAACAGTTGGGCTAGAGATTTCGAGTTAAAGAGGAAAACCCTTTCGCATTTGTAGTATACGACTCTTTGGGAGAACTTCAGATCCAAGGCAGATCAGCAAATACATGGCATACATAAGGCCATACCACTAATGATATTATGGTTGGTTTCAAGGAATTATGTGTACATGTATTTCCTTATCTGATCGAGGAAGATCCAAAGAATTGTATACTACTAGAACTTTGCACAATTTCCTCCGATTCTTTTTTGGTAACTTAGAGGAAAACCCATTTACGTTTGTAGTACGACTTTTTGGCGAGAAGGCAGATTAGCAAATACATGTATACCTTGGATTTGATGCATGGGCCACCCTTTACCGCCCTAAGTCACTGCCTGCCTATAGGAAAGGCCCTAATATGACTAATACCAGGCACTCAAGGCCTTTTCGACCCCGTTCGGCCTGCCCTGCAAGCCTTCTGGTCGAGGGGGCTGACGTGGCGCCCTGTGAGTCGCCAAATTTTTATGCCCAACTTCATATGGTTTGCCGCGGTCTGCTGGCTTGAATGTTGCGCGTTTTGATCCGCGCGCAAGCTTTCGGGGACTCACGGGAGCTATATAGGCGCCATCCAAGGCTAAGTAGCTACACATGCATGCACGTTTCCACATTCAATGGTAAGTTTGCTCACCACATTGCCTCATGCAGATTTGGCAACTGGCATGGACATTTTGATTTAAAGAGGGCCGGCGTCCTGTGACCCGTAACGCCTGACGTCAGCCGCGTACGGTGATTTTTAATCGCAGGGAAAGTCTGCCCGCGTGACGTGAAATTTGAAAACCGGTGTGAGTTCGACCTGCGCGGCGTGCGGAAAAAGGAGAAAAGTTGCTCCGACTGAGTTTCGATCGGTCGAATTCATGGCGAAGGTCGAGCACCCTTGCCAACTGTGCTAGGAGTCACCGTGCTTCCGAGTTGGTCCAAGAAAACTCGAGCCGGGACGGTATGTATAGTCTGACGCCCTCTTTAAGCCGCCTAGATGTGCTGGTCACCCGGTCACAGGGCATTGTTTACGCCTGGCCGTATAGGATGTGGGCTGCTTGAAGGACTAGGAGCCCAACATTTTGCAACGGTGACAAGCTTGTGATTAAGTGGTACTGGTCGAGCTATGGAGCTCCAGGCGATTGATGTGCACTGAGCGTATGATACTAAAATCAAGTACATATAACTCTAAGTACGCCCTTGCCAATTAAGGGTCACGAAGTGCTGCGACTTATTGCGGAGCGAGTCAGATTGCTTGTTGATTACTACCGAATCCCAATGTCCACAACCGCAATTAGGACAAAGCTGCCAACGGCATGAAAGTCGATGATCACATTCATGGCATTGATTATCGTCTGTAAAGCACTTTTCGCAGAGGTGAGAGACGTTTGTTCAATGTACATCCTTTGCAATGGCCACGAATATCAGAAGACGCCTTTGAGGATGGTACCTACATTTACAAATGAAGCGTCGAACAGGTTCACAGGGGTAGTCCCAAGTCTTAAAAGCGGGTCAACTAATTAGCACTCTAATTGAAAAACAAGCAAAAACTTATGCCGCGACCAGAAAGATCATGCCGCGACCAAGAAGGGGTGTTGGCAAACGCCACACTCAACCGTTTCAGTACCCTGACTAGGAACTTTCACCTGCAAAGGGAAAGGGAAAGAGGAAAAGCTGTCGGGCAAAGTCGTGTGTGCTTTTGATGAATACAGCAATCACAAGCGTCAGCTTGAAGATACATAGATGAAAGACAGAGCTGCTTGAAGCAACCAAACATCTAGTCTATAGTACGACCACCTGATCAGTGACGTGACAGAATAGATTGTGGTCAAACTGCACGAAGGGGTTGCAAACCTCGCCTTTCAATACGAAGAGCCGTTTACCTCTCATCGCCATCATTGTCCCCCTGAGCACAAGACTCCAGTCGTCGAGTTGCCTCCGAACAAATCAAAGCGCGGTAACTTTAATCTCCACCAATTAATGCATGAGCGCAGGCGCAACTTGATAAACAGATAGAGCACTCACAGTCAGGTGCACGGTGCATGTGGGACATGCCACTTGGCGAGTGCGCTCTCCTGTCTTGGCTGGCTGCTGATCCCACAGGTGAGGGGGTCCCTCCGTGTTCCACGCTGCCTGGCGGTTGCCCCCTCCTGACGACCGGGAGGAGGAAGTAGCTGGGGCCTTGTTCGCATCCGCCCCGCAGGCACTGCAGTGCGTGTTGCCGGCGCTGCTCAGGCTGACGCTCCCGCACGACTTGCACGTCAGAACCGTCGTCTGGCCGCCCCCGCCCCCGCCACTATTCGAGGCCGGCGCTGGGTTGGGTCTCTTGCGGTCCAGCTCAGCCTACAACAGATCATAAGCAAAATCAGATGGTACAATATACCGAGCGCTTACGGAACATACTTCACTTACCTTAGAGGAATGCCTTATAAATCTTTTATGAGCTCGTTCGAAGTTCGTAATACTTCGTAACGAATCGGAACATTGATAAAGATTCAATCAACTTCGTTTCAGATCCTAAACAACTACAGATCTTCCAAGACCTGACGTGAAAGCATAACGCAAGCAAACGAAACGCCAGAGCAAGCCAAGCCTGTTTGAATTCCTCAATGCCTCGATAGTTCGCAAGTCGTTGAGGCGCAAGTCGTTGAGGCACGGACGGTAATGCCCAATTTGCGTTGAAGGTTTAAAGGATGAAATCTAAGTTATCCCCTTTGCTGAAGGAAAAGAAAGTAAACCTCTCCACAGCGTGCTCTTCAATGAACCACGCTTCACAACTGCTTCGTAGCTCAGCCTTGGCGATACTACTCACCTGCAGCTTCTTGGTCAAGTCTTCAGTCGCCCGGATATGCGGCGTAGCTTTAGCTTTTGCAGGCTGCACGTTTTGTAGCCGATGCGTCACTTCTGCGAAGCACCTGCAACACAATGCCAAACAGGATGACCAACTAACGCAGCTTTTTTCAGCCGCTGCTTTAAGCCTCCCTGAGTGCTCCATTTTGCGTCCTCCCAACATCTGCAGAAGGAGAGCGACGACTAGCGACAAGGTGACCTCACATGCCAGGTTGTCATTGGCAATCACGTGGAGGTGAGCCCTGTCAAGAAGCATCACATGAGTGCAACAGACATGCTTGCTGGGGCCTTTCTGCACAATTTCGTTGTAAAGGAAGTCTATACTTCTTACTTAGAACCGACCCAGCATACGCCAGGAGACTTTAGGGGCAAGTTTATCTAACAAGCAAGATAGAGCTTCCTCGCGGCTGACCTATCGCAGACTCGCACTGGTGGCGCTCCCTCATCGCTGGTTAGAGCTATTCTGCCCTTTGTGCAACTGTCACAGAAGACCTCCCCGCAGTTGCGGCAGTGGTGGCGCCGGTTGAAAGCGGTGAAAGTCGACCCACAACTGGAGCACTTGGTCACAGTCTCATCAGGAATCTGCACCAGAATAACCACATTTTCCGTTGCCTGGTCTGACTTGAAGGAAACCCTTGAGAAACACCAACTAAGAGACACAAACTAACTCACAAGATAGACCAGAGAGAAGTCGCAATATGTTTCGAGTGTTGCAATCATGAGATGTTTCATTCCTCAGTTGTATGCTCACATGATAAGAGATACCCGGAATATAAAGTAAGTAAACAGCAGAGACTCATGAGCAAGAAGTTGCGGCCAAACCAGCTCTCATGGTGTCGCAAGCGTGCAGGGCTCCAGCAGGTTTTAGGTTGCTGAGGGACTCACCCAGTGTTGCTTTTCTTCCACCACAGGCTTCTTGGCGACCCACTCCAGAATGGACATTCCCTTGGGCTTGGCGCTATCCGAGCTGGCCGCACTCACTGATGCGGCCGTCAGGTGCTGAGAGCCGCCCGAATCCTTTTCGAGCAAGTCTCCCACCTGCAGAAGTGGCAACCACGTCATGAGAGTCCATCAAACACTCCCTCAAGCATCTGCATTCAATCACGCCCAAAGTTTTTTCGCGCAAGTCTCCCACCTGCAAAAGTGGCAACCATGTCATGAGAGTCTATCAAAAACTCCCTCGAGCATCTGCATACAAGGACGCAAAAAACCAGACCATAACAATCTCAACAAGCTGCTAGTGGGCCCTCTTGCGGCACATATTTCAGGATGATAACTCGTTCGTTCGGGAGTCAATCTTCAAGTGCGACGTGCACAAAGAATCGTCAGGCAGATGCCCGAAAGGTGGTTTAGCCACTCGTTCTTGGACACACTGTCTCCACTTTAGATATCATCACGCACACATGTTCCAGGAAGGAAACGCCGTTAGGTGCAGTAGGTGTTCGACGCCAATTTAACATGCTTTGCTCACCTGCACGCACGCCGCCGTCAGCGTGTCCAGGATTGCGGTGGTTGTCCCCTCGTTGGATGCGAGCTTGACCGCCCTCTGCTCCACGTCCACCGCAGTCTTAGCCCAGAACGTGAACACCGTTGGCTGCTGGACGGCCCACCGTGTGATGCTTTCAAGGGGATAGATGCGCAGCGTCGTCTTCCCATCAGCGTTGAACAAGCGAACACCGTCCAGAGCAATCTGCACCCAAGAGTAGCGGCGTTGATTGCGCGTCAAGAAAGTGCCTAATCTTAGCCTTTAGTCCAGGTCCGGTCCAAAGGCGGAATTGACAATTATTTGGAAGTGACATCTTAAACAACTATATCTGGCCAGACCTCTTTGACAAATTTCAAACAATGGGAGGCACTTCGCTCGACGCAAAACTGCTCTCCAGCACTGGACAATCTCAAAGCAGCTCAAGCGGCTTGTTTAAATGCTTCAAGTAGAAAACACCGTGCCCCTCCAGACACGATCCTGAACAACTCCGGATGTGATCATGAACAAACCGCAGAGAAGACTCACTTGGCATTGGACCTGCTGAGCTGACCCTGCGCTTCCGTCCTCAGGCATAAGCCGAACCTTGTACCGCTGGATTCCCCCCTCCCCTTCCACAGTATCAGCAGGCTGAGCGCGCCCAGACCGGTAGCTGCTGCCCCCTACGCTACCAGGCCCCTGCACAATATCAATCAGTTCTGACGACGCACTGCTCCTGCCATGGCCACTCGACTCAGCCCGAGGTGCACTGTGGCTGCTCGTGCGTGGCGCTTCGTAGCGGATGGTCCCTCCATAGCTGCTCTTAAAAGAATTCAGATTGTTGCTCCCAGAGTCTGCCCTGTCCAGATAGTTTGGCTGCTTGGCACTAGAGACCGGGTTCCCCAGGTTCAAAGAGCTGAGGCCTGCGTGGATGCTATCATATGGAGGGTTGCTTGACTGGGGTGGAGTGCTGAGATATGACGGCTGCTTGGCACCAATGTCTGACGGCGCATGCAGGTTGGAGTAGGAGGAAGTGGCAGGGGGCGGAGCTTGCTGGCTGTAGGGAGCTGGCTGCGCAGATCCATACGATGACTCATAGACAGGATAGGCTGCTGGTTCCGCTTGCGCCCCATACAAAGCTCCATAGCCAGTATCGCTGTGTGAATAAGCGGCGGGGGCAGCTGCTGGACCAGGTGCATAATGTCCATGGGTTGCACCCATGCTGGCCTGTTCTCCAACATAAGCTGCTGGCCCAGCTCCAAATGACGAAGGTCCCTCTGCATAGCTGGGCGGAACACTGCTTGGTGCAGTCCCATGCAACCCTCCTGCTATTTCATATCCTGAGGGCTGGGTACTCCCGTACGACTGCGTGTACCCATAATTTGAAGGAGCTGGTTCTCCATATGATCCTTGGGGTTCATTTTGAGGAGGCCTGTCAGATCCATGCGGATTAGGGTTTGAAATGCCGTGAGGCACTGGACCATTCACATATGGGGCTGGAGTATCATAGTTGTTTGCTGCTGCATGGGGCTCGAGTGGCGGTCCAGACGGAGCGACATAGCTTGGGGCTCCTCCAGCAAAAGCATGATTAGGCTCCTGAGGATACACCCCATTGGGGGAGTGATAGTTGGGGACGTACTCGGGGCTTTGGTGAGAAAGAGGCTGCGAGGTGGTCCCGTAAGCATACCCCTCACCCGGAGTGCTTCCATATGCACCTCCGTAAGGCTGTCCGCCCTCTCCTACAGGGTGCCCTGATTCACCATAGCCTGGCGCTCCCCCGTGATACGAACTCGGGGTCGCATACCCGTAGGTCGGCTGCGGCTGCTGCATGGCTGTGTGCACTCAAGAAGCTATCCCCTGCGCCTCGATGCCCACGGCTATGCTAATATAGTGTGAGTGCTCAGGAAGATTGGTCTCACCAACTTCTTGAAGGAGCTTCCAGTTCGCGACAGGCGACCCCCTCTCCTGCCACTGTTGGCACCTGCTGCTCAGAAAATCTTTGAAGTTCTGAAAACGGAGGAGGCTGCCAAGGTGCAGGCGAAAACTGGACTTGCTGTTCATGAGGGAGTCGCTAATTCACCATTATAAGACTTACAAAGCGCTTTCTAGCGACTTCAAGAGCAAGGACAAAAGCTGGTTACCAGCTGCAAGCTTCTTGAATCTCATCGGACGGTCAGAGATAGACAGGCCCATGTTTGAGGTGAGCATCGACGGACAGGATCAGATTCAGTGTGTCCTCCTCAAAGGTCACGGAACTCGTAGCCTGGAGTGGGAGGCCGCCTGGCAGTGGCAGCGTTGGGGCCATGCAAACAAAATCAGAGCTGCAGCAGGGGCTGCTGGCACCAGTGCAAAAGCGCGAGGAGGTGGTTAGAAGAGCAAAGGCTACTCGTGTCAAGGTCGCGGGGTGCAGCTGCAGTGGTGTTATTGCCCCTTCTTGATTTGCTTTCTGTGACGACACCACTCTCGGTCGTTTGAAAGCTTCTTTAATGTTTCCTGGAAGGATGCGTTATCTCTGAAGTTTTTCTGAAGGTGCACAGTCCATGGGATGCCATGGCTATAACCGCTTTGAACCATGAAGACGGGCATAGCGACACCGCTGAAAGTGAAGAAGCGTATTCAGAGCTGCCGCGGAAGTCAAGCTTCAGTCAGTTGGTGAGCAGCTTGCTTTTGGACTTGTTGTGAGGGCTTTGGATGATGAGCAGTTTGCTAGGTTGAAGAAGCTGGCACAATGTTGCAGTTTGACCGTTCTTTTCAGTGGACTTCTTTCGTCAATGCAGTGAGTGAGCCATGAACTTCCTACTAGCTTGCATCTTCGGGGCATACTTTACCAAGTGCTGAACTGAGGTGACAATGTTCATCAAGTGTGTAAGAAGTGCCACAATCAGTCTAGGTGCCTAATGCCAACTGTGTGAGTACATCAAGACCTTGTATGTAGGGCTTTTTCCTTTTCCAACTTCTTTCAAAATATAATGTGAACAGCGCTTCCTTTCATCGTCGAAGTCCTCACGTTTTTTTTTCATTCTTTTTGCAGCTGGCAAGGTACCTTGGGATGGGCTTTCTATCATGCTTTGGCATAGTAGGAGCTGGCCCTGAGGAGAAACCCAGAGCTTCCACTGACTCTGACGACATAGGTGCCCTCAGACAACACTTGTCTCAGCCCCAAGAAGTCCCTCAAGATGATTTTGCAACAATTCAAGACGAGCCATATGCTAAGATTGTCGAGAGCTTTGGGCCAGAAAACTCGGTTCCTGCAAGTTTCCGGACAAGCTTCCTTGGGGCAGACTTTGACAACGAGTTTAGCTTAACCAACGGGGTTAAGTGGCAGGTCTGGCAGCAGCCTGGGGAGCTAACTCAAGAGGCAGTCAAACATTTTGAGTCTCGGTCAGCTGGAGGACCACTTCACCCGTCACCGGCAGCGCCGCTTAGCCCGTCACTCTCAGAAGTACATCCTGAATTGAGTCCCCACAGTGATGCCGGCCCTGACTTGAGTCCGCATGCTGACGGCCATAGTGCAGTCAATCCGCCACCGGGAGAGCACTGGCAGGGTCGGGGAGAAACACCTGAGGCATTGAGTCATGGTTTCGGGTCTCGTGAAATTGGTGTGGCCATGGCAGCAACCACTGCTTCGAGCCCAAGGTCAAGGGAACGGCAAGGGGACTATGAGACAGACATGGGTCTGGTGAATGGTGAAAACCTGGAGAGTTCTTGCTCCAGGGGGGCCGAGCCTGAGGAGGGATTAGATACTTCAGATGGTGCGGCGTTGCTCTCCAAGCTCGGCGCCCCTCATACTATTCCCCTTACGCCAGAGATTGAAGAGGAGCTGCGGCGCAGCAATTCGTTTCAGCTGCAGGCGCCCCCTGTCATCATGAGGGGTATCTCTATTGGCAGCCCATTCAGCACGCCCGGGTCGGAGGCAGCCGGCCTCCGTTCCGGGCCTTTCTCTGAGCATCTTTTTAGATCAAATACTTCGCCAGGCACGCATACAAAGGCTGGGGACACTCTGCGAGCGGAGCTGTTGCAGGGGGACCTCATAACAAGCTCTGAAAGGTCCCCTCCGCTGGGGCTGATGAACTCACAGAGCGCCACCGCATATGGGCGAAGTTCTAGGCGGTCTGCCTCTTTGCAATTGCAAAGGTCGGATTCACTGCGCTCAGAGGATTCGCTTAAGCGAGTCAAAGAAACGCACCAGATCAAGGAGGGGGAGGTAAGCCAAGCATTTAGTCTCTACATGGTCTGGTCTGTTTGCGGCCCTTTCAGCATTCGGTTGGTGCTAGGATGAACGTTTCTTTATTTTTTACAATTGTGTGGGGTTGTTCCACTCGAACCAATGTGCGTCTAATTTAACTCGTTGCTGTTCTCCTTTGGAGAGTTTCTGCAAGTCGTATTTCTGAAGAGTTGATGCATATCCTGCCACCGATCGTGTGAAGCGTTATGTGCAAACGGAGAGTTTCTGGCTTTAATCCATTGTGGCAACGTCTGCTGCTGGCAGTAGCTGTGGAGCTTTGCTTTCCACATACTAATCATTTCCGTTTTCGTACATATGTGGCGCAGGATGTTGAGGGGCACAAGACAGTAAATCAGTACGTTAAGCTGAGACGGCTTGGCACTGGCAGCTACGGCAAGGTTGTACTGCACAAAGACAGCGTCACTGGCAAGCTGTACGCCATGAAGATCCTTCATCGGTGAGGTGGCAACTCCAACCTAACATCTACGGATGGATCTCCATGTGTGCAATGATATGGTTGGGTCTTTAGCGTCTTGTTCCCAGTCGAGGGTGCTGAAGAACATCACAACCAGTCGACTATGCCTGGACACTTCGCTTCATCTTCGTTGTCCACCTTGGTTATATTGTTCCTCTTGGTTTAGCTTGCTGACTGCTTTGCTATCCTGGAGGGCCTTGGCCGTCGAGATGATGTGGACTATGCGGGAACAGCCTTGAGGGAAAATTACTCTGCCCAAATCGGGGCTGCTTGCTGAATTGACTAGGGACAAGCCTACACTGGCTGAAACCCATTTCCTGCTCGGGGTTTGACTGAAACAGCTGTGACCTGCAGGTCTCGGTTGATGCACGTTCACATCTCAGGAGAGGAGACAGCTTGGACTGACGTGCTGCGGGAGATAGCCATCATGAAACAGCTTGACCATCCAAACCTTGTCACCTTGCAAGAGGTGAGCTTCTTCAGCCAATTCGGAGGTTTGTGCTGAACCAACGAGCTTCCCAAATGCACCAGTTTGTTGAATCAGTGATCTTGGGCTGTACTTGGGTGGTGGACAAGATTGCATAGTCGAATGTCTCATGCCTGAAACGATTTTGATACTCCAGAACGTCATCTGTACGCCATCCGTATGCCGCTGTCCTAAATTTCCATCCCGTTTCACGTGATGAGATATGCATTGTATCACTGTCATTGACTTTCATGTGTTTTGCAGGTTATCGACGATCCTGACAATGACAAGATCTACATGGTGCTAGAGTACGAAGAGAAGGGTCCGGTGTTCGAGGGCACTGGCCCGGAAGGAGGGGTCGGGGAGGAGCGCGCACGGGCGTACACACGGGACGTTCTTGCGGGCCTGCAGTATCTGCATTACCACAACATCGTGCATGGGGACATCAAGCCCGAGAATCTGATGGTAAGCAGCGACCGAACGTTGGGGCGTCGTTGCTGGGCGGTCTGGCAGGGACATCCATTATGAGGAATCCGATACGTGTGGACGATAGCCTGGATGTCTTCGATTCTTTGACGATCGGTTCACGATTCTTCGTTGGATGTGCCCAATCGCGTCCTGGCCATGCACTTACTGCGTCCTCTCTTCAGATTCCCCAACATCGTTGTATAGCGGAGGAGAGACACTAAGCTTTTGCATCTCCTTTCCTATTGAAGATGTCGGCCGATGGCCGTATCAAGATTGGTGACTTCGGCGTTAGCCACATCTTCGAGAACGAGAACGACCAGCTGCGGAGAACGCCCGGCACACCCGCTTTCACCGCCCCTGAATGTTGCATGGTGAGCTCCGTTCGGTATATCTTGCGGCGTATAGCGCCGTTTTCATTTCCATTGCTCAGAAGCTTTGACTGTACTTTGCGCAACTGTAAACAGCAACCCTCCACAAGCTGCAATGAGCGGGCCTCTCATCGAGTGATGCCGAAATGCTGATCCCCCTCTTCCTCGTTGCCAGGGCGTTCCCTACCACGGCAAGCCGGCTGACATGTGGGCCCTGGGGGTGACCCTGTACGTGTTTGTGACGGGCCAGTACCCGTTCCTGGCGCAGTCGCACTCGTTGGCGGACCTATACCAGGCGATCCTCCATGAGGAGCCCGCCATTCCGGCGCACCTGCCCCCCCCCCTGCAGGACCTGCTTCGGAAGCTGCTGGAGAAGGACCCCAGCGAGCGGGCCACCGCAGAGGAGGCCGCCCGCCACCCCTGGCTCACAGCGGAGCTGGGGCCGCTGCCGCAGGTGGAGCTCAGAGGTGAGCACGCCAGCCGAAGAGCCCGGGCAGAAGAAGTTCTCATGTGGGCTTGACCGCTGAGCTCGCAGGGGTAAGGGAGGATCTAACGAGCTCAGGGGGAATCAGCAGTCCCTGTTATGCATGCCGTTATCTCAGGTATTCACCGGCGAGCAAGTCGCAGCACGCAAAGTTGTAAAACAAGTCGAACCAGGTCCGGCTTGTAACGTAGAGCAAGTATTGGATGTGTGTCTCCTTATGCTCATGAGTTGATTTGGTTTTGTGCAGCAATTGATGTTGACGCGGAGCATGTGGACACGGCACTGACACGGCTGGATGACGAATCAAAGTCTCGGCTGGCCAGGCTGTTTGCGCGACATGCAGCCGCGGTGTGGCGTAAGAAGGCAAGCGCTCTCGCCCGTGATTCCAGGGGTGAAGACAGTGAGCCCCTGTCCCGCACTTCCTCCATCAGGAGTGCAGATGCTTACGACAGCGACTTCAGTGCCCCATCGTCTCGCTATGGGTCACCAAAAAGAGACAGGGAGCCAACCACTTCGCCTCTTCGCATGGGAAGCTCTAGATTTGGGGGCAACGAAAAAGCTTAGGGTACAACTGCTGAGTCTTGAGGAACCAGCGGGGTCTGGTTGAATCTCTAGTGTTGCAACGCGTTACACATTTGTAACATGATAGTTGATACGGTCCTCTTTGCGATATAGTCTGCTTAAGTAACAATCTCGGCGTCATAAGCCTTGGGCTTAAGGTTGATTCTTTAGTCCAGGACATCGGGACATAAATGTACGGTGATTGATTTAAACGATTGTGAGTAAGCGTCCACTCCATGTGAACCATGCGTTGCTTTGCTCCACGAAACATTGATCTGATGGCAAAGGTTGATTAGTGCAGGCCTTCGTGCGTACTTAGATTGTGCCAGAATTTGGCCTGCGGTAGCCTGCATTTACCTTCAAGCGAAAAATCGTATCAATCATCTTTAACCTCAATTGCACGCACTGCAACCTCCGAAGTTCAATCTCATAACGATCTAGCTACACTTTTGTTATACAAAGACTCATGTATTGCAAACAACCGGATCTGATCTATATGGATATAGCCTTTAGTACTATCATCATGCGTTGTCACGTCATGCAAGCTGTTTTCAAAGCAAGCCTGACAGTGAGCAGGTGAGTCGGATCGGGCCCGGGCCCGGGCCATCATGGCATGCAGCTTGTGTCATGGGCGTTACGTTTCACAGTTATGTACCGCCTAATGCCGCTCGGGCAATAAAGGTAAACAGCACGGTAACGCTCTTGCTGTGCTCGTACTGCTCCTGCGAGCAACCCTAAACTCAAACTTAGAGGCTGAAGAGGTCGGACTTCGCCAGCGCACATGCATGAAAAGCGGAGGTTCGGGTGAGAACTAAGCGGGATCGTTGAGGGGGCCGTTCTGATCAGCTGTACCTGTGAAGGCGGCTGCTGCAAATCTCAAGATAGGTGTGGTGGTCATGACGCTGACCAATGCGAGCGGCAATTAGAACTGTGGACAAGAGTGGGTTGCTTTGGCGACGTCTTACTCCTGTACGAGAAGCTGAAGTTTTGTGGGTTCAGTGTGGTGGTGGTGGTATTGGACGCATGTGGGAAACCTTTCCACGAGTATCTCAACGTCCTACTGAACCCAGCTGTTTGAAAGCAGTTGAACAGAAAGTGGGCACCACCACTGCGGAGCAGGGCTCCTCGTCTGAACAAAACTCACGAAAAGTGCTTACATATGCACTCTCTCGAAATCCCCATTGCAATTTGCAAGATGTGAATGTTCGAGGGGTTAGAGACAAGCACCATGCAAGAGTAGCAGGCAACTTCCATTGCAATGCTGTCCCTGTGAGTGCCCCCCTGCCCCCCTCCATGCAGCGCAGTGTCTGTGAGGCAGTCCTCCTGCTGCTGCTGGCGGGCTGGCTGACGGGGCACCTTCTTGCTCCGGGTGCTGGTTGCGCCCATGAAGCCGCAAGTCTCATCCTTCTTGCTGTGGCAGGGACGCTGGCAGAAAAGAATGCTGCCGGCGCTCCCTTCCTGCGCGCTTATCGCCAGCGACCGGGAGCAACAGCTGGTATCAATCTGGGGGTGCTGGCGCTGCCTGCGCTGTATGGTGCCAGGATCCTAGGGGATGGAGGTGACACATGTTTTCAGTGGGTATTGTCTCTTGATTGCCGAAATCAGAGGCACACCCTTAGATGTCAATGCTGTTGCAGGTGCTTGCTGAGTCCCGTTTTCATCTTATGATTACTACCCTGAGGTTTTGATACAGTTGCCAGTGCGTATTGAAAGATATCTGGTAGGCACTCTCTCAATGCCAGCATTGTTGCCGCATGATCCGTCATCAGACGTGACGGTTGATTTCTGATTGATGCTTCTTCTTTTGCCTTTATTGCAGCCAAAGGCTGGGACGGCTTGGCTTTTTGGACCGCCATCGCAACAGGGGCAGGGGCAGTAGCCTCTGTACTTTTCACCCGGAAGAGGGGAGGACAGGACATTGGACTTGTGTGCGCAAGCATCGCATGCTGCGCTCTCTGGGGCGGTGCGTCCATTGGTGCATCAGGTTTGTACCGTCGATCTATGCAGGTTCATTTGGAAGATGCGGAACATCATACTACTAAAGAGAGTATTGTCAACTGAAGATGCCAATGTTTCTTTGGTCTCCCCTGTGCCAAAACGTGTTGAGCTCCCTCGTTTATCCTTTTCGCACCGTCTCACCTTGACACTTTCGTCCTGTTTCAGGGCTGCAAGGGGCCGTGCAATTGGGGCTGCCCCTTGTTCTGTTGGCGGGCGCTTCTTTATGTGCGTGGCAAGCCATCATGAGGCGCTTCCCCAGGAGCTTTACGGCCGGTGAGATGCCTCATTACAACGATGCTTCCATCCTTTGTGATTGGTGCAAGTCTCGAAGTCAGAATCGGAATGCCTGCAGCTTCTGCAGCAACTCCTGCTGACTCCTTGCTTCTGGTTTTATCTCAGGAGAGGCGCTCCTGGCCGCGCAAGGCTGCACTCTGGTAGCAGGCGCTGTCGCTCTCCGCACTGCTGTTTGGCTGGACCTGCCCTGGCTGCCACTGGGGGTGTTATGGCGAGGGAGGCAAAAGCTGGACGCAACGGACCAGGTGAAGCCCAGAAACTCTTCAGAACTGAATTTTTTTGAGGCCCTTTGGGACCTTCGATTCATGTCAAACAAGTGGCCTTTATGCCGGTGGCACTGTCTTACGAATGTGGAACAAAACACCCCTTTTCCTGGTATATCCATGACTTGATGAGCAATTTGTTTTTGTGCAGAGGGCCACCTGGACCCCACTCGTCCCTACCGACGTGGACGCTGTGGCGTGCATCATCCAGGGCCTGCTCGTGGCCCTTCTCCTCCTTGCCCTAATTTACTCCGCGCTCAAGCCAGCCCTTGCGTCACAACCACACAAGCCGGCTCCCTTCCCAAGCGACATCAAGACAACGTCCCCAAACGGAACCACAGGCTCTCATGAGTCCCATGCCAGCCGCCCAATCAAGCCGGCAGAGCAGCGAGATACCAAGGAGCCCCCCTCCTCCGGGCAGGTCTTTGCATTCTATGCTCTGCTTGCTGTCGCCGTCGCCGGGGCGGCTCCTCTCTGGGTGTGCACGGTCGGGGGCCTGCCCCGGCACCCCGCAGTGTGGATCTTGCAGCACGTGGCGCGGGCCCCCGGGTGGCGGCTCGGCTTGTGCTGCTACTGGTTGCTTCTACTGCTTGCGGCGCTGGCCGCGGTGCCCCGCCTGGCGGCCCTCCCCGCGCTGCCGGCCATCCTGGTCAGGAAGGCGTACCACGTGCTGGCAGTCGCTATGTTCACCCCCGCGCTGCTGCACCAGGTGGGCAGCCAGCCCTCACTGTTGACGTGGCATGTCACACTTGAGGAGCGCAACGTGGCTTAATGACTCCGTCTTCTTCTTCTCTAAAACACCTGACAAAGGGCAGAGCAGAGCAGGGCAAGATTTCCGTTTCGAGAACGTTGCGATGGCAGCACACCGCAGGCAGACTGCACAGATCGAAGGGACATGAAAAGCCCACCACTCGTGCAACTCGACTGTACTTGGAGGTAACAATGCTCTCAGTCCCACAAACCCGCGTCTATGTCCACTGACCATCGTTTTTTGATGAAGCACTGATTTTTATGCTGACACCAACCAACTGTTACGTCCTTCCTCCTGCAGCCGCTCTTCCTCCGGCTAGCTTTTGGGGGCGCTCTTGTCTGTTTCGTCTTGCTGGAGATTATCCGCGTCCACCGCATCCCTCCCCTCGCCGAACCCCTCCACCAGTTCCTGCAACGCTTCACAGATGTGCGTGACAGCGGGCCGCTCATACTCAGGTCAGCACCGCCTCTGGTTTTCTCCGGTCGCACAACTTAGGTCCAGAAAGTTTCTGGGTCACACGTTGAGCCCGGATTGCTGCGTGGCATGCTGCTTGACACGCTGCTCTTCCATCCCACTCTATGATTCCCCGTCCCCTTGCCCGCTTTGTTCTCGCCCGACCGCCCGCATCCCGGTTGCGCTGACTTGGACGTGCCATGCGGTGCAGTCATTTCTCGCTGCTGCTGGGCTGCGCGCTGCCCCTGTGGCTGGCGCCCTCCTCGGGCGGCCCCTCCCTGGCGTCCTTTGCGGGCGTGCTCAGCATCGGCGTCGGGGACACCCTCGTGAGCATCCGACACGGGTTCATATGCGACCACCCGATTGTGCGAGCACACCCCTTTCTCGACCTGTGGCAGGTTTTTGTCCTCCGCTTTGATCCACTCGTGGGCGTGCATACGACGCACTCTTGACAAAAAAGGTTTCTTTCCGGTGCCTCTGCAGGCGTCTATGGTTGGAGTCAAGTACGGCCGGACGCGGCTGTGCGCCGACAGCAGTAAGTCGTCGCTTCCGCCAGGGCCCTCTGCTTTTCACCCTGCCTGCTTTCATCTGCCTGGTCACCGAGCCCAACTTTCCTGGCTGTAAAATTACGATGGTGTGGGGATGCTCAAGAGACGTGTTCGACTAATGCGTGTATCTTCTCCTTCGCAGAAAAGACGGTGGAAGGCACCGTCGCGAGCTTTCTCGGCATGCTGGCCGGATTGCTCGCGCTGCAGTGGGCCTCGACAAGCATGGAGATCAAGGTGAGGTCGGAGCGGAGCGCCACTATGCGATTGGCTGTGGTGCACACTTGGCGGAATTGAATGATCTATGCCAGTTGTTGCTCAACGTACTTGTTGCTAAGCTTAAAAGAACTGCTTCAAATTGAAGTGCTTCATCCTTCCTATGCAGGCATATGATGTGTTTGCTACCCTGATGGCCAGCCTGCTAGAAGCCTTTACCGTTCAGTCAGACAATGCTTTCGTTCCGATCATGTACGCAGCACTGCTACTTCCAAGAAAACTACCAAAGTAGATTCCATGTTAATTTGCTAAGTTGAACAATGACGTAGCTGGCAAATTCTTTGCCACACAAGCGCTTGCGTTTGGCCAGATCGAGCTCGCGGTCTGGCACGAGGCGCATACGATACTCGATTCGAATTCGGGCATTAAGCATCTGTACATCTAATCAATGATTTGGTGTACTGTGACGTGTCTCAAGACTGACGGTCCGATTGCACTATCTGCGGATCGAACACTCAACTAGCGTAAACAGTCGAACGCGCTTGTAGTTCCTGAATCACGGCAGCTGCGCAGGCCTATCTCAGGCTCGTCAATCACGCCCTTACTGAAGCGTGTGCATCCGCCCGTGCAACCAGAGCTTGTGATATAATGACCTGCGCGCGGCCCGGCCGGCCTGAGGCCATGTGGCGGTCACTACTTGATTTCCAATGTCGTTGGTAGAGAATCTTGATGAGAGTCGAGTACGTGTAGTAGCACTGGAGTATCTAGTCACGCGTATGCATCTGTGGGTGAAAACGAGCAATATATATAATGGCGCGTAGAAATATCTTCGCCATGTGCATGTGCAGTCGATCGCAGTCGGAATTTGTTCGCACTGAGCCTTGCAAGCTGTCATTTAATCCACTGCTGCATATTAAGATCGAGCTAGCATGACCGAATTGATTGCATGTACGGGCTCAACTAACCTAGGCTAACCAGTCAAGCTTGCGCAGCATGCGCGCATTTGCATGACCGCTGTCATTAGCTATAGCATCCGAATGCTAGCAAGGAATTCAACATATACGTCAGATGTACACACACTGATGCAATGATCATTGGATTGCACACATACATTGGTAATGAGCCTGGTCAAGGTAGTGGCCGCCAAGTATGCCATCATGCACCTGGCGGGAAGTTTTCTTTAGTGACTGGCAGCTCGTTAAGTTTTCGCTCACCGATTTACATTGCCAGCTCACCGCTTGAAGCATAGATTAAGTGCTGCGCAATTTATTTCCAGGCTTTGTCTTTCAATCAATCCACACCGGCCTGGCGGGGCTTGCATTCACGAGCTTTTGCCTGACTCACACACTTCTACATCGTTAGGCCGAGGATCCTGCACCCATACAGGCTCATTCCGAACTACTCAGAAGACTGGGTTGGAGTACGTGTTGCAGATTGGACCGTCGTCTTGGCAAAAATACAACTGGGGCGCTAGTAAATGCGGCTTCACTCGCAGCGAGGACAACGATTTGAATGGGTACTTCTGTAAAAGCTTGACCGCGGTATTGGATGCACTATTTGACCATCTCCAATTGGCGAGTACAGTCCCAAGTTGCCGTTCAGGAACTTAGGAATCAATGTAGACGGTGTCCACGTCACAAACCGTGTTTTTCCGCTACAACCTGATTACACGAGGCAATCTTGCAACCAGTTTCAGGATTATATTTGCACGAAGACCGAAGCTTACCTCTTAGAGTTTGTGCTTTTGGACACCCTTCCAGTAAGTAGTACACGCTGCAGCTAAGCACGTGTTCCTACAGTAAGCTCTGCAGGCTTATGCTGTAGCCTCGTGATGCCTGTCAGCAGTCTGTACCACGGTCAATATAAATCTGTGTGTATCCTAGTAGAATCAAGCTGCGACTGTCTCCTTTGCTTTTGCCTGGTAGTAGTCGACCAGTACCTGCCAGCCACCGGGGCACATGAACCCTTGGGGTGGCAGCTCTCCACTCTTGGCGAATCCTCGCATCTGCGCAGCGACATCAAGCTCGGTATCAAGGCAAGCCCGTCAAGAGCTGGGTAAGCAGTAAACGTAAGCAAGAACGCTTCCAACTTGAGCAAGGTGCTTGAGAAGCACCTTGAGCACGGGCAAGTCGCCTCTCCACCCTGTCCATTGCAACCAAAAGCATCGCTGGGAACGACTTTCTGGGTCCCTTTGCTTGGCTGCCAGCCTACCTTGGTGCCAGAGATGAAGAGGAAGTCTTCTTTTCGTGAGGGGTCGAAGAAGGCCATCTTGCCCACACTCTTGTCGTAAGCAGCCACCTGCGGCGAGGGCGACGAATGCTTCATTCATGGGGGCTCAGGCTTCATTCCCGAGTGTGACGAATGCTGTGTTGAGAACGCCTTCTTAAATTCTCTCCGCCTCAGATGCTTCAATGGAAGCCACACCAGCATCGTGCAGGAGCCTACTGATGGACATGCCACGTTTGTGAAGCTTGACTAATGAGCCCGCCAACCGTGGTCAAAAGGACGGCTCCGCTTGCGCATGATCCTCCGATCATGCTCCAACCAAGTATGCATTAGGCTCGTTGTTGGTTTCCTAAAAGCTGCTTTTTCTGGATGGCTCGATGGCTTGCGATACAAGCAAGACGGTTATACCATCCCTCAAGCGCAAGCAAGCACAGATGCCAGAATCACTGGAGGAGCTGGATGATCGGTCGGGCAGCTCACCCTGAAGGGCAGGATGTTGAGCCGCTCGAGGCCGGGCGCCATGGAGAGCACCATCTTGCCATGGTCGGCGTCGTACAGGTCGCGGTCCTCGGTGGGGTGGCCCATGCCGGCGGGGTCTCTGCCCACGATGTAGAAGTCGGCGCCCGCGTTGATGCGCGCCTTGGCGTGCCACTGCACCTCGGTGGGGCCAGCGTACAGCATGGGGCTCGGGAAGATGGCCACCACCGTGGTCGCGGGGTCCAGCACGCCCTCCTCCAACACCTGCGCGCAAGAGGGGCAGCCACCATGGTGAGCAGTTGGTTCCACCCTGAATGGGCGCAGTCAACGGAACTCGTCCAAGACATCATTTGGCACACCAGAGACAGGCTTGACGCGTCTTGAAAACTAATAAACCTGGCCTTTGATCTCGTGCCTTGAGAAATTGAGAGGTTTTATCGGTGTTTCAGACTTGGTGGACCCCTGCCTGATCATGCTGCTTGATCGTATACTGCTTGAGCAGCTCACGAGGCAGCTGAGGAACCAAATTGAGATCTTGGCCAGTGTCAGATCGGGTCACAAATTGGCCACCTTAGGAATCAGATTTCGAAGCACACATACATTTGTGCTGATCATGTGCCAGTATGCAAACCAGCGTGGCTTCAAGGGCTAGTAGAGATGCGCAACTTTTCTCGCGAGATGCCTTCAAGATAAAATTTGAGCAGATGCATGTGGCACTTATGGGAGACACTTTCCTCAGCCTGCAAAGCTGCTCAGTTGCACAGGAACTCAAAGGCTTCACATTTTCAATCATGGGGTCACTGGTGCACAGAACCATAAAGTCCTCACAAAGCCGGCACCCACATAAAACAGTGCTTTCAATGCACTTTGTCAATTTAGGCGCACAAAATCAGCTGCCAAGTGGACACTCCCAGATATTCACTCGAAGACGAAACCACCAGTGTTCATGATTCTAGTGGAGGTACTCATGTTTGACATCGCTTCCAGTGGCACTTCTTTCCTGAGGTTACCCGAGCGCCCCTCCTCCAGCGGCGTGTGCGAAGCTTACCTTGTCGTGCTGCTTCATGCGTGTGTCCAGGGGCACATCGTCAGCCTTGACCCAGCCCCCCAACGGGTGCAGCAGCAGCACCGGGTTCTTGAAGCCCATGTCCAGCAGGCGCTGCCGCGTGTCCGTCATTAGCAGCGCGTGGCCGTTGTGCACAGGATTCCGCAGCTGGAACGCAAACACCGCGTCCGCCTGCCGCCGCTCAAACTCAGCACGCAGCTCCGCAGGGGACAGCCTGGATGGAATGGCTGGAGTCAGCCGCCGGGGTGGCTGAGCAAGTTTTCATCTTGGCATGATGTGACCATTGAAGGTGGTCACTCCAGTTGCAGATTTCAGCGTGTCACACTATCTTACCATCTCCAACCATGCTGACGTGCTCGAGCGTCGTATGGATTGTACATTGTTGCTTGATCGCCAGCACCGTTGCTTTAAGGCATTGTATGCAGAGATTAAGGTACGCAGAGACTAAGTGAAATTCTTGCACCCTCTCCTGTTAGACCTTCATTTGGGCTGAGTTGGGCAGTTTGAGGTCTGCCCACTCCAAGTGATGAACTTCCTAAAGAACTTGACCATATGCAGAAGAAACCATGACCATCATGGCCTGTGGCCACAAGTACTGCGAGTAGTGGGGCAGCGAATGATGACAGATCACTTTTGAAGCCTGGAAGCTGCTTCTTGGCACTCCCTCCTGGTGGCCTACCTGTAGTGGTCCAGTCCATCGTTGTACTTGACCTTCTGCAGCACCTCCAAGTCGCCTCCCAAGAGCCAGTTGCCCGAGGGAGCAATGTGCTCGTCCACATAGGGCAGGCCGGGGGCGGTGCAGCCCCAGGTGCGGGCAATGCGCTCCTCCTTGTTGTGCTTGTAGATCTCAGGGCTGCAAGCGCGGTGTGCGGAATCTTCACCTCATGTGCTCATGACTTACTCCTGCTTTGTGTATTTGGACTCGCGGCGACTTGACTGGGAAGCCCGACGTTATGCCACCTCTGTCTATCAGCACACTAGAGATTGTGCAAAAGTAATGTGGACAGAACATGGCACTCATCAAGGTACGTGTACAATGCAAAGACCTCACCAGATATTCTGCTAAAACGTCCCAGTCGTACGAAGATCCTAACGCCAATCCCATCATTTCACAAATCTGCTGAAGTTCTGTATAAACATCCTGAGGGTTAAATGTAGCGCCAGCCATCGTGCAATCCTCAAGCCTGTGTAGGTCCCAATGCAGCAGAGTGGGCCCCACAATGCACTGAGACCAACAGTGCGAACCGTCTGTGGTAAAGGCCCTCACTTGCGCAGGATGGCCACCAGCTCTCCTTGCGGATCCTTCAGTGCCACTGCCTTGCTCTCCCCAATGGCACCCTTCTGTTCGTCGTCAATGGCCAGAACAATGGGGACGCTCTGATTGAAGATTTGCCCATCCTCAGATCTAATGGCATTGAAGTGGAGGGTCTGCAGATACTGCGCCTGGCGCATGAATCCTGTGAGCGGGCTGGCCCAACCCTCGCTCAGCACATGGACCCATTCCAGGTCAATGGCCTTCAGCGTCACCGCCGGCAGCTCGCCTGCCTCCTGCCGTTTGGCTGGCCTGTCCTTCTCCGGAACAATCAGATCTACGAGGGCCCCGCCATCTGGTGTAATGAGGGCCGCCTGAGCGCCCCCTCCAGTTCGTCGTGCGCTGCGGCCAGAAATCATTGTCTGCCTTTGCAACCCAAACTTGGTTGCAATGCCAACGGGCAGGGATCCTGGCAAAAGGTGAACAGACGACTGGATGTTTCGTGTGCGCCTGGGAACAGTCACCACAAAGTGCGTGTTCTGAGGGATGCTGCTGGAGGTGGGGCCCGAGCTGGCCTGGCGAAAAGTAGCTGCCGTAGGAGACAAGGACAAGACACGGCTGCTGGCGGCCATGGCTAGAAAATGCTGAAGCAGCCTTTCAGAATGAGATTCGGAGGGAGGAAGAAATCAGGGAATCTGGCCCTGGGTATAGCTTGTCTACACTGAATTTGCTTTGAACCGTGAGATTTGAGCCGCGCGGCCGCTGGGCCGTCAACCTTTGCACAGGGTACATACCAGGGGCCGGCGTTACATGTCTCAAATCTCTAGCCTTTGGCGATTATGAATTGGGCTCCTTTGCAGGCGTAGGCTGACGTCAATCGTCAACGACAGTAACGCGGTACGTACTTGCTAGTGCCGCCGGCCGCCCTTGTGTCGGAAACCATGTGAATCCGGCTAGGCTACGGTACTTGCATCTGACAGATGAGACCTCGCCATGTAAACCTAGAGAAAGTAGGAATGTGATACGGTAGATCATTCATGTGCAAGCACTGCAGATTTCGCCATGGCTGTCTGATTCGCTAGAGGTGGTAGCGATCTGCCTAATCCGCTTTTTTGACGCGCAATGGACTGTTTCTCCTGTAGGCTGTAGGGTTTGTCAGAGTTGGGAAGGGGCATGCTGATCGCAGGGGCCGCAAAGGGGCTGCTGGTTGCCTATACTTCATCTCCTGATGGCCACCGAAGCTGCTTGTCGTAGTAGTCATCTCTTGGGTCTATCGAAAAGCGTCAACCACCACAAAAGCGATTGGTGGGTTGTAGTGATAGCTTGTCTCTCCTCTTTGTGCGTATCTTAGCGGATGGCGTTCAATCTGCAAATTAGGGTTCCGTAGTTGATCCCTAATACGGAGGAGCCATACGATTCTGAGCTTCAGGTGGATTGCTTTAAGCTTGCTAGAAGCTTTCTTAAGTGCTCCTGCAGGCCCGCATGCTTCATTTGCTTACCCTCTTTGAGGCCTAAGGTGTTCTGTTTGCTCTGTCCAGGCATGATGTGGCTGCCCCCATTCGCCATGCGATCACATTGCTGTGCGAAACGCTCCATGAACAGATGGCGGGCATGCAGGTCAGCCGGCCCTTCCATCTGACCTCCCGAACGGTCTGCAGCCTCTGCTTATCACCTGTCTTGCCTTGAGAAGAGTTCAGCAAGTCAGTCGGAGTTCGCAAGCTTACGGCATAAGCAGCTGAATGTCGGGCCATCTGCCCAAGAGATTCGTGTCCCACGCAATGCCGTTGTTTGCTGCGTGCAGCGTGTGGAGTCGGAGCTGGCTCGCCTGCGCCTCCAGGTGGGCAGCACGGAGCACTCGCAGGCCGCGCTGGAGGCCACGGTGCAGGGCCAGCTGGACGCCTGCGTGCACCACGTCGAGAAGCGCCTCTTCAAGGCAGCCCAAGCCAAGGTGAGCAACGCGCAGCACCGCAGCCCATTACTGGCACCCAACATGACTCGGTCATGAAGATCATGGTTAACACCAATAGTTGGCCCACCAGGACACCTTATAGGCATCATCAGTCTGCTAGTGGTAGCCAATCTCAGCTGCAAACCCTTGTAGGTGGCAACTATCATGCTGGGAACTGCATCCTTCACCATCTCACATGCATATGTGCGCCGCGCAGGTACCCCTAGATGAGCTGGAGGGGTGCATCCAGGCAGTGCGGGACAGAGTGGAGCACATTGTGAGTGAGGGCCTGGCCGCCACGGTGGGGCCCCTCCAGGAGCAGCTCACCGCAGACAGCCAGCACACCGCACAGCTGTGTGTGCGCCTGGACGCGCTGGACGCACAGCAAAAGGTGCGCCAGCAGAGCCACCTTGAAATTTGAAAAGCAGGGCTCCGAGCAGTGTTCCGCTGGCGATCATTTCCATGTCTTCTAGATTGTCATCATCATCAATGGTACCTGACGTACACTGAATCCAAAATGTGCAAACCAGGTTCTTATCATCGTTTCAATGCCATAAGACCTTGTTGTGCCCAGAATGTCCCCCTGGACTGCTTCAAACATCTTTCCTCCTCCCTATGCAGAAGGTGGTGTTGCGGCTGGCCAAACATCAGAAGCACATTGGTGCCAGTGAGCTGGCAGTTGAAAACCTGCAAGCAAGGATGGCCGGGGCGGAGGTGAGGCCTTGGTGGGATGCAACCGATCGCTTCATGGTCTTACTCTCAAGAGATAGCTGGAGCTCCTTTCTTGTGGCAATTGAAGGGAATTGCGCATTTGGACGACTCTGCGGAGACATGCTGTCCTTTCAGATTACTTATCTACACATGTGCGCGCAGAGTGGCTGCTGCCCTGAGTTATTTGAGCTTGTTGATCATGTCTGCAGGAGGCTGCTCTGCGCACCAGCGACGCGGTGAGTTCTGCGCAGGCGTGTGTGGTGGAGGTGGGGCGGCAGTGGGACGCTGCGTCGCGGGAGCATGCGGCGCTGCGGCAGCGGCTGGACCAGCTGGCCACGAGCACGGAGGAGCAGGTGCGCCAGGCTACCACCTCTACCACCGCCCGCTTGGAGGCTGTCGAAGCCCGCACGGCCGGAATTGACCAAGGGGAGCATCGGCTCGAAGACAAGCTAGGGGCATTCGCAGCGGGACAGGAACGGCTAGAGAGGGAACTACGGGCGGGGCAGGAGAGACTGGAGAAGCAAGTCCGGGCGGGGCAGGAGCGATTCGAAAAGGAGGCGCGCGCAGGGCAGGAAAGGTTGGAGAAAGGGGTGAAAGGGCTTGAAGATCTGAGGGTTCGAGTTGCGGGGCTTGAGCGGGCTCAGGAGGACGCGGCAGCAGAAAGGGGAGCGGCAGGAGACGAGCTCAGGGGGCACTTGCAAACACTGGAAAGCAAGACGGCCAAAGACATAGACAAGCAGGTGGAAAAGTCACCTATATCTGCTTGGTTGTTTCCATGATTTGCGAACGAGCACTGCAAGTAATCTGATGTTTCGTGGGTGATTCCGTTGTCCACTTTCCGGTCCTGAGTCTGGGGCGACTTCATGCTATGTTGTGGTGCCTCGTCCTTGGACAATACGCTCTCTCTTCAAACCGAGCCTGGGCTGCGCTGACTTCTATTTCCATGGTAGCCGTTGGAGATCTGCAAACCCAGCAAAAGCTGCCAGGAATTGCCTCTTGAGTCAAGTCGAAGTTGAAGAAGGACCCTTGTTGTCTCAACGCGTAGCCATGAGAAGGCTGGGGATGACGACCACAAGCTAACCCACAACCCCTGTTTGCAGGCTGCGCGTCTCAACGTACTCGAAGCTAGTGTCTCGGCAACCCCTCGCCTCATCCAGGATGCGAACGAGTAAGTGCTTGCCGACGCCAGCACCTTGTCTTGTCAACGTCTGTAAAGGTGCCAAATCTCTCGCGTCTTCTCAAGTGCTCTCATCGCTGTCAACCAGCTTGCTCTGTTAACCACCACAAACACAACCTTTGCTTTCATATGGTCAGAAAGCTTTTTCTGATCCTAAGTCTCCTGGAGGTCCTGGCTTTTCGTTCAACTTGCTCCCCCTAGTACGTCAGCGGCTACTTTTACAACAATGCTGAGGTAAGCACGCGCCGTTTTGTGCAGGGCGGCTGTGGCAGGCCTCGTTGCGCAAGTGAGCAGCCTGGGGCGGGCTGCCGAAGAGGCGGCGAGCCGGGCGGGCCGAGCTGATGACAAGGCCCGGGAGGCGATGGGGGCCGCCTCGCAGAACCAGACGGCCATTACGGGGATGGCTGCAACCTTCACGCAACTGACACGGCAGGTCGAAGGCGTCGAACAAAAGGTGAGCCGTTCTTGCGTCGCCTGCTGGCTGGCGTCCTAAAGACAGCGTGAAACGTGCGTCGCGACGAGAGCAGAGCTGCTGGTTCAACATCCTGCATCGAGTGGTGACTGATGTCGCTCTTGTAACGGTCGTTGTTGTGCCTTCCGCTTTCCTCGAGACGGAACTCCTTCAATCGTGATGCAGGCGGAAGAGGCGAAGGGTCGGCTGGACATGCTCGAAGAAAAGCAGCACAAGCTGGTGAGGCCCGCAGCCTCCAACCACAAACGTTCGGCTCGTTTGTACGCGTGAATCATTGATGATTGTTGGCATCTCGCATGAGCTGCCTTGGACTGGAACAAAGACGAAAAGTTGCTGCTACTTGAGGTCCTGCTTCATGTAAGCAGTCCGCAGATCCTTAAGCCAGATACAAGGGCCCCTCGGGCGGTCGAGCAATCCGCAGCGAAATCTTTTGCAAACTTTGTCCCTCACTCTGCGCTGGGCTGTGTGTGGTGCAGACTCTGAGCGTGCACACGGCCGTGGCGGAGCAGATGGCGCACGTGCCCACCACAACCCACGTAAGCCTTTGCTTCCTTCCGTCCCCTCAACGGCGACCACAAGAATTGCCTTCTGATATTGTAAGCCTGCAGGGTAGCTTGACAGTCTCAACTCGAGTCTGCTTGGCTCGGACCAGTCTGCCAATCACGAGCTTCGAAGCGACGGATACCGGGGCCTGTTTTTAGACATAACGACCCTCTGCAAAAACGTTTTGGTAGTGTCGTGCTGCCATTCACCTAAACCTGGGCGCGTTGGGTCTATCACACCTAATTAAGGCCCCACATTCCCCATCTCTCCATTGGCTGACTGAGTTGAAGTAACGTGGCGGTCTCTTCGGTGGTACAAACCTCGTTCACATTTGCCAAGGGGACCTACCGCCAACGCCCTGCGTGGCAGTATCTGTCTTAACCAAATCTTGCGATCTTGGCCTGCCCCCTGGGCTGACCTTGTCATTGTTTCCGTGGAGGGCTTCTTCATTCCATTTCAAGTCTCTGCTCGGAGAGCACCAATGGCCGCAAGAGCAGCTGGTGGGCAAGGATGCGGCTGTTGGTCCGTGCGGTAACCGGTGTGGTCGGGCTTGCAGGTGGAGCGCTTACTGGCTGACCAGGGCGAGCAGCTGGCGGCGGGCTGGCGCGCAGCGCAGGATGCGGCGCAGGCGGACGGGACCCGACGAGACGCGGAGCTGCGCCAGCTGCAGGCCCAATGCGACGCGCTGCAAAAAGTGGCGGACCAACTCAAGGTGCGCCAATCAGCGGCCGCCTGCAACTCGTTGTCTTTCGATGCTCGTTAGACATCTGCGACTCCGCTAGCTGTGTGTTCGCTAAAAACAAGTGCTGTCAGATTAAATCCAAGTTGCACAGCTGACAGGACTAGAATTTCAGCTCCTCGCATGTGCTGTGTGCTCGCACATTCCACTCAGGCGCCGGTACATGTTCAATCGCCTCAGCACAACGTTCTACAGCACGACGTTTTTGCCCTGTCTCCCGAGGCAGGCTGCTAAAAGCAGCGACGACTCCCAAGGCTTTCTGAAATCTATAAAGTTTTCACACTGTGTCTTTTAGGCTGGGCTGGCGATGGCCGTCACTCCCGCCGCTCTTGATGCCGCGTTGGCTGGCGTGTCTGGTCCCTTGAATAAGGTAAGAGCTAAGCCTGGGTCCCTGATAAAGTTGGGGCTAAGCCTCGGTTGCCGAATGGCAGGGGAAATATCTCAGGGACATCATCTCCACTTGTTCAAGCTTATTTTTCATAGTTGACTTGTTGTCGGCTAGTGTAAACGACGAATGTTTGAGCTCCTCTGCCGGTCGAGTTGTTGCTGGCGCAGGCCTTGCGTCCTCACGTTGCTGGAAGGTCTTCGTTGCCACCATGTCTGCGGCAGACGCGCATGTGCTCAGTGGCGCACTTGGCAGTCACTCGATGGGTCCTTATGGTCCGGACCGTTGTGTGCTCGAATCTTCTAAGGTCATCTGTGTACTGCACGTCGTACTTTTCTATCGTTTAAGAAAGGCATAAATCTGGATTCTACGTACACGACGCTTCAATCAAGCATGGCTGCAGCTCACAAATGTGCGCGCGCTCTTACCTGCTGCTCTTGGCTTGGTTTGTGCAGGAGCTGCAGCAGGAGCGCGCGGCGTCGGCCGTGGTCGCCCAGCGCGTGTCGGACGTGGAGGCCAGGCTGCAACAGCAACTGCTGCAGCTGCGCCAGGACGGGGACCAGCTCAAGGTCAGCACGCATAATGCAACAGCGCCCGGAGGATTTTCAAAAACCTTTGATCTTCATGTCTGCTTACTGGTCCTTAACGGAAGATCGTTGAGCGCGGAAACTCTCTGTCACGTGTGCTCCTGGTAGGAGGGAAAACAAGCCTGAGCTTGGTCAGGTAAAAGGCAGGTCCATGCTTCAGTTTCCATGCCTCCCTCCTAGTAAGCAGCCAAGAGTTTGCTGTCCCTGAGGGCCTGTTTCGTGGGTGGGTACAGACGGGTGTGGCGGGGGCGGTGACGGCCGCAACCCTGGAGGCGGCTCTCGGCAAGGCGACCGCCGCTCTGAACAAGGTGAGCCGGCCACCCGGGTGCAGCTCTTGAGACGGCTGTGTAAACAATCTCGCTCAGCGGGTTGCTTGCCTCTTTTCAATACTTCGGGCGCAAGCACGACTGTCGCGGTCTCGAGCGTCGCAATGGTCTGGGTATTTGTCCGTTCCATTCACTGCTGACGGCCCGTCGCTGCAGGAGCTCGAGACGGAGCGCGCTGGCTCGGCCGACCTCACGCGGCGCCTGGGAACGCTGGAGGGCAAGGTGAGACGAAAGCGACGTTCCGCGGTGGGGCATTCTTACCGCGCTCCTGCGTTTTCGCGATTTTTCACAACCTTGTACCGTTCGCCCAGGAGCTGTCACAAAAGGTGCCTGCACTATCCAAATGCTATCCTTCCGATCGACTTGCAAGCCTGCTTCGTCTGCATTGGACTCCGTAGTGCGGGTCGAAAGCTCTTCGCAAGAGATTGGATTTTGACAAGGAAGGCTAGACGTCAAGGTACATCCAGTCATGAGAGACAGTTTGCATTGTCGCTCCCACACCTCACCGACCCGCCGTGCGTCGTGTTGGCAGCTGGAGGCGGCGCGGAAGGAGTCTCTGGAGACGCTGGATACGCGCGTGTCCGCCGCGCAGAGCGCGAGCGAGAAGCAGGCCGCCGAGCTGGTCGACGCGCAAGTGGGCGCGCTGCGGCAACAAGTGAGGAGCGGAACGAGAGAAGATGCCACACTGGGTGCTCCAAGCATGCTGCGGCCACGTCCTCGCAACGGCTACGTATCCGCCGATCCAGTAGATGTTACATACTGAGGCCCAACTCCTGCAGGCTTGCCAGTAGTCGAATCCACGCAAAGCTCTTCGTGTTAGTTCAAACTTCGTGGTATGGGATCACGAGCAGTTCTTTTATGGGCCGCGAAGTATTGCTCCTCAAGGCGTCTTGCTGAGCCATCCCCCGTTTCTGCAGTTGACCGACCTGACAGCGAAGATATCGACTGAGGTAAGGAAGAGTTCTTACCATTTCTTTTTGGGCCGCTGGATGGACAAAACGTGGGTTTTCCAATACGAGACTCGACTCGTCTCTTCCAGTATCAGACAGCCTGGAGGGTGCCCACAAACTCAAATTTGATTTTCCTCCCAAAGTCCACCGCCTGTGTTCGCCAAAGAGGAGCCACCCGAGGCGCTTTACAGTACTTTTCTGCTGATTGCCTTTCATAAAGTAATCTCGAGAAAGCTCAATTAGGCCTTCATATCTTGTCGTTGCGAAACCAACTTCTCAAAGGCACGCCCTGGCTTTGAAACACGGCTTGCCGACACTTCACCCTGCTGGTTTGTTTGCGCAGGTGGCGGGCGTGCGGGAGGGGCTGCAGGAGCAGATCGACCACCGGTGCCAGGAACTGGCGGGCAACTGCCGCGCGCGCGCGGCGGAGCAGGCGACGAAGCTGGAGGAGCAGGCCAAGCAGATGGAGCCCGTGCTGCTCAAGCTCACCGGCCAAATGGAGAGCATCCAACGGCTCTGCCGCCAAGAGGTGGGCATCCCGGCCTCAAAGTCTTCCTTCTCTGAACCTGGTGCCACTAACAAGGACTGCAGAAAGCCGCCCTTCAAGAGACAAACGAACTGTGGTAGGAATGTTTTTGCATCTGGTTCGACTTATATCCCTGTCAACAAGCGCATGTTGGCCAACCGCTCAAAGTTTTTGAGCCCGCGACTCCAGAATAGGACGACAAGTGACTCAGAGCCCCACAGTTGGCTGACTCAGCGCTCGTGGGTGGGTGTGCAGCTGCAGAGCGTGCGCGTGGCGCTCGAGAGCAAGGCCTCGACGGACCAGATGATGGAGCTCAAGACGGTGCTCAGCGAGGTCGACAAGCTGGTGAGCGCCGCTCCTTAAACGTACCATGGTCAACATGATAGACTTTTGCCAGTGACTGCATTCAATCGCATCAATTGGACGGTCACGGACCGCCCCGCCCGCCAGCGGCAGGTTCACACTCTTCGTTGCTCTGGCGGCTGCCTCGCAAGGCTGCAACGTTCGATCTAGCGGGTGCCGTCTCATACCCAGAAAGGATACTCGTTGGGAACGAAATATGAGATACGGCTTTCCGCTGAAAATGATGGGCAAGAGGCCCGGGACGTCGGGCGCTGTCTCTCTTCTATGTTCTGCTGCGGATCGCTCTCATCGGAGGGACTGATCGATTTCTTTCTCGTGTTGCAGCGGTCGCAGGTGAACTCGGGGACGAGCACGCCTCGGAGGTCTGTCGTGGGCAGCTCACTGAGGCCGACCACCTGGAAAGCATGAGGGGCTGCAGGCGGGCCACCGGACGAGCTGCTCAGCCGTGCGCGCGAGCAGTGCTGTTTCCTCACTTAAGAAACTGATCTCGAGATTGGGGAGGTTCTGCTGACTTTAGGGTTTTAGGGAGGCACTGTTTGATTCTCGTCCCTTAAAAAATCCTCACATATAGGCCCGGCAGGGCTAGATCATTATGCTGCGAGCTCTCTGGGGCGAAGCACGCCCTGTCCCGATCAACGATCATTGAAGTCCAGCTGCAGCTAGGGTATGATAGTATGACAAGCCGAATCTCAGAAATAATCTGCATGCAGACATACAGACCTACAGCATACCTAAGGCCCCTCCAGACGGATCTGCGCTTGCGGGTGCCTTTCTTGCATGGCCAGCATTGCTTGATCAGCTAGTCATCTCATAAAGACCGCCTAGATATGAACGTACAACACAAGAGGCTGAAGTTAGGTAGAAGGATATGCAGCTTGATAGCACGCACCCAGTGAATGTGCGCGCCCGCTGTACACTCGTATTCAGTTGGGTCGGAAAACAAAGTCTTCGATATCTTCATATTGGATTTGAAATATAGGTCCAAAAATATGCATCATGCAGACGCCGTCCCACAGAGATAAGTTGCAATCAAGTCACAAGACAATCATGAATCATATAGCTCGTGTGATATTTGGACTTGTTAATTGATCCACTTCGAAATCAGATCGACCTTTATAGTATCGTGTCACATCCTTGATGAGCAAATGGGACGCGTTGCATATGCTATGTGCTATGTTGAATACGGTGGCCCGATCGGCTCATCAGTGCCAATGATATTGTATGTGCAATTGGATCGAGCTAAGTTGTTTTCTTTTTCCATCAAAGAGACCGGATCCACGTTAAATGATCATGCACTCGCTTCCGACTATATGCCGCGCCGGCCGGACAACATGGGACGGTAATCAACCGTGCAGTGCAGCATGCTGCGTATAAGCCTTCATGGTGCATGATTGAAGTGGTTCTAATTTTGTCCGCGTGCGGCCACATGAATCTTTCAATGTCGAAGATCTTTGCAGAAAATGGGTACGAGCTTGATTGACGATTCGAGGACGATCATGTCAAGTTTTCGTGCCTTAAGGCTAACTTTATTCAAGAGAATGTTCGGCCGGCCAATCAGATTTTCACCACTAGCTGTCATCTGGATTCAGCAACGCCAGCTCAATTCAAATGCAACTCGTTGCCTACACACGAGTCAACTCTAGGCCGAGAAAACCACTTGGCAAGTTTCTCAAATCTGCCTGCCAGCATAATTCAAAACTAGATCTGCTCTTGACATCCTGCATCTGTGACGACCGAAAATCGACTTCTGATACATCGCCCTTTCGGCGACGAAGAAAGCAATCATAGGTCAAAAAGTTCAAGTTTAGACGGCTTAAATTCTCAAAGGCCGCATGTACCTCCAGTCACAAGCTGGTGGGCACGTAGCCGTTCTTCTTGCAGTGGGGGAACAAGTTGTCCGGAGGGTTGAACCCTGCACACACACGGTTTTCTGGTCAGCTCTGGAGTCACAAGCGCGGCAATCGCTAGCACCTCTGCTTCGATTCTAGAGATGGTGAGCAGGACTGCAGGAGCATGCATCTTCGGTTCGCTTGAATCACAGCGATCGCCCCAGGAGGTGCCCAGAGTGTGGACAAGGTCACTCAGACTCCGCCCATCGACGAAGTGCTGATCAACGCCTAATGCTAACTTATTCTCACTCGAAAAAAAGTAACTTCCACACCAAACATTCTCAGAGCACCTATAAGACTCCTCGCGGTGCTGCCGTAAACGAACGGATCGAGAGAAAGGTGCGCGGCGGCGAGGGTGCACTCGGGCTTTACCGTCACAGCCGTTCGCGTCGCAGCAGACGTAGCGGCCCTGCGGGTCCGAGTTGTAGTAGCAGCGCACCGGGAAGGCGGCCGCAGCACCCGTCCCACAAACCCCTGTGCCACCGACTACGTGTGAGTGGTCAACAGAAAGCACCAAATCATTGATGCAAAGAGGACAGGATTCACTTACTTCGTAACGTGATGAGCCAAAGCTCATTGTGCTTTAACGGCTCGGAAGAACAAATGCTCAAGCTGACACTGAGCATGCTCTCTTCGTTCACCGCAGCGGAACGCCTGCACAACGGCTTGTGGAGAAGGCACGAGGTTGTTTTCAAATGTGCAATACCTGAGGTGTCAGACAACGTTATGTTCGTGTGGTGGCTACCAATCGAGATGCAGCCTAACAACGCAACTTGAACGTCTGGGAGAAAGGACGACCCAAAAGGCCGGCTTGCCTTGCGGCCCGCTAGGCGGCCCGGTGCTGGAGGGACTAGGGGTAGTGGCTGGCGGGGATGAGGGGGGAGCTTCCGCTCCGAAGTTTCTCTTTCAGGTAGAAGCTGCCGGCGCAGTTGGGGTAGAAGTCGTCGAGGAAGCTGAAGCCTGCAGCAACAACGTGCGGGCGCAGGGGATGCGATCAGATGGTTGCAACGCAACCGGCTGTGAGAATTGATGACGGAGCTCCTCATTCGAGGTTGAGCGCCTCCTGATTAGAGTGGTGGTGGAAGCCCAGAGGCTTGGGAGTTTGCTGCGTCGATAGCACAGCCGCCGGCTTCTTAACGCAAGCCTTGAGTAGAGATGCGAAGGAGGCATCTTGCAAAACCTGACAGTTACTAGCAAGAGCTTTTACGCCTGGCCCCTTGCGAAACCACTGTTGTCAGAATCTTGGACTCAACTCCGGAAAGTCCCACAATGCCGGGCGATACCGTCCAAGAGGTTTCCGAGCCTCGGCGGCAAATTCCACATGCTCTCACCGTTGCAGCCAGCTGCATCACAGCAGATGTACCGGCCAGCGGGGTCGTTGTTGAAGTAGCACCGAAAAGGGAAGGATGCCGCCACGCCTGGCGTGCCACACACCCCTGAAGAGAGTAGCTAGAGCCTTGGCACGTGGCAACCATTGCAATGCCTGCCACAATGCTTCTGCCAGTGCGTCCTGTTGTGGCAGTGCTTAAATATGTCATCTTCTATGCAATTGCTCAATCATCTCGTCAAGCTCGACGGGAACTTGAAGTCCAGAGGGAGGTCGGAGTCTTGGATAGAAGCAGGGATTCCCGCGCATAGTAAGAGTTCGACTGCCATGCCGGTTGATGCCCATCAGCTTGCCGTGGGTTCCCTTTGCCGGGGGCGGCAGCGTGGGAGGGGGTGCAGGCGGTGTCAGCCCAAAGCCGGGCGGAATGTAGCCGTTGTTCTTGCAGTGCGGGGTCAGCTTGTCGGCGTTGAAACCTGCCATACCGCCCATCATAATCAGCATTCAAGGGGGGGGAAAACTTAAATGGTTGCATTGTGCGACAGATTGCTCCCTTGCAAAGGGACGGTGTCGGACGGCATCTTGAGCCGCACCAAGAACCCCGGAACTTTACGTGCAAGCTTGTGAGGGCAAAGCTTTGCTGTGGACCAAGTGTTGACTTATTTACACTTGCATACCACTCGCTGTATGCCTTGCTTTTGACGAGTACCACTTTGCGGGTTGAGTTCCTTGGGTAGAGTTGTTAGTGGAGCCCTCACCGTCGCAGCCGGCTGCGTCGCAACAGACATAGCGGTGCAGAGGGTCGTTGTTGAAGTAGCACTGGGTGGGGAAGTCAGTGGCAGCACCAGTCCCACAGTAACCTGTGCAGACACAAGACCGGCCCATTGGCAATGGCACAGATTCTCTCTGAAGGTGAAGCAGGGGGCTAACCGAGTAGAATCCAAGTCAGCATCATGGCGAAGGCTCCAAATTGGAAGAATGAGTGAGGGATGCGCAGAGAAGGCACAGAACTGCCCTGCAAACCTAAAAGGGCATAGCTCTTGAAGAATCGCCAGACGGCCCTCCTGCGAACTGTGATGGCAGGCAGGTAGTCAAGCAGATTGTGCATTGGGCCTCGCGGCGCTCCGTGCTACTTGGCGAGCTCAAGCCGACCATCTTACGATGCGCTCTTTCTCAGCACATGTTACACTCGCACATTGGTTTCCAACCAATCAGAATGCAGGGCTGCGTGCTCACCTTCGGGAGCGGGTCTGGCTATACCACTGTAGGGGCAGCATCCAACACCTGCATCCGCGGAGGCACATGTGTTCCAGATACTGATGAAGATTCAGAGAAATTTGTCACATGCATTCAGAAGTTTATGCAACTTAGACTGCTTGTCTGCGGAGTCTAGAATCGAGAAGGAGGTTTGACATCATCATCACCAGCTGATCATGCCAACAGATGTTCCAGCTTTGGAAGCGGAAGGCACTTTCTACTGAGCTTCTGAGTGCCAAATAAGGTCTCGGCTGCATTATGCAGCATATGCAGACTACCCCGGTAATCCATGAGCTTCACATTCACCCCTGTGGACTGCCAGGAAACTCCAATAAGGAGCACCATTCTGATGAAAGCCTGTCGCACCTCTTGCTGTGCCTTGAGAATCTAGAAGCTGTGAGCAGCGGCGTCACTTACTCCCACAGCACCCATACTTTACTGGGCAGCAGGCGTAGCCGCTTGCGCTGGTAAGGTCGTCGTCATAGAAGCACTGGAGGGGGAAAAATTCATCGGGGCCAGGGAAGCCACACAGGTTGGTGGGGTACACTGCCTGGGCGCCAGTCATGCCCAGGCGCAGCAGCACCAGCCAGACACAGAGGACGGCTCTCATGGCGGCCATTATCTGCAGCAATTGCATGAGAGGTGCTTCAGCGAAAGGATTGCCAATCCCGCGCAGCGCAGCTCCTAGCTGCAGCCTCAGGGTCCGGGACCTTCGTTCTGCATCATGCAAAAATCAAAGCCGGCGTGCGCCGAACACCGACCGGTAGCTATATTTAATTTGGATGCCGCTCCAGCCAATGCAGGGCCGGGTCATTGCAGGCCCGGCTGGCAGCACAATGAGCACATGGTTGCTATACCGTTGAGGGATCCCCCGTGCTGAGTTATTCCGTACGGTATCGCGCTGCATATGCCATGCGCGTCCATGTACGGGCATGGCATTTGCAGCGTGAATTTCTGAGTGGGTCACGCTCGGTCACGTGGGACCGCACCACGTGAAGGCCAGAAGGCAGGGAGTTTGAAGGCGCGGCACGGGGCTCGACAGGTGACCATTTGCGTTGCAGACGTTTGAACGGAAGCTACTATTCAAGACAGGATCAGGAAATGCAGGACAGGATCGCTTTGAATCTGCTTTTGATTGGTTGCCAGCAGCAACTTGAAACTACTGAGTGAAGTGATTGTAAATATTGGCACCCGTGATTAAGCACGAAGGAGGACAGAGTCAACATAGATCTGCTGCACTGTCTGCAATGAGCCCGGCGGGCAGCCCTGCTTACAGAGGTCGGTCAAAGATATTCAGACCAAATGTTCAACCTTGATTGATCTTCAAATCTTGTGCAACTCGTGACAACCATCTTGGAGCATGTACACTCAGGCCCTAGAGTTCACGGATCTCCAGATTCTGCTCAGCGTGCACGGTCCTGACTTTTCTGCTTGCGAAGGCATGATGATAGCATCGGACGCCCTTCGACAATCTGCAACGGTATTTGTAATAAAAAAGAAACCGTCGGCCTTGTTTGTTGAGCCGGCGGCCACTAGTAACTGCTGGACGCAATTTGGTCTCGTGAAAACGCGACCTCTAGAGTCATACTAACAAGTCAATTGCTCCTGGCAGGATGGAGAAGGACGCTGGCAGCGTGCCCAGCGGCTCTCCGTCCGCCTGAACCAGAAACGGCTGCCGGCCGGGGACCTTGTCGCCCTCCAGAGCGGCCTCGATCTCGAGGGTCTTGACCCTGCCGACAAATGGGTGCAGCGTCAGCAAGCACTGCAATCTTCGGGAGGAGGCGCGGATGGCTGAGACACCCACACTGACTGAAGAACAGACCCACGTCAGAGCGCAAAGACAGCCCTTCTCAGCCAAAAGGGGCCGAGCGGCGATTTCACACAATCCGCGCAATTGTTTGTCTCTTATTGCCCACACAGTTTTGTTGTGTGCAGATAATCTGTCAGCCGCCACTCTCAAAGAGCAGACGGTGGGCGAGCCCCCTGAGGTTTTTGCTCATGTCCAATTAGAGTTTCGTGGGGCCAAAAGCAGAAGTTGCAGGAAAGGCCAGGCGACATCACCTGAGGGCTGTGACGCCTTTGAGGTCGATGTGGGTGCCGGCAAACAGGCGAGGACTGCTCCGGAGAAAGTCGTACCAGCGGAAGTGGCTCATGGCGAGCACCTGAGTAGCACAGAGGGGAGGGAACAAAGTCAACAGCTACCCCACGGCAGAGCCGAGCGTCGCTGGCCAATCTGCTCAATCTGCTCATACCTCTGTAAAAGAAAAGGTGCGGGCCTTCGCTCAGGCTGGAGCGTGGGGCCTGTGACGTGTCGCGTGAACAGGAAAGATACAAATCTGTCGTTGCGCCCTCTGAATTGAAGGGCCTGCGAAGGCAATTTCTGAACCTTGCATGTCAACTGCATTTCTCTTCGCACGATTTACCTAGGTCAGACCCCGACTAGTGCCACTGCTCGACTTTCAGGAGCAGGTTGGCCCAGTGATAGAAGACAAAATCACGGAGAGGATCTCAACCGCCGTGTCCAGCAGATTGTTATTACTGATTTCGCCATCGCTTCTGCGTCTCCCGGGGCACTCACATCCAGCTGGCCGTCTGCCGGGTCGGCTTTTGGCGCAATTTTCATGCCGCCCCCAAAGTACTGCGCGTTGGCGACGATGGTCCCCGTGTTCTGGGGCACCGCCTGCCACGGGCCGCCGTCCACCTGCGGCCAGCGCAGAGAAGATCACGCATCACTCGCAGCGACTAGGAGGAGCCTCAAGGCTATGGCTCCCCCAACGATTGATTGCCTCGGCCAGCTTAGCCTTCTTCAACCCCCAGAGCAGACGAGGGCAGTGCTTTCGGATTTCTGCACCGCTTCTGTTTTCGTTTGAAACGCCGTCCTGACCTTCATCCGCAGGTCGGTGTTGACGTGTGAGAAGAAGGCCTGCACGGTGGCTGCCGAGTAGCTGAGCCCGCCCAGCCACTTCCAGGGGGGGACGCCGCGCCCCACGAGGGCCGTCCTGCAAACACGGCCTTCGCAGCTAAGGCCGAGCGGAAGCCCAGGCGCCTAAGATGTAAGCAACAAATGAGAACGCGTCAGAACACCATGTTTTCCAATCACCATGTTCCTGTTTCATTACATTAGGCATGTTTTTGATGGCTTCGGACCTGGGCTGCCACTAGACACTTGACGCACAACTCACAAGCCTAGGTCTGCTTCGTTGATGAAGAAGCGGCTCTTCATCTTGCCATTGTCCCAACACGTCACTCTGCCCACGTCAATAGCTTTCCGCTGACCTCGGACAAGCCGCGCTAACGCCGCCCGGGAGTCGGCCTTCCTGGACAATGAAGAAGCGAGACTTATTTTCAATCAGTGAGCTATGAGTGTCTAATCACAGCTGGGGTCAGGCGAGCCTAAGCCGGCAGAGCTTCTGAGATTGGCCGAGCTTGCAATGTCTGTGCTTTGAATCTGGTTGCAAGGATATTTTGGCGTCTCACAAGAAGCGAGTGCAAATGAGCTTTTAGATAGAAGCTCATTCTAGGATTGTATCGATCCCTGCCGCTAGTGGCGCTTGAGAACGCAAGTGAAGGTATGCGCACACTTACCAGCCAAAACTTCGGATGAAGTCGCTTCCAGTGCCAGCAGGGACAATCTGCAAAGGGTGGAGTGAAGCCCTTTGCAACCACCATCTTAAGAATCATGGAAGTCGTATGGCTTTGAAGGGGACCTGAACAAGTATGGAGATTGTGCTCGCAGCAAGGGGCTCTGCTTTTTGGAGATTGTAGTACAGCACCTATACGCACTGCATCGTTGCAGACCATCATCGGTCGAATCTCTTATAGTAACGTGAAACAAGGGCTCACCGGCCTATATCTACAGCAAGCTCATTGTGTGTATGAGAAAGCTAGCCCACCCCCAATGCTGTGCGCTTGCCTCGCCGGCTGGAGACGACTTTGGCAGTGTCCTCTTCAAAAAAGCCGTTCACAACCTGCATCAAGGCCTCCCTTTTCATCATTCGCTTGGTTCAATTTGAGAAAACATAGCTCTGTAAAGTCGCTTACCCAATGCCAAGGAGAGGCATATGCACACGTGATAGTTTTACCAAGTGCATTTCCAGCGCAAGTGGTCAAGCGACAATCGCCTTCACTACTTCGCACCTCGTGAATAGTCCCATCCCCCCCAACTGCAATAACCCCGAGCACCCCCTTCTTGCATGCGTCCCGGGCTAGAGTGGTCGCATGGGCTGGTCCAGTCGTTAGTGCTTGCCCCACCTGCAAGCAACAACAGCAGGTACTTGTCACCTGGATGTCATGGGCACCTGTTCTTTGACCAGCCTTCATGAGAAAGTGGATCCAGAAACCATGGCGGCAAAGTCCCAAGGTCTGGTGGCAGTGCTTACCTTGAAATCTTTGAAAGTAGCTTCAAGCTCAGGGGCTAATTGACGCCACCTCTTCAACGTTTGGCCATTGCCCCCTGCAAGGAAGGGGGCTAGCAGATCTGTACATACAGGGACCCTCCGCCCAGCCTCATAACTTGAAAGATTGTTACGGTCAGATCTTGCAATCTTTAGGCTCGAGCAATTCAGGATGCATATGCAGAAATTAGACACGGATAAGTCAGCGCTCACCTTTGGGGTTGATGATGAAGAGGAAATCATCTACGTCGTCGACGCCGCCATCAGCTGTCATTGCTTCAGTCATGTGGCCAATCAGCTGCTGAATGAAGTAACTTGTAATCATGCAGACTAAGAAAGACGACAAGGCAAATGTGTTGTGAGCCTCAAATAGCGTCCTGAACCATACCAAATGCGGATAGAGAACTTGAAGGGTCTAGCTCTGCCCAGGACCTGCAATGAGCTGGCAACTAGTGCGGTGCAGTTTCAGGCGGTAAAGGCGTAAAGTTACGATAATGGATGCTCGTACTACCCAGGGGCCAGAGCCGTAAAACGTACAGACCTGCGTCCGTTGAAGGCAGTCCCTCCGGCACGGGTGCCAGCAGCCAACGGCGGCTGCAAGCCCTCGACCGCATTGAGCACGTTAAAGTCTTAGTAGATACTCCTGAAAATTTTGGAGCAGCGGTTGCTGCAGAACAAAAGCCTAAGGGCCCTGTGGCAGAGGCTGCAAGATTAAGAGTTGGTTGTGTGTTGTGAAGCAGCACGATGGCGGAAAAGGCGGGCGAAAAGGGGGTAAGATTGGCAATCATGCCAGCGCAAATGCAGTTGTCGACCTGACATCACGATAAGAGCATGGCGAAAAGTGTGTCCTGCGCTTTTGTCATAGTATATCGAGCTTCAGTTTTACTGTCCGGATACTACTATGCAATGTTGTGGCGGACAGTGATGAGGAATGAGTGCGTTGTTATTGAAAGTTGGAACATCATTCGTTCCAGTTTCGTCTCTCTTTCCAGGGATCTCGAGTGCGCCGCGACACGCTGGTGAAGATCCAGGCAGAGGCGCAGGCTCGATGGGAACAAGAGAAAGCATTCGAGGAGACTGCGCCGGAGGAGGCAGACCCCGAAAACAAGTACTTTGCGAACTTCCCATATCCTTACATGAATGGCCTGCTCCATCTGGGGCATGCTTTCACCATCTCCAAAGTAAGCGCCCCACTCACAATCAGTGGTGCTTGTCATAAAACGGTGGTGCGGTTGAAAATCTATGAAATGCAGTGCTTCGCATAAGTGGTTGGCTCCCTTTCTGTTGAAAGATTTCATCGGGAGACAGTTCAATGCTGTCTTATGATCCAGTTGGTCCTTGCAAGCGTCATATGTACGGAGTGAAAATATGTCTAGTGTACTTCCGATTGCTCTACCTACCTGATTAAGTGTTTGTGCCCTCAGGCTGAGTTTGCCACTGCCTACCACCGCCTGCGTGGGAAGAAAGTGCTGTTTCCGTTTGGATTTCACTGCACGGGCATGCCAATCAAGGTGAGGATCAGGCCCACATGACCTCTGGTTCCCTGCTTTATCTCTTCCGAAACGCTCGTGCTACCGACATGGTATGTGTCCGATGCCTTCCTTGGACTTGAAATCCACTTGTATGCTGTGCCCTGCCTTTGGGTTCGACAGTGGTTGGAGCGTTTGCTGGTGCAGCACCTATTCGAGGAGTGTTTTATGTTGGAGGGGTGTCGTTAATGAAAGGCAGTGACATATTTCCATCATAGCTGGTTGACTCGGAGTGCAGGCATGTGCGGACAAGCTGGAGCGCGAGATCACCATATTTGGGCTGCCCCCCCAGTTCCCTACAGAGCAGGAGCAAGCAGAGGAGGAGGCCGCCAAGACAGAGGCTGCAAACAAGCAGGCGCAGGAGAGCACGGCGGACCCCACCAAGTTCAAGACCAAGAAGGTGAACGACCATGCCATGCCAGTTTGCAGGAGGGGTCGACATCGGAGCACCGGGTGGAACGAAGTTTCTAACCTCGGATTCTGTGCGAACTTTTTAAGGATGGCCTTGAAGTGTGAAAACGACCTGGGAAGAGACAATTTGAGTTGTGTCGCCAGCCAGCCTCCTCTTATCTTCGGGTCCACCTCGTCATGTGCAGTCCAAGGCTGCGGCCAAGAGCGGGACCGCCAAGTACCAATGGCAGATTATGCAATCGCTGGGGCTCAAGGACGACGAGATTGCACGCTTCCGGGACGCCAACTTCTGGCTCGAGTACTTTCCGCCACTGGCCATCGTAAGTCTAACGAACACTGGCTAGACCAGGATATACCTACGAGCAGCATTCGATAGTGCCAAAGGCTTCTCTTGTGATGGCACCAGCATCCCCTTTGCTTCGAGCCAAGTTTTGCGATTCCACTTGTGAAATTGAATACTGTTCATACAGAGGACGGTGTGTGTTGGTGGGACAGGAATCCTTGTGATCAAAATGTCTGGCTCCACCAGCAGGGGTCGGCCCTTTCGGGGCGACGATCCGCCTGCAAATGCCCTTCACCCTAGTGTGGGTTGTCGTTGGTCCCCAGAAAATGATCCGCCTTAACAAACTCAGCGGTCCTCCCGGTTGGCTTTTGTAGGACGACCTGAAGGCATTTGGGCTGGGCGTGGACTGGCGGCGTTCGTTTATCACCACAGACGTGAACCCGTACTATGACTCGTTTGTGCGGTGGCACCTGACGACGCTGTACAAGCAGGGCCGGGTGGTCAAGGACAACCGGTACGCCATCTTTTCTCCGCTCGACAAGCAGCCCTGCGCGGACCATGACCGTGCGTCGGGGGAGGGCGTGCAGCCGCAGGAGTACACGCTCATCAAGATGGAGGTCATCCCGCCCCTCTCAGGTCAGCGGCAGAGACAAGCGCTAGGCCGTTCGGAACGGAAATTTTCCCCTGGCGAAAATTTTCTTGCACTGCTGACGCAGATTGCCAGGCTCACGATAACTTTTTGTGGTTTCTGAAAGTCCGAGCATATGTTTACGCCGTGCCAATCTTGCGAAATTCGAAAGGAGCAGATCTCGTAGAGCTGGCTAGGACAAGAAGGAAAGGGGTTTTTCGTTTGCCGAAATTTCCCCCACTCAACGGGCTTGTTGACAGGGTCCAGGGAGGGGCCTCATATTACTGCTCATTGACTCTGGAAAATATTGACTCCGTACATGAACGCAAGCACTACTCTAGCCTTGCTGGGGAAGTTTTTTCATAGTGACGTGTCGGCTCTTCCTGTCAGGGAAGCTGGCTGCCTGTGCGGGCAAGCGCGTGTACCTGGCAGCCGCGACCCTGCGGCCGGAGACGATGTATGGCCAGACCAACGCGTGGGTGCTGCCAGACGGGGAGTACGGCGCATTCGAGATCAACGACGAGGAGGTGTTCGTCGTTGCGAAAAGGGCGGCGCTCAACCTGTCGTACCAGAACTACTCCAAGGTCAGGCGGATCGGCTCGAAGTGCGCTTATTAGATAGGGTAAACGTATTTGGTTACAAGTCGCCTCGATGTAGTCATGGGTCATGCGAGGCGACGTTTCAGCGTGTTAAATCCATTTTGCGAAGCTTGCTGACGCAAATTCGTGTAAACCACAAGAAGAATGTGTCAAAGAATGGGCTCTGTGTCTTGAGAATTTGGCGATCCGGGCTGCTAATGCCCTTCTTCTGCAAAATTGGCAGTAAACCGTAAACTCCTTACTTGAGAGGAGGTCACACGTCTCTCGCTTTCGACCTGGCAACGCTCCCGCCCGCTTGCGCCGGTCTTTGATCGGCCCGGGCTGACCCGCCTTCTTGTCACCAGGTGCGCGGGGAGCCGCGGCAGCTGGTGTCGGTGACGGGGACGGAGCTGATTGGCACGGCGCTGCGGTCGCCGCTGGCGGTGAACGAGGTGATCTACTGCCTGCCCATGCTGACCATCCTCATGGACAAGGGCACCGGCGTCGTCACGTCCGTGCCCAGCGACTCCCCCGACGACTACGCCACGCTGGAAGACCTCAAGAAGAAGAAACGTGAGCGCGACAGTCCGAGAAAACGGTGTGTGTCTGCAATTTGCGCTGTCATACCTTGAGTGAACATCGCTCTTGATTCGAGAACTTCAGATTGGATGGGAGTAATGTGACGTTTGTCAGGCAGAGCGCCCTTGGAGGCTGTGCGATGAAGTTTCCGAGCTGTTCTCAAATACTGTCTTATGACCGCCGGAACTACAGCGAAGCAAAGAGCAGCCTCGGATAAATCTTGGGCGATTCTCAGATGGATCGTTGGCATGACTCTGGACCGGTGCTTACCCCGATTTGGGCTGTGTTTTTACCGGCAGCCCTGCGTGAGAAGTACGGCGTGCGCGACGAGTGGGTGCTGCCGTTTGAGGTGGTGCCCATCATCAACATCCCCGAGTTCGGCGACAAGTCCGCCGAGGCCGTGTGCAAGCAGCTCAAGATCCAGTCCCAGAACGACAAGGACAAGCTCGCCGAGGCCAAGCGGCTCACCTACCTCAAGGTCAGGCCCAGCCAGGGAGGCCACCGCGACCTGCCACGGAACCATTCTTGATGTGCTCATGCGTGGAGAAAGAGGGCTAGCCCCGGGTTGTGTCGTTCACTTTCTCTCGTTGTTTGTGTACAGCCAGCTCTTTGAGAGAGGGCGTTTACAAAATTCAGGTGTTCCGATTATCAAGTCGTATACAAATGCTAGTCCACAATGGATCAACGACAGGGTTCATGCTCGAACCATGCCTGATGCCTCTGTCCATCTCGCGGTGGCCAGGGTTTCACGGAGGGCACGCTGCTGGTGGGCCCGCACGCCGGCGCGCGCGTGCAGGACGCGAAGCCGCTGATCCGGAAGGAGCTGGTGGAGACGGGGCGGGCCATCCTGTACAGCGAGCCCGAGAAGAAGGTCGTCTCGCGGTCCGGGGACGAGTGCGTTGTCGCGCTCACCGACCAGTGGTGAGGCACGCGCAAACGGCAGACCCGCGGAACTTTCCTTAAGCTCCTATCTTTCGTGCATTGGTTATCGCCGTCCTCTCGTGTCGATTTTCTTAGCTTCCCAACTCAGGACTGAATCGTTGGCTACTCTGTGGCACGTGTTGCGGGAGTGTGGTGTCAGCAAGATGACAGGCTGCAAGTAGGTATTGCAGGCGGCCTTCGTTCCTGGAAACGCCAGAGCGAGCGTGCACTTGAAATCAAAAACTTACTTCGATCACGAAAGTGCAGACCCCCACTATCAAGCTTAGTACTTTGAATCTCCTGGGGACCAGTATTTCTCGCAGGGGATCCCCTGTGATGTTCATTCGTCCTCAAGAAGTCCTCAAGAAGAATGCGCTCGGTCTGCTTTCGGTGCAGGTACCTGACGTACGGCGAGCCTGAGTGGCGGGCGCGCGTGGAGCGGTGCCTGGCGCGCATGAATCTGTTCAGCGACGAGGCGCGCCACTCGTTCGAGCACACGCTGAGCTGGCTGAACCAGTGGGCGTGCTCGCGCTCCTTCGGGCTGGGCAGCCGCCTGCCATGGGACCCCGAGTACCTCATTGAGTCGCTCTCCGACTCCACCATCTACATGGCCTACTACACCGTAGCACACTTCCTGCAGGTACGCGCCCCCAGCCTGGCCGGTGCGGCGACAGTCATGCGCACACTTGGCGTTCTTGCACTCTCTTGCTGGACTGGACATAATTTTGTCCGGGGATACGACTGCCTGTACTCGTTGCAAGCTGCCAAGGGAGGATTTGGATGCGGCTTCGTAATGTAGAAGAAGCGGCTTGCTTTTGTAGACCAGCCGGAGCGAACGTCAGGTTTTAATGTCCGCTGTCTGGAAGCCTGCCTCGTCCTCAAGCGTTGGCGGTCTGTCCAGGACGGTGATATCTACGGGCGGGGCAAGGGCGCAGTGCGCGCGGACCAGATGACGGACGCGGTGTGGGACTTCATCTTCCTGGACGGGCCGCAGCCGCAGGCGGACATCGACCCCGCGCTCCTCAAGGTCCGGGCCAAACGAGTCGGATGACGCTCCAGTGTTTCGAGGAAGCACGGCGTTGGGTTTTTTGGTGCTCTGCTCGTTTGAATCGGCTCTTTTGAGAAAGCGCCGCGCTTGAAGTCGAATTCGAACTCTGCTGGACACCTCCTGAAAGCTGGCAGGGCCGTGCCTGTCTCGTCGCCAGGCCGTCACTACTGTTGCGGCACTTTGCCTGCCATGCTTCTCACTGTCGGCCGTGCGCGGGTGCAGGCTATGCGGCAGGAGTTCCAGTTTTGGTACCCCTTCAACCTGCGAGTGTCGGGCAAGGACCTCATCCAGAATCATCTCACCTTCGCGCTCTACAACCACACCGCCATCTTTCCCGAGGTCAGCCCGGCGGCCGCTTAAAGCCGCGTGTCACTCACGTGGGCAGCACCAGGATACACGGCCTTGTGCTCTCCGCGCTTAAATGTTGGATCTACTGTCAGTTCTATCTACGGATGCTGGCTTGTTTGGTTTCTTTACTGGGTTGGTCTGGCCCTTCTGTCGCTTCGACGATCACGTCTTGTGTGACCCCTATGGTTTGGCGAGCTCTGTCTGCTTCCAGGCCAGGTTTCCAGCCGCCAGGGGAAGAGCCTTTGCCTTGACGCGTGTTTGCCCGGCGTCGCAGGACAAGTGGCCCCTCGGCTTCCGCAGCAACGGCCACCTGATGCTCAACTCGGAGAAGATGTCCAAGTCCACCGGCAACTTCAAGACCCTCAAAGAGGCCGTCGGTACGTCTCGCTCACGTCTTGCTCAAATGCTGTACCAAGTGACTGTATGAAGGAGGCACCCGTAAAGAAGAGAAGATCGTAAGAATGCTTTTTGCTAATCAGTCTGCGTGGATCGCAAACAGGTACCGTGTCTCGGCAGCGCCTTCTCGTGTCCTCTTGTTGAATTGAGGCGCCCCTGATCCCCGTTGCTGATCGTGCCATTGCTGCGTTGTGGCAGAGGAGTACTCCGCCGACGGCACCCGCTTCGCCCTGGCGGACGCGGGCGACACCATGGACGACGCCAACTTTGTGGAGAACACCGCCAACGCAGCGATTCTTAGCCTTACCAAGTGAGGCCCACTGCGCAGCCGCGCCACTTGCTGGGATGAGTGCGCCGATCTGTGCTTCAGTTTGCTTATTTCAAAAGCAGTAGGGTTTCCCCTGTCGATCTTGTTCCAAGCACCAAAGAGGGCGCCTTTCTGAAGTCAGCCCGAGCATGCGTCGTACATGCGAACCCGCGGCTGTCTCTTCGCCCCCTAACGATTCACTCCTTCTTCTCCTGTTTCCCAGGGAACTGGCGTGGATGGAGGAGACGCTGGCCGCACTGTCGCAGGGCGCGCTGCGGTCGGGTCCTTTCGCGTTTGCGGACCGCGTATTCAGCAACGAGATGGACGTGGCGGTCACCGAGACGGAGCGGCACTACGAGGCGCTCATGTTCCGGGAGGCGCTCAAGTCTGGCTGGTACGACCCGCAGAACGCGCGCGACGAGTACCGCGTCAGCTGCGGGGCCGCCGGCATGCACGCCGACCTCGCGCGGCGCTTCATCGAGATGCAGACCCTGCTCATCACCCCAGTAAGTAGCGGACGCTCCAGGAGAACGGCAGTCACTGTGCACAGCCTTGTAGTCAGCAGAACGACGCGGACTACCCCTGAATTAGCGTGCATACTGGAATATGTTCTCGCTGAGAGATCGTTGGCTCTGCATTCTCCAGACATCGCCTACGCAGCTTCGTTACGGTGCGAGTGTAGCTGTTATTTGAACCCGAGTGAAGACACCAAGTCGCCCGTGTAAATGATGCACGGCCTTCGAAGACGCCAACGTTCCTTGTTTGTCCTCTATTCCGCTCACCCGTTCTGTATTGCTCGTGCCCAGTTCTGCCCCCACTTTGCGGACCACGTGTGGCGCACGCTCCTCCACAAGCCCGGGTCGGTGCTGGTGGCGGGCTGGCCCGCGGCGTCCCCGCCGGACGTGACGCTGCAGCGAGCCAACGCGTACCTGCAGGAGGTCATTGTCGACCTGCGCAAGCTGCTCGCCAAGCACCTCGCGCCGCCCAAAAAGGCGCCCAAGAAGGGGGCCGAGCCCCCGGCAGCCCCGGTGAAGTTCACTGTGGGGAGCATCTTCATCGCCGAGAAGTTTGGTGGCTGGCAGGTGCGTCATTGATCAGACTCCAGCGGCCTCTGAGCCACTGCTGTATGCACGGCTGCTGCGAACGCTTCGGGCAACCGCTTTGTGCTAAAGAGGCCACGCCGAATGAAAACGGGCATCACCTCTCATTGCACAAGCTGATTCGACCGAGGAGCGAGCCGCCTCTTTTGTTGTCTGTCACGGCCGTCTATCACGTATGGGCACCACGAGTCGGCTCGCTGCTTTGAGAGGTGTCCCGAGCCTCAGTTTCCCTTTCCGCTGCAGGAGACGTGCCTGACCATCCTGGCCTCCAAGTTCGACCCGGGCAGCAAGACGTTCCCGGGCGACGCCGAGCTGATGGCGGCCGTGAAGGGCAGCGAGGTGGGGCAGCGCGCGGACTTCAAGGCGGTGATGAAGCAGTGCATGCCGTTCCTCAAGTTCAAGCAGGCCGAGGCGGTGCGCATCGGGCCGCAGGTGCTCGAGTCCAAGCTGCCCTTCGACGAGGCCGCCGTGCTGCAGGACAACCAGGAGCTCATCAAGGTGACCGCCGCCAAAGCCAACTCCTGCCCGGGCGCCTTGTTGCAGGCTCATTCTTGCAGGATGGGAGGGCTCCCATTGTTCTGACAGCTTTTTGTCGGATGAAGACCCTGGTTGCTGCTAGCAAACCACAAACGTTCTAATTGATTGGGATTGGCATTACGATAGCTGAACAATTTGCATGACGTCATGTTAACGTCACAGTTTGCATTCTGACTGGCAGCAGGAGTGTTTCCAAAGGGTCTTGGTTGCCATCTCAATACATCGGCTGATATCACCGGCGACTTCAGGAACGTTCCGTACAATGATCCCCCTGGCTGCTTTCGACGAGTTGCAGAGTTGACGTCCCTGCCTGCGTGGCTGCAGCGAACTGTCGGCCTGGAGGAGGTGTACTTCTATCCCGCCTCCGACGAGAGTGTTCTGTCGTCCGTCACGCCTCAAGAAAAGGCACGGGTCGCTGCCGCCACCCCCGGAAGTCCGGCTGCCATCTTCACTGCCGCTCCACTTAGTCAACGATGAGAGGTAGGCATGTTTCGTACGCGAAAGTGCGACCTGCCTTACTGAAGGCGCACTCTGTGCTCGTCCACATTCTGCTTCTGAACGAACTTTAAAAGAGGTTGGCTAAGAGGTTTGTGGAAAAAGCTTGCAATCACTTCATGTCATCGCTGCTCCGCTTGCAGGTAGTGGCCAGTGTCGTTCTCATTGGTGTGCGTGGCTTTCCGCTCCTGCTTACGCCGCTTCTGGCCCAGCATGTGGTGGTACACTGATCGCGGCGTCGACAGTCTGATGCAGTCTTGGGGGCTGCCGTCATGCAACAGCCATGTTGAGTATCTTCGTGTTTGGCGAGCGTAGGCGAAGGCAGAGGGTCATAGAGCGTTTCTCGAAGGGGTGGAACCTAGTCACCTTCTAGACGGCTTAAGGAACTTACACCGAAAGGAAAGCCAGAGTGCGTCAGTTGCAAAGGGTTGATGAAGCCTTTCCTTGCATTCGGGCTTGCATCAGCCATGCCGCGTCATCATGGCACCATTGGCACTTCAAGTATACAGTTTTGGTCATAGTTATATTGGAACGGCCATCATTTGCGAGCATGTATTGGAACTCCATGCAATTCCATGGAGCTCCGACTGAAATACCTTGTGTGTGACCGTTGAAGCTGAGACTTAGGACGGCGGCCAAGGCAAAGGATTGGCCGCCTTGATCACTTAGTTCAACAATCATTTCATCAGCTACAGACCATGCGAACAACTTTAGGCGGCCTTGAGTCGGTTCAAGCGAGTGACAATCGACTATTATAGCTAGTCGATCCGGAAGTATAGTTCTGTAGGCGTCCACATTCATATGTACATGTGACCGTGACATCGTGTGGCGACTGCGCATGGCGGGCCCGCCCTGTGCTTTTCTATGCGCACGTCTCGCTTTTAATCCGCGATCAATGTCGGATGACACTAATACGCATTGATATGATGCGACTTTGTGCTGACGGTTTTACCAACCATTGTGGTACGCAAGCTTTGAAATCCATGAGTCACGTGCCGCGGCCAATCTACCCAGGGCCAAGACAGCGCGGGTAGGTAGAAGCTCGCGGCCACCTAATAGTAGCATGATATGGCTTACTTCGCGGCCTTAAAATACACTCCATGCAGATAAGAATATTTAGTACAGAATCATAAATGATTCTTACGATTCAAAGCGTTTACAGCACATATTGGATGGACGTGTGCAACGGACGGCTGCGATACTGCGAATCATATCAAACCGTATACTTTCAAACGGACGCGCGCGCATATGTTTCAGAGTCGCCTTAGTCAAGCTTGCTTGCTCAGATTAAGAAGACTCGGACTCAGACTCAGAGCCTCGTCCTTGGTCTTCACGAATTCGGAGCACTGCACAGACGAAGCCAGGGCGCTTTCAGGATACCGGTACCTCTGCTTCCAGGCTTCTCCTGCGCAATCTGGGCCTTTGCTAAGGCCAGGCACTTCTGACACCTAGAACCCGTGGCAAAGCATCCACAGACAATCTGGCTCCCCCAGTACCATCCCCCACAAAGGTGAGGCTACAAAGGAATAATGGGTGGCTTCTGTCTCTCTGGCGGGCAGCGAGCCACCAAAGGCTCCTTTGTTTTCTGTATAAGATGGGGTGCATTTTCTCTTCGACACATGGGTTTCGGTTTTTTGCAGGTCTTGGAAGGCTCTGTTGATACTCCGTCAAGTCAGGATCACTACAGCCAAATATATGGAGCTACAGGGTTGGTGTAGCAATGCACCTTGTCGCCCGATCAGGTCCTAATCACTCAGTGATTGGTGCAGGTGGGGTTATTGGCATCCCCTCAGCGGAAGCAATCAGAACTTATGGCGCAGGCTGAGGGCGCACAGACAGAAGAGATGTCGCAGCAGGAGAAGCAGCTGCAGCAGCTTTTCAAGGCTCTCAGGTATGTGTTCCTGCGTCGATTGATGAGGCTTGTTTTGATGCATTTGAGGTCCTGTGCATACGTTGCTTCTTATTGCTACTGAAGTCATGAAAATGGTTCGGAGTTTAAGGAGAGGATCCCACCTTACTTTGTGATTGCAGCACTGGCTTCCAAAAGCTTGACAAGACAAAGGATCCTGGAAAACAAGCCAAGCAGCTGGAAGATCTTACCTCCAAGATGCGTGAGTGCAAACGGTAAGATGCCACCATGCACACTCAGTGCAGTGCAACGTGATTCTCTTCCGTTTGGTTTGCAGTGATTATTTCCAGTCAAACAAGTCTATCTTCTTGCACATCGTGCCAAGCATGTGAGATGCACTATGCTAATAGAATGAAGGGTTAGCGGTGCAATTGGTTCCTAAGGAATTGTGGAACGAAACGGAAGTATATGATCTGTCGTTGGCCTTGCACTGATGGTGTCCCTCAATCCGCCGACAGGTTAATCAAAGACTTCGATAGGGAGATTAAGCTGGAAGAGGCCAACAATCCGGAGAGTGTGACGAAGGCCTTGAACGATCGAAAGCAAGCCCTGGTAAGGACCAGATTGAAGACACCGGGTTGTTTTGGCGGGAGGACCATCCAAAATTGCGCACGTACTGGGAGCTATCATTCAGAGTCTGCACGTACTTGACTTGCTGCCCTCATTGGCACTGTATCTTTCAAGATTTTTGCTGTTCCCATCATCAGAGGGATCTTCTCCTATTTGGCTTGTGGCAGACAAGAAGCATCCCTCTTCTCAGGGGCTTCACTTATCACAGTTGCTTCGGTGCTGCAGATCAAGGAATTGAACTCCTATGTGGCCCTGAGGAAAACGTACACCGGTACAATCAACAATAAAGCGGCGCTTCTTGATGGGGCAGGAGGAGTGGACGGTGGACCCGACGATGGCCCTCAGAAAGCATCGAGTGGGAAACCAATTACTTTTCCATTGTTCCCTTGAAAGTTGTGGTGGTTCGTGTTCACTAAATGGTGGAACATCCTGTCCTGACCTAGTCTACAACAATGGGTATGCCTTTTGCAGCTGGTTTGGTTTCGTAGATGATTTCGCATGATTGAGCTCTCCACTTTTCAAGTTGGAAACGGAGATGTGTTGTTCTGCTTGATTGTACAAGCATACTGCTTTGTTTGGGCACCATCTCCTTATGCAGATACGCAATCTACACATTTTCAGGGGAGGTCGTTTGAAGCTAATAGCTTGTGGAGAGCTGCAATGGGGAAGATGCCATGGGGAGATGCCTTGATCTGAGCCCACAGCATCATTTTGAAGGTGATTCTCATTCAAAGGCATGCTGAAGTAAGGTTGTAAGTTTTTTGTGCAGCTATGAGCAATCAGGAGCTGATAGAGCGGGGGAACGCAACTATGGACGAGACTGACAGAGCCATTGACCGGGGAAGAAGAGTGAGTTGATGTATTTCGCCGCCGGTGTATTTGAATGCGTCTATTGGCATGCTTGCAGCGGCCAGAATGTTTACAGTAAGTGTGCGGCGATGTGAGCGCACCATGTAGTGATGGGTACTCCAGTCACTGCGGCTTAGTTGCTCCTTTGACAACTTGGTTGTCTTGCAGATCGTGGAAGACACAATCAACATCGGTGCACAGACAGGTGTCACATTGAAGGGCCAAACAGAGCAAATGGGCCGAATAGTCAATGATCTCGACACCATCCACTTCTCTATAAAGAAGGCTGCCAATCTTTTGAAAGAAATCAGCAGACAGGTAAGTCATAAAATTTCTCAAAGGTCTGTTCATTGTCCGGAAAAGGTATGTTGAGGAATCAGAGTGTTAACTTTATGTTGAAACTTGAGCTGTGTCGCACCGTGGTTGATGTTTGTGAGACTACAAAGCAAACAAATGAGCCGAGGTTTTGATGTCTTCTTGCATCCCTGGATGGACGAAGGTGAGCGTGCAGTCTTTGACTTTGCATCAGATGTTTCTTCAGCTTTTGGCCCTTGCTCCTTCACATGATTGGAATACAGGTGGTCAAATATTGGATGCATGTGGGTAAATCACGTTCTCAACCTCATGCTACTTTTGCAGATTGCAACCGACAGGTGCATCATGTTCTTCCTCTTCATCATCTTTCTTGGAGTGATCGCTATCATCATAGTCAAGGTAGGATACCACCCGCCAACTGTGTTACTTTTCCCTGCCTGTTGATGGTGGTTCTAGTAGATGTTAGAAGGGCAGATACAGGTTGCTACTAAGTTCAGGGCTACTGTAGACTGTGCTGTATCCTCTTGGCTGACGGTCTGTTTTGTCTACGGGTCTTAGCCAAAGTGATCAAAGCACCTGGTCCTGTTGTCGTGGTGTAGGGCGGTATTGTTGGACCCATTGATTTTGAGCCTCGATTTGCGGTCCCTTTTAAGGGTCTTAAAGCTGAACTAAGGAGACGTTTTTGCAGGTTGTGAATCCTAATAACAAGAACATCCGGCCAATCCCCGGGCTTACCCCACCTGGATCCAGGAAGTTGCTCATGTACTCGCCGTACCCACCAACATGGAGGTAGCTAACAATTGGTGCTCCAATTATCTGGAAGAAAACAGCTGAAGTTGGCTTATCCCCCTGTGTTGAATGCTTGGTCCGTTGCTTGACGTGGAGGTCTTAAACTCGGTCATGCGCGCTTTTGTACTCGATTTGCAAATTGGTACTTTTGTCGAGGAAGTAGTCCGAGTGGCTGATTGAAAGAGTCTCAATGACCGCCAGGCTAAAGGCCACTTGGCTTTGGTTAGAGACTCGATTGTATCATACCTAACACGATTAGACATGAGAGACACCTTATCAATCAAAATCAGCGGGACAGTACAATGTTGCCACTCGTATCAAACTTAGGGACCTCATTCCAATTTTGGCGAGTCGCATTGGTTCATTGTGAGACACCGGATCTTCGTAAATCATCGGTATTGATGTTGCCATGTATCTCGAGTCAGCTATGGACCTTACTACAGCTTTGGCAATGGTAGCCATGCAATGGTCACTTCGTCAGTGGTTAGCTAGAAGGTATAAGCTTACGACATCAGAATATACCTGGCAGAACGGGTGAGGTCAGTAATCAAGGGGGTTTAGTGGGCCGGCACATGGGTGCAAAGCAGGTATCATACCCACATATACGGTATAGGTGGGTCCATTCACGTTTTCGGTGTTATACTTCCGTTTTCAAGTTACGAGTCATGCATCCTACAGTGAGAATGGGCTTACTTATAATAGAATCCTACTAAGACACATGTATTGCACATGACATGCCTTTCAATTTATGGATGCATATGAGCCTTAACAGTCCGATCAAATTGCATCAATATATATAGGGCCCTGGCATGGCGGCTGCAACTTCAGATGAACGCGCGGGCCACCGAGCTCAGTGCCGCACTAAGCTCGCGGTGCACATGGCACCGATCATGCAGGCGGCCAACGCAATCCAACATGTGCAATGTACGAGCCTTAGTAGCTTGAGTATATCGCGATCACAAAGCTGGAAATTTGATATATGTATAATGTGTATTGCGAGCTGCAGATTCGTGGTTATAACTTACCTTTACTTGGAGATCATGCGCTATAAGCACCATGCCAAGTTCCACATCCGCAATTTCTAGGTCAACCTGAAGCACGCCTGCATGTAATAGGCAGGGACGAGCCCGCGAACCTGTCAGTATTTACATACTGCCGGGTGAACATGCATGGATACTTAAGTTGGTCCCGGGATCTAACACCCGCTCCAGGCGAAAACGAGTTGACGTCTATTTACACTCCGGACTGATCATGACGCTACTGAAAGCCCGATGCTCATGTTACCGTCTTTGTACCACGTTGCTTGTGTTCTGAGCCCTATCACTAGAGGAAGCTGCTCTGCTTGGTTGAGAGGGCCCTGACTGTGCATACTGCTGTTGGAAGAAATGCAGTTGCTCTTGAGGGCTTACAACATTGTTCCCTCCTACCCCGGTTTGCGTCTTGCTTTGTTGCATTTGTCGTTGCATCTGTAGAAAGAGGACGTGTCTTAAAAAAGCTCAACAATTTCCACTCAGCACTGGGTGCAATCGACTCGTCTCAATCAAGATCGAGGGCCCATGTTGCTTACAGGCACCCCCAATTTGCGAGGCGCCAAGCAATCCGGAACTGACGTCCAAGCTTGACGTCCCGATGAAGCTAAGCAACTCACATTTTGGATGAAGGCCAACCGCTCCTCTGGTGATTTCCCCTTCAGATGCTCCTCCATTGCAACTTGCTACAGTTCAAGAGTCAGTTCGCAGGTAAGTCGATTGCCCTTGAGATCGATTTGGTTAGCCCCTAGGTACTTCACGTTTGGCCCAGTTCGGCGGGCAGAATCGGAAATTCTCTTCGGGGAACAGTAGAGCCCCTGGTGTGCACAGACTACAGGAGTCACTTTCACCTAGTGACTCTTGGCGGCCGCCGCCTGGCGGAGTCTGAAGTCGGTCTATCAGAATGCGTGAATGGAGCGAACTATGGCCGTCCAAAGTTGTATCAAAGTGGTTCATGCTCATATTCCTGGAAAGTATCACAAGAAATGGAAAAAGAGGCCATCCAGCTAGGCTGCACTAGCTTCAACCTGGGAGCTTCACCAAAGTAAGGCGCTGATTCAGCAGCTGAGCAGATACATCGACCAGGCGACTTGATGGATGTTAAGTGATCATTTTAGTTATTCAGCTTCAACAACTTTGATTGGTGGTTGCTTCCTGGTTTCGGAGAAGATGTTCGGACTGGAAGTAAACGGCCCTGCACCATGCCTACGAGGGCCTGTTCGAACGGCTATGTCGAAGTCATTGTATCACGCAGTCTGGTCTTCGGCCAATAGCCGGAGAGGCCGCTTGAGGAAACCCCCCCATTTGGGGCCCCAGGGATAAGGCTTTGTTTGCTGAGTCTCAGCCAAGCCGAAAGATGGAGTACGCCTTGCGTTTAGAAAGTGGGGCAAGGTCAGATACACCTGCCACGACTGGAAGTCAAAGAGCGTGAACACGAATTCATCTGCATGCGCACAACAAGACAAGGGTATGCTGTCAGCAACATATGGATCTGCTGCCCCACCTGTTCATGCATCTTCTGCATGAGTTCCATCTTTTTCCTGAACTCTTCAGGTTTCTCCGCCTCATCGCACGCCAACTCCTCCCTGCCAACAAAAAGGACGAGTTAGCCTTCAAGCCGCCAGCTGGGAACTGGCCAAGCCCCCTTGTCCAACGCAAATGCACAGGTGCAGGTAGAAACCTACAAGAAGGGACTGTGAGCAAGGAGGGGCAAGTTGTTCAGAGATCAGTGGCAAGTCAGTCAAGATGTGGCTCACCTTCCTATCAGCTCCATAAAGTTCATCATGACCTGCCGACACAAAGAAAGGACCAACACTTAGCAGTTGCAAGTAACACCTCAAGGTATCAAATGCAGACAAGCTTTGGACAGCTGCCCAGATCTTTGGAAGACGAGAGGAACTCAGAAAGTGCAATGATCAACAAAAGTTCCGTCAATATCAGGTGAAGAAAAGCTTTGAACCCTTACTTCTTGATCATTCCTGAAAACAGACCCAACACGCCCCAAGCAAGATATGCCGAACTTTGGTTCTGCAGGAAGGGAACATCAGTAAGAGTGAAGGCGGACTGAGTGCTGATACTTCCATTGGACAAGAAGACTTTGCTCCAAGTGATTACACCATAGCTGACGTCCGGTGGAGGCCCCGTCTATACGAGGCGCCCTGCTCGCCAAGATAGCCAATGCCAAACTCGACAACGAGAAGATGGAAAACTTTCAGATCAACTTTTTGCTCAAGCCCCCAAGGCATACTTACCGATCCCCATGGAGCTGAAAATCTCCTCCTGGACCTTGGTTGTCATTTCCGCGGCCTGCTGGATCAACAAACATATACAGCGAAGTTGGGGGCTCTTCCATAGTGAGTGATGCACCCTCTTGTTATCTACGCCAACATTTTGTCCCCCAACCGACACCTCTTGCCATTGAAATGTGGGGAAAATGTTGCAAGTTTCTTGAACTACTTCCCCACATACTTGTTGACAGGTCACCCCAACAATCAGCCAGACTGCTTATCGGGTGTAAAGGGTTGCCTCCTTTACATAGGTGGCTGCTGCCTGCTAGAACTCAAAGATCAGCTGCAAGCCTCTGGTAAGTGAAAATCCCAAATACCAAACAAGGCCAACTTGAAATTGAGCACCAAACGTGGTCAAATCTCATAGTTTCTCCCCACCTAGATATGATGATGGGGGTGGTGCTGCTCGCTGGATTGTAGTCATTTCTTTCTTTCAACTGGCTTCCTCTCAAGAGAGCTCGACGGTTTAAGAAAGCCACTCACCTCTCCAGCTTTGAAGTGTTCAGCAATCCTCTGCTTCACTTCTGCAGCCAACAAATTGAGCAATTTTGTTTGCAAATCCAGCCAACAAATTTAATGACAAGCGCATTTTGCACCACGGGGGGTTTGCATTTGAGCCCAGCTACAAGCTGAGTGTTTACCAGAATGCCACAACACTTCTTTGAGAACAGTAGTCCAGGACAGTTCTTCCAATCTGGACAACACGCCGCACCTGGCTTTTCAAGGGCAGCCAGGTTCAATCTGCAAAAGTCCAGCACCTGCTCCTTTGTGAGCATACCATCGGTGGTGGCAAAACCCAATGGGGGGCCCACCGTATCTGAAATCCACTTCCACATGACGGATGGTATCAATACGTACCTGCATCTACCCACAAGTGCCCTTTCTATTTGTTGCTAAAGAAAGGGCCTGTGACTCTTTGTTGCTCCATTCCATTCAATTTCTACTTTCCCCAGTGGCGCAAGAGGTACGAAACTTGTGAACTCCTTTCGTTTTTTCGGACGCCGGACGGTGGGGCTTTCAGACTGCGGTACCTCTGTCCCAACAGTCGGGTAGCCCTAAACACAGCAAAACCCTAAGAACAATGGCTTAGCCGTTAGTGGAACCCTAATCTGAGAGCAGTCACAGGGAAGGGGTGTAACCCTAACAAACCGTCAGAGGGAGTGGCGTAACATCACTACGTTGTGACTTAACCCTAATGTCACAGCGAGTGCCCGGTTGCCTGGCCAGGTGCCTTACGGAGTACATACTGTACGCTTATCCCTTCTACGCGGTACCTTCCGATTCAGCGGAAAGTAAGCTACTATAAAATGCCGTTTATTACAATCTGTCCAAGTTCTCTATTATAACCTCCGCACCTCTCACACAAAAAACAAAAGACGGCGCATAAAACGATTCTTGCATCTGAGGACACAAATGGTTCCCTTTTGCAAACTTAACAATAAGGGCTACCTGGTTTTATCTCCTTCATTCGATGATAACGGCGCAACCATATAGATTTTGCTTGATCGCTTTTTAATCAACTTCCACTACTAGTGATTTATCACCGACTTTATTGCTCGATAAAAGGAGGTGGCCCGGGAGCATAACCCGGTCTGTTTTTAAGCATCCTTTGAACCCTCGAGCTAGTGCGGTTCCGAGGGGAACCCTAGCTCGGAGGGGGATGCCCACCTTCCTCCCTGACGGGAAAAAAAAAAAAAAAAAAAGAAAGTAAGCGTCCGACGTCCGAAAAATCGAAAGGAGTTCACAAGTTTTGTCCGTTTTGCCCTAGTGCTAGTAGTGGCACCACCTTGACTCTGAGGCAGAGTTTTGTGTGCATGAGACGGGTGGGGTTAGCCTGTTGAAGGGTTAACGGTTGGCCACTTAGTGTTGAGGGTGTGGGGTTTGCCCTAAACCCTTGGGTTCCGGTTTAAGTTGAGAATTTAACCTGTGCATTTGGTCTGCAAGGTAGGTACGTGGCCCCTGCATGATGGGGGCAACAATCTCCTCTTGATCAACACCAGGTGATCAGTTGCAAGGGCCGGGCCGCTATCCATCTTCCCACCACCACCTCTCGAGTACGGGGTTCTAGGGGTGATCTCCATGACGGATCATGCAAGAGCAAACGGAAAGCTTTCTGCCGCGTATAGTGGACCGAAGGCAGTAATTGGTGGAGCTTAGAGTAATGTGGAGACAAGCCCAAACAGCATGCAGTGTTGTCCTTGGTGCTGCGGAACAAGCGCGTGGGCTGACCGTCTTTGTTGCCAATTGGCATAATTCTTGTTGATCTACTGATTTGAGTTTGAAGAATTTATCAAGCCCGATGGGCTGACAGGACACGTACGACCGCAGAGCCGTGCCTCGCTGCCCATTCACTTCTATGCGGGGGCCAAGATGATGCAGACGGTGCGCCGGGTTGGGAAGTATGAGGTGGGCAGGACCCTGGGGGAAGGCACATTTGCCAAGGTCAAGTTTGCCGTCAACACAGAGACGGGCGAGAGCGTGGCCATGAAGATCTTGGACAAGGAGAAAATCTTGAAGCACAAGATGGTGGAGCAGGTAAGCAGGACAAAGGTCGGCGAGCATCCTAGTCCTGAATGGTTCCATCTAGGGCTGCCTGGATTGGGAAACACCTGTCGAGTCTGCAATGCTGTCACTTTCCAGTGCTGCTATTTGGACCTAGGTGATGCAAGTGCAAGCTGGAGGGCTGCTCTGGCATCTGATGATTCAAAGCGAATGGGCCTTCCTTGATGCAGATCAAGCGGGAAATCTCCATAATGAAGCTGGTCCGGCATCCAAATGTAGTGCATTTGCACGAGGTAAGCTCTCACAGACAACACCATATCCAACTTGCGTCTTGTAATGTGGGTAGATCAGCAGCGGCTGCAACTTAGCTGGCAGAGCTGGAATTGCATGTGACCCTGAGCTAGCAATCCTTGTGTTGAGGCGATGCATGGGCTGATCCAAGAAGGCCCGGTTTGTTAGAGCATTTTCACCCTCAACACTTGTTTTCCCCCTTCCCCCTCCCAGGTCCTGGCGAGTCGGACCAAGATCTACATTGTACTGGAGCTTGTGACGGGGGGGGAGCTCTTCGATAAGATTGTGAGTACCTCTACCTTATCAAGGGGCATTGGTAGTAGTTCAATCAAGTGATTTGGATTGAAGTTGGAGCTTTGACAGCAATCCCCTGGTACCCACCATGCTTCACCGGCGTGTCTACTGCTGGAATGACGCACACTTGCTGCTGCCAGGTGCACCAAGGCAAGCTGCCCGAAGACGAGGCGCGGCGCTACTTCCAGCAGCTGGTGGACGCAGTTGACTTCTGCCACAGCAAAGGCGTGTTCCATCGGGACTTGAAGGTACTCTTTCCTGGTTGTGTCCTACCAGTGATGATCGTTGAATCAACTGGAACAGGTTTGCTGTACATGAATTAAAACCACCGTCAGGACATTTGTGTTCCCATTGAGTTGTAGCGGCATCGTGTTGTTTTCACAAGGTCCTCGGCTCTGCCTCTTACAGCGCAGGGGGACAACTGCTTGCAAGCCCTTTCGAAGTTTTGCCACCTCCCTCTTTGACGATTTTCCTCACCCCAGGTCTCTCTTGTATACCTCTTGCAGCCCGAGAACCTTCTCCTGGACGCCAAGGGGAACTTGAAGATCTCAGACTTTGGACTGAGTGCATTGCCCATGCAAGTCCAGGTGCGGCCGTTTTCCAACTGCTGCTCCGCCACCACGGGCACTGCCATGGTTTCGAAGTGTTGATTCAGATAACCTCTCCCGCTGTTGTTCCATGTGTCCAACACAATAAGAAGCTTACTTCTGATTTTCATGAAAGTCATTTGATGATGCAGGATGACGGCCTCCTTCACACCACCTGCGGGACCCCCAACTACGTTGCTCCCGAGGTGGGTGCTCCTGCCACCCGTGCCGGGTGCGGCTTCTTGAGTTTTGACCAAGGTCGAGGAGCTCTGTAGGGAGGACTGCTAAGTCCGAGTGTAAGAACAGATCAACGATCACCACGTTTCAGTAAGGGATGCTGTCAGAAGATAATGAAAGAAGACTGGCGGATCCAACCAGTTATCTAACACGTAGAGATGTAGAAGCTACCTGAACGCACCCATCCTTGAAGTCTGCTGTGTCTGCTCTTCTGCAGGTGCTGAATGACAAGGGCTACGACGGGGCCCTGGCTGACATCTGGTCGTGCGGGGTCATTTTGTACGTGTTGATGGCAGGCTACCTGCCCTTTGATGAGCAGGACCTCATGACGCTCTATAAAAAGGTGCGACCTCGGGGCTCGTTCTCTGGGTCATCGATGGTCCAATTATCTGAGGGGTGGTCTGGTGCACAAATTGGGGACTGTCCTGTCTGCTCTCCATCCTGCTGAAAATGGACAGGTGCTCATCTGCACCGAAAAATCATACTAATATTTGTGATTCAAGTCTTTGGGGGCGCTGGATCACTTGACCTCGACTTTCTTTCGGGGCACTCGTTTCAGTCATTGACACGGGTTGAGCGACTGTGTCGTCTCTCTTCCTCATCCGCTCCGTTCCTCCCGCTGCTGCAGATCCACCGCGCTGACTTCACCTGTCCGTCTTGGTTCTCACTGGGCGTCAAAGCCGTCCTGCGCAAGCTGCTCGACCCCAATCCTAAGACGGTGAGCCGCTCACTGCTTTCGTTAAGAACCGATTATCGTTCCCGGCTTTTGCTGACAAAACCTGGGAACAACATCGCACGGATTGTCCGTACTACCAACGCTTGCCTTGTACTAAATCAGGCCCCGTCGCTTTATCTTGTTCCTTCTCAGCCGCCGTTTCCTCTTGTTTGCCGTGCAGCGGATTCGCGTGAGCGGGCTGCGCAACGACCCCTGGTTCACCAAGGGGTACCACCCAGTGCAGCCCCTCGAGGAGAACACCGACGACTCCGACGATGTGGCCGCCGTGTTTGGCAATAACGAGGTACTGCCGACATCGTCTGGCCCGCACCGACCAGTCACCGCCCTTCTCAGCCGTCAACTGAATTGCCCGATGCATTAAAGCAGACAGCTTTCTCTAATTCCTGTGGCAAGTTGCTCGCCCGTTCGGTTCTGCATTCCGAGCCTTTGAACCTCATCAATATCATCCCTTCTCATCGGCCTCCTTTGCCTATGCAATGTATAGTCGTCTGCTCTCACTCAAGTCTCCTTGGATTGATGCCTTGCTTTTCCGATACCGTTGACAGGCTGACCTCACTGGTCGCTATTGTCATGCGGCGTGCAGGACAGCCACGTGAGCGAGCAGAAGGAGCAAAAGGAGGTCAAGCCGCACCTGATGAATGCCTTCGAGCTCATCACCCTCTCGCAGGGCCTCAACCTCTCCACCTTCTTCGAGAAGCGCCAGGTGCGTGCACCCGCCCGCTCCAATAGCTGTGCCTGCCCACGCCGATGGCCTCGCCGCATCAGGAGCAACCCCGATACTTTTTAATGGTCCGGCATTGAGCACCGACGATTGCCGACTTCGCCTCGCGACCCGTCACCCTCACGTTCGGTTCCTCCACTTTGCCATCGCTTACAACGGTCTGGCCTATCCTGCAGCGATGTGCTGATTCGTTCCACTTTTCGCGCTCAGGACCACATGGTGAAGCGGCAGACGCGCTTCACGTCCAAGCGGCCCGCCAAGGAGATTGTCCAAAAGATTGCTACCGCTGCCAGCGCAGCCGGCTTCACTGTCGCCACTCGCAACTACAAGGTATACTCCAGACCCCCTGCCCTGGCGGTCCGAGCACCGGTACCGCTCATGGACTGCAGCCGGCGTGAGGCACAGACGGCAGCTTCGGATGGCAGGCCACGCGTTGTAAAAGTTCAAACTGCAGCTCTCCATTCAAAGTTTCAGTATTTAGATGCAGAGCGTACCGCAGGTCAAAGGGAGCACTTTCTATTTCCGCTTGGTGCGCGCACCTTCGTTTGGCTTTGAGCTCTGGTGCATGCGGCAAGCCTCCAAGTCCCTGACCGTGATCACTGATTGCGGCGGGCGTGTGCGTGGCATGTGCAGATTCGGATGGAGGGCCGCTCCGCGTCGCACAAGGGCATCTTGCAGGTGGCCGTCGAGGTGTTTGAGATGGCGCCCGGCCTACACATGGTCGAGGTCAGGAAGGCCGGCGGCGACACGCTCGAGTACCACAAGGTGAGCGCCCGCTCGTCACCGTCGCTTTCAAGGAGGAGGGCGGGGGTGTGCTGGAGTGCCTCGGCACGCTCACGTCTGGCGTACGAAGGAGTCGCTTGAGGGGACGGCGGAGTTATCTGGTCCACAAGTTTCCACGGGTGCCCTCCAGCTTGCCGACAGCCAAACCTCGCCCCTGACCTCCGTGTTGTTGTCTACCAGTTCTACAAGCTGCTGTGTCAAAAGTGCACCGACATCATTTGGAAGTCGGAGCTGAGTGCCATGGACGGGAGTGCCTCCAAGGCCTCAGCCATTGCAAGCACCAACGGGGCGGTTGCAACCGGGGATGAGGGGCCTGCTACCGGACCTGCCACGTGACAGAGGCCCCCTACATGGAGCTTGGTCAGCTCCATGTCATTGAAAAGGTAAGCAGGTAATGAGTTGTTATAAAGGGGTGTACGGTAGATGCAGCGCTCTCTTCGTCGCTGTCGTGGGCCGCCAGCTTAGGGTGATCATCGTCAATAATTATGGTTTGGGTTCGCTGGCAAAGAATGGCACTGCGGCGCAACGAGGCAGTCATTCGCTTGTACATATATTCAGTATGCTTTCGTTGAAGCTTTACGGCCTCTCTTGATCGGGCCTGAACAAGAAAAGGTTGAAAGTTGCTTGTACAACTAGGCAATAATAAGACATGCTTATTCGAGGCTGTCACAGTTCACGTGGACGTGTCCGAATGCGCATTGGAACTCTGTATACGTAGTCTGTGTATACCGGTCTTGCAATCATCGCCGCCATGCAGGGTACATATGCAACCGGACATATATAGCTCTTGCCAGCGACTGATGTGCAATATATCAAAATTCGGCCTTTGCATGCGTCCTTATATGACTGAGCGCGTGCAGCAACCGTGAGCCGCAGCGAATGATCATACTTTGTATCAAATTATGGACTGACATACTTGCTTTAGACGAGTCGGAGTGAGTCGATGGAGTTAATCACGACCGTCCTATACCTAGCTGAAACGTTGGAGCTGACCGGCCTACGGCCAGCCACCTCGCAAAATATATAGAATCGATCACGACAATTTTATAGTCATGCATGTCCGTATTTGCCTGGGCAGTTCGCTTATCAATATATGCCAGAAAGTTCTACTGCATATTCAAAAAATTTGACTCGACAGTCGCGAGTGGCTATACGCCGTTTTGCATGAAAAGAGAAAAGCACTAGCTAGCAGTCCTTTGCCCGGTTCAACTTCCGGCAGAAGTCATCCTTCTTCAACTGAAATCAATGATCGATTACATGGTTCAGTGCCGCTTGGAGACCTTTGTAGCTGGCTTTCCGACTAGCTCGCACTTTTGGTCGCATAGGCCCAGCCTTTTGCGTTGTCTCTATTGACCCATCAAGCTTCAAGTTACAAAACTGAAGTCGCACATGGTCGACACATCTAAAATACAACAACGAGTCGATCTGGGATTGCTCGAATTCTGGTCACCGGCTCCCACAAGGGGTAAAACATAAGTAGGCAAGAAGCTGAAGTTTCACAAACTTCGTCTCTGCAGATTAATTGGATTGTGTCAAATGTCGAAAACTCTTCTGCAATGAATGTTTCTCTCTCAACACCTAGGAGCAAAGCTGCAGCACCGCACTTCGTTGAAAACAGCCCCCCCCCTTTTCTAAAGCCCGCCCTCATTATCTACTCGTCATCCATAGGGGCATCATCGACTCCCGATTGGAAGATAAAGGACGGGTAGTCGCTTGTAATGTCCCTGCACTTGCGCGAGAATCGTTAGTCATTACTTTAAACGGCAGCCTAAACAAGCTGATGCATGCATGCAACACATTCAGCTACGCCAAAAGCTGAATAACGCATTCAACACATTGAGGTATGCCAAACGCGAAAATACCTGTTCAAATCATTTCTGTGGTTTTATTCTGTGCTCAACAAAACGTCACCTGCAAAATATACGCCACAACTCCAAGTCCAACAAGTTACGGGGTTGGACGGAAAGCCACTCCCGGGTGTACTAATGATGCCTGCCGCCGTTGAGGCGGGGCCCCGCTGCGGGCGTACCTGAGCGAGGGCAGCGTCATGTTCTTGAGGATGTTGGGGTGCTTCTCCACCATGACCGCCCACTCCTCCTGGTCGATCTTGCCGTCCTGGTTCGTGTCCGCCTCCGCAAAGGTCTGCACCGGACCCACACCACACGCGTTACCTCTGCGGTTGTTTGCCACTAAAACGCCTCTGGATGCAGTCAACCAGAGGGTGAAAAGCAAAGCAGGAAGTGGCGAGGGCGCCTTCACAGATAGACGGCTGCGAATAGCCATCCAAGAGTCCAGCAGTTGAACGACCACCTCCGTGTTTACCGACTTGGAAACTCAACGCGAGGAGCGAAACCCCATAAAGCGCCCTCCCTTCGAGCGACTCATTCATTCCCGCTAGTGTTGCGGGCCTGACCTGTTCGACAATGTGGCGGATGACCTCGTCGGAGAAGTCCAGGTCGGGTGTCTCCTTCATCAACGCAGTCAGCATCATCTCCACCTGCACGCACAGCAACATGTGTTAGCGGCTGGCCTTGCTTCGAAGTCCAGCACGCTTCGCACTGCATGTCAACAAAGCACTGTACCTCCTTGAAAGACAGCTCTTATTGACAACTCTCGAGTGTGGATGCCATCGCCTGATGGTCCGGCCAGCGCTTAAATGGAAATTGCTGCGTTGTGCAGCGGCTCTTTCAAGGACAGGTGTCAGCACATGCAACGAGTCGTGGTGAGCCGGAGTGGCTAGGCAACGCACCTCGACGATATCAATCGTCCCCGTTTGGCGCAGGTCGTAAAGCTTGAATGCAACTGCAGTAGCACCAAAAGGGTGAGCGATTGACAAGGGAAACGGAAGAGTCCAGATTCGCAGCCGGAGAAAAGAAGGTCGCATCGTCCGGTTCTGGTCTGAGAACCACGGCCGTCCTGAGCAGGCACACCCTGTTTCCACAGCTGCCCTATTGGGCAGTAGTAGGCGCAGCGCAAGTGTGGCAGGCAGGTGTTGGAGAGACATCGGGGCGCGCCGCCTCACAGGCCAGCTTGTCGTTGGTGGGGGCCCTGGGGTGGAACACGCTGAGGGAGCGCACGAACTCGCCAAACTCGATGACGCCATTGCGTTTGATGTCAAACAGCTCGAAAACCTGCAGTTGAGGGTTCAGGGATGTGTGTACTGTTAGCTCTCTGCCCTGGATCTAAAAATTGGTCTCCACTAGGAAAGGTTGGCTGTGTCTCCCTCTTTCTTGGAAAAGACTGGATTAATCTGCCTCACAAACAGACCACGTCTTGCTGTGCCGAGTGCAACCGGCCAGAGAGGTTGTGCCTGACAAGCACTGTGTCACATGTACCAAGATACAAAAACTGTTGGTTTGCTGAACTCGAGCAGTACGTGGAAATACTGACTGCTAGGCTCCCAAGTTGGACATGCAATAACCTGAAGCAACCGGCAATTGGGACATAGAAATGGAAAACGCCGCTCGTCTTGCAAAGGTAATGGCAGCAATTTAAGACCTTGACATCCTCACATTTGGCAAAGGTCGAGAGGGCTCACCCTTTCTGCGAAGAGGTTGTTTGTGTTGCTATTCTTAAAGAGGGCCTGCATGAACTCCTCCTGAATAGAACAGACACAACAATCACCAATCATGCCCCTCTGACCACCTAGCCCCAGCTGCCAATCGGCAACATTGGCATGATGGATGCTGCACATGCTGAACCAAAATAACCCATCCACTTAAAAATGGCAGGTCATCAGTGGTGCAATAAGGCTTTTGACAGCTATACTATCGCCGTGGTTGTCTTACCTTGTGAATGAGCCCATCTGTGATGATGCTGTTGCTCACTTTGGTGAAGAGTGTATAAAGCGCTTCAACCTCGCTAACAGAAACTGCATAACCGTGGGAACAGAGACATCAGCTGAGAGCCACCAAGGCAGGTCTTAAAACTTACAGCTTCGAGCGAGGAGCTGCAGACAAGGGTCTGTAACGAGGCTCCAGGGACACTGGGTGGGTGACCAACAGAACAAACCGCCAAAGAAAGACACACTGCTTTGCAACATGTAGGACTTAAGCGTCATGTGAGCATGCTATAATCTTGACCACCAATGATGAAGTTGAGAACACTTGCGGCACAGAATCATTTGGAAGCTGGGTTCTAAGAAGCACATGGCCCTGCGGGCAAGCCAAGGAGACGCGGTGCCACTTACATGCTGTTTCACTGGCCAGAACTTCAGGCTCCTCGTATCCGGGGGGTCGTCTCGTCTCTGTCACATTCTTGGACCCTATGCATCCCATCGGCAATGCGATCTCGGAGGGCGATTGCTGGCAGCGCGCTGCCGCAGGCCCTAAGCTGGGGGGTCACCTAGGTTGGACGATGAGTCGGCTGTCTGTCGCCTGTGAACGATTCGGGGCTCGGCTTTGGAGTTAACAGATTTGCCGCAGTCATATCCTGGAGGTGCCAACCACCGCAGAGAATACCATTACGCCTGCTGCCCCAGGCACAAACACGCATTGAAGCCATGCATAGTGCTGTGCCATGTAGCATAAAGGCATCTTTCAAAACCATGAGTTGGGTGATATGCGTGATTTAGCAGAGAGCTAAAGAGGGAACAAAACTCAACATGTAAATAATGCGTAGAGATCCAAGCTGCAATGCAGCTGTCAAACCCAGCTCCCTTGCCTACATTCACTCCAATGAAGTCTGACAAGGATGAGGCAAATTTTAAACCGCTGATCAGTAAAAGCCGCACCTTCTTCGTGACCTTTTGCACACAGGATTGGGCGGACGGCCCGTGTCTGAAACGCAGCACTAGTGCCATCATGTGCGGATCATCATATAAGAAACTTCTTCATTGTCTCCAGAGGATTGCCTTTTGCTGCCTTGACTTCACGCTGGCTCATACATTCCCCACTGACGCGCTCAAACGTCATGATGGCCGCCCCTGGTTGATCTTGGTCCTCTCTTCGTTCCTTTTGTCCCTATATAGCTGTGCCCTGGATCATGTTGCACCATGCTGCCCGGATGCTGCCCATGCTCCAATTTGCTCCTGATCCTCATCTGTCCTGCGCAGCAACCAGCGAGGTTGAACTTGAACCTGCACCAAGTCCCATGAGTCACGCACATGGCCGAGTAGGTACCGACCTATATGAGGCTCGACGAAATTAGGGTTCTGCCCCACTACGGTACCGTAGGTTGGTAGGGGACCTATTCTCTCGGATCTCGACTCCGTGCAAGAAGTGCATTTCAGATTCGAAGGCGTCTTGTTCACCTTCCAATCCCTTTCTGAAGCCGCAGCGGCAGGGAGTGCGTGAAGGTGGCTATATGGCTGACGTCTCCATGGCCACCCTGCATGTGTATGACGTTACAAATTCTACTCCTTCCACGAATGCGAACATCTTACGAATCAACCGGATCACCAGGGACGCTCTCGGCATTGGAGGGATTTTCCATGGAGCGATTGAGGTAAGATTTGTCAATGATGGAACCTCAAAGGCTGATTTCAGGGGGCATTCTTTGCGCGAGTAAGTGGCCCCAGTTATTGAAGTGCTGCCCGTGCGACGCACTTCCAGGCAGAAGTGTTTGATTCCTGGATTGCCCAACCTTTGTTGTTGCCCCCAAAAGAGATTGCTGCCTCATGTAACTCTATCACAAAGTTTGCAGGGTTTCCAAGCACGGTGCAATCAGAGCAGTGGAACTAAAACCAAGCCTTTGGACAAGGAACTAAAGCGTTTGCATTTCTCGAATACTTTGTTTTGAAACTCGAGTGGGTTATCCAATGGGCTCGCACCCTGCATCCAAGGTCTTGAATGACTTTGCTTTCAGGTTTGTGCTCGCTTTCTGGACAGGCAAACATAGTTTTTTTGCTGACGAACCAAGTCAGCAGTATGATTAGTTGCTAGCGAGTATAGTATGGTCGATTCAAAATCAAGCCACGTGAAAGGCAAACGACCAGAGCATGCCCTCCTTTGCCAATCTGAGCAGCCTTGTCTTCAGAGGGACCTTATGCAATCGCCTTTGGTGTTGTGCAGGTCTACGGGGAGGAATGGTCGTTTGGGTACTGCGAGGATGGGTCAGGGGTGTTCTCCTGCCCCCCCAAGCAGAACCCCATGTACAAGTACCGCGAGTCCATACCTTTGGGCATGACAGCATTCGACCAGCAGAAAGTGCGCCAGATCCTGGTGGCCCTCTCCAAGGAGTGGCCCGGCAGGTGGGGTCCTGGACTGTGCCTGATTCTGACATTTGGGGAGCCCAGCAGTCTTTTACATAGTCCCAGTTGTTAAACCTTGTGGTCAGAATGGCAAGACGCAGACAAGGGTGCTGTCAGTTCGCTTCTATTTCCAAGATTGTTCATCCGGTCTGCTTGCAGGTCATTGTGCCCACTGTGGTTCTGAGTAAGGCCTGCTTGTCAAGTATCACAAAGGAAATCATTTCTTGGTATCTGTGGGCCCCATTCTTTCTACCCATCGCAGCCAGCTTTGACTCGGTGTGAGCGGACTTCTCCTGTTGAGCTCCAACGCCTCCACGTGACATTCTCTGAGTCTCAGGTTTTTCCTGCGGCACCAAAAAAAAAGGAGAGGGGGTCGGGTAACTAAAGACTACAAAGTGGGGAGAGGAGTTTGGAATTGCACACGTTTGGTTCAGGATAAACTGAAGGTTTCCAGAGCTTCTGCAAAGTAAGGAGCTGAACATTGCAGCCAGGTGCAGTTGTGCAGCTTCTGTACTTGTTTCTATGGCGATGAGCGCACTCCACACACCTGGCAGACCGCACTCTCAAAATGGCCTCACTTATCTGTCCACGTTCCCTGCAGCTCATATGACCTGCTGGCAAAAAACTGCAACCACTTCTGTGATGAGTTCAGTAAACGGCTTGGGGTGGGGCTCATACCAGGTGAGGGCCCCTTCTCGGTTACAATCCCCTCTTTGTGAAAGTCATACCAGGAAAGCTGCACCGTTGAAGCCCTCTCCCGCTAGGCGACCTGCCGGTGTCCAAATCTCTGAAGCCATTTTGAATCATCGTTTGATTTGGCATCAACTTGTAAATCGACAGGTGTTGCTGCATTTGATAGATTTTCGAAGTGAACTCAGTAAGCTGAATGTACTTTCCTAGAGTGGTAGCAAGGATCAATGGGAGAGCGTTGCACTGTCGAATAGCGGTGTCCCGAGAAGCTGCTTGTCCTTACAATTGCCACATCCCGTTATGTGCAGCTTGGGTGAATAGATTCGCCAATGTTGGTGACTCTGCCGCAGATTTAGCCGGGGCAACCATGCTTCAGGTAAGGCACCTGCCAAGGCTTATCGAGCAGGCTCAAGTCGATCGTTTGCTGACCCTGAATATCCTGCAGTTCCTTCCTTGGTGGCAGAGAGAGAGGGCTTTAACAGCTCTAACCAGCACCTCGAGTCCACAACCTCCACGTTGCACGATCATGGAGCCCATTGCACCGACAATGATGTCTAGCTGGTCAAGCAACGTTGAGACCAAGGTTCAGACGGCACCTTCCCCATTTTCAACTGAAATGTCGTTCTTCTTGCAGCTGCGGCAACTGCGGAACGATATGAGTGTTGCTGGGAGAAATGCATACCGGTGGATGTTTGGCCCCCCAGTCACGGAAGGAGCTGCCTCTACATCAGAGGAGAAGAAGCCGACAGCAGCCCCTCAAGAGCAGCGGCCTTTCTCACGGGGTACGTCCATGTCAAGCAAGACAGGGGGGGAGGAGCTGACGGCCGTCGAGAAGAGGAAGTTGAACGGGGCAGAAGCAAGCATCTCACCACCACTACCGGTGTGTCCTGTTCCTCAAAACGTTCACACGTTGGAAAGAGTGGCGTGACCAACGAGTGGCCCTAGATTCCTCACATTTCGTTCGAGAAAATTTATGCACGCGTAAACAGTCAAAGGCTGAACTTAGACGAAGCCATGAAACTGCAGTCAGGTTGAAGCTTGCGGTATGGTCGTCCTTCGTTGCGGCGCAGCAGCCATTAAGGCTAGGCCAGGTATGGTCGAGTTGTACTGAAAGGTACCTATTAAAGGTCCACGGTACTCGAGTCACTGATCATGTACTTGTATACTGAAAGCAAAGTCGGTGAGGTTATTTCATTGCTTGGTCTGCAGAGATTGCATACTATGATAGTGACGAATTGCAGTTGCATACAAATTGCAATCTTGACCTGTCATTGTACTTCAGCGTCGCCGACAAAATTGAACACTGACATTCCGCTGAGCTTCTTTCATGTGGAGTTGATTGAAAAGTATAGATTGCATGCCAGCCTGCAATCCATATATCGGCGGGCCGCATATTGAACTGAAAACTGTGTTATCTGAGATTTATACGGAGTTGGTGCAATGCAGCATGCAAGAATTGCGTGCGTCGGCAGGTGCACATGTGTCATTATGGCTTGTATGTACGCACAGATCCATCATTCATGATCGAAGATATATTTAATACCATTTGCCATCATTGCAGTGAGCATGCGCCGCCATGCGAAAACAGCGACTGCAGCATGCGCGCAATGTATACGCCACCGCAATCTTCAGATAGAAACACAGTTGCCATGTACAGATATGAAACCGTCATTCTGGTTGCGGCGCATGCAAATCCCGGAACACATGCCCAACCCAGAGAAAACCTCGAAAATGATGAACCTGACATTCATGTATGATCATTCGATGAGGCGAATTACAAGGGGTCGTGAGTCACGCTTCACTGTAGAGTAGACACTGAATTCGGCCAAAGGGTAAGGATTGATATCATGGAGCATGCGCCGCTGTATCCACGTTGCAACTTGACGCATGTGAATCACACTCCCTCTAAGGACGAACCAGTGTCATTAGACTGTCTCAAAGCGCGAGCCTGCACTAGGGGTTCTGTAGTATCCAAGAAGAAGAAACGCGTCGTGGAAAGCGTAATCTGTTCATTGCCTGAAAAGAATTCTCCGCATCAAAATAGAGCTCAACTCAGGCCTCTAAGATGGGTTGACGGCCTTTCATTATGAATGTCAACAGCGTAAAAATGCAGTGAGTCACATGATGAGGCTCCAGACTTGCTCCTAGGACGCAGGCTCTAAACTCTTGGAAACAATCTCGTACACATTCTCGGACAGCCCCTCTGTCCGTACAATCCGTTCTAGCTGAGCCTGCAAAATCAAGACTAGAGCGTCACTGCAAATCCTGTAAAAACCTCAAAATCAAAGGACCACGTGCGATAACCAAAGACGAGCCATTCTACAACTTCCATTGCAGCGACATGAAGAAGGATATGAGTTTGGCACATCCTGGATCGAGAGACCCTTGTTTCGAGAAGCATGCAGAACCACGGATCAGCCGTCCGGACGCGTTAGCGTGACCGCGCGCCTCACCTTGGCCTTGCTCTGCCTGTCGTCGTCGTAGCGGCGCCACCGGGTGAACGCGCTGACCATGCGGGACGCCACCTGTGCGTTGATCTTGTCCAGCTTGAGCACCTGCTCCGCCAGGAACTCGTACCCGCTGCCGTCCCGCGCGTGGAAGTTGACGGCGGCACTGGCAAAGCCACCAACGAGGGCGTACACTTTGTTGGGGTTCTTCATGTCGAACGCGGGGTGCTCCAGCAGCGAACGCACGTGCGCCACGTTGCCTGTCAGAGAAGCAGCCCGTCAGGAGAAGGCGCGGCTTTGAAGTAGAACCCAACTTACGCTAGGTACAACATGTCGTCCTCCAAACAAAGGCCTAAGCCTGCATGACAGAGTACAAGCGTTGCAATTCTCAGAAGCGGAGTTGAACGATACGTTCGCCCCAAAAATTTCTCCGAATCGACAACTGAATCGCAATCACAATGAATCGCACTGTTGGCCCTCCCTTGGCTCCCCTGCCGTGCACCCCAGCCGCCGCTGACCTGGCAGGGACGACGCAGCTTGGATGCCGAGCCACTTGTTCATGACCAGGCCGTCGCCCTTCCACTGCTCGTAGAACTCCGCCAGCGCCGTGTCGCGCGCCTCCCCGGGGTTGACAGCCAGGGCCGCCAGGGCCGCCAGCTGGTCCGTCATGTTGGTGGAACTCCTGAACGGGCAGCAGCCAGCGGTCAGAAGCCGACAGCGGCGCAGTAAGAGATCGGAACAAGGACAAATTTCTCGAATTGCCGAAACTCAGTTAGGATAGACGAAAGGAAGCACCCGAAGAACAGACAATCTGAGTAGTCTCGTCCAAGCAGATCAGGCCGATGGGACGAGACCTGTGGACCCTGTAGTTACTCAAGAGGTGCTTGCAATCCTTGTCGCAAAGAAAATTCTTGTCAGACAATCGATGTTTTCGGGTATTGGCTTTATCTCCTCATACACATCATTTCGCGATTTCCTCTTCATTTGTTTCGCAATCAAAAAGAAGCGAAGCTTTCCCCTGCCCTTTCACGAAGTTCGACACGAATCCCGGTCCCCTCTTCCCTGACATTTCTGGGAAATCCCCTTCACCCCGCGGGGGGCATGCCCTCGCCTCACCTGAAGTCCGCGAGCGCCATGTCTGTGATGTCCGCCTCGTTCAGGCTGGCCAGGTAGCCCAGCGCCGTGTTCTTGAGCGCGCGCCGCGCCTTGCTGGCGGTGTCGGGGCTGTAGGCGTCGCGGGTGCGGTTGCTGTCCACGGCGTGCTGCAGCTCGGCGCGCAGCTCGGCCGCAATGGTGCGCGTCACGAACTTGTGCACCGCGTGGATGGCGTCAGGGTCCGCCACCGCCATCATGTCCGCCAGCTCGCTCTGGGACGGCAAACTGATGGCGCGCGCAATGAAGGCCTGCGCCAAGGGAACCAACATGCATCTTTATACGTTTCGGAGACGGGGGGGATAATCGAGAAGATCACGCCTGGTGCAGCACACAAAGACCAGCTCTTCGTTCGAGGGTAATCAGTAGGCGGCTGTGTTTATCGAATCATGGCAACTTGCTTAATAAGGGAACATATTGAGCTTGATGTGAACGAGGGCCCATACAAGAAGCCGGCAGCGTCTGGATGGAACGTCGCAATGACGGCAGCAATTTGCCGGCGCAGAGACCCAAGACCCCGATGATCGAGAGAAAACGCAGCAATACGCTGTATCCAAAGCCGCTGCCGCTGCTGCCAGCACATTCTGTTTGGAGATGCCGCGGTGCTCACCTTATCAAGAGCCGCGTCCGTGAGGACGTCCTTCAGCGCGGCCACAAAGGCGGGGGCCAGCTGCAGGGTGTCCCCCTTTTGGGCCTTGCCCACCAGGTCCAGCATCAGCTTGCGCGCCAGCGTCTGGGCCGCCTCCCACCTGCACACCACCCCGGACACACCCGCATCAACGAAACCGTGCCCAACAGAGTTCAGGGCTACGGGGCTGCAGCAGCCGCTGACCTTCTTCCCGGATGTAGGCGTGTGGAAGGTGAGCGGCCTTCTTGAATTCTGACGTGCGCGTGCATCTCGTCGATGTGAAAACTTGGAAGAATTAAGCAAGACACACAAGATCACAATTTCGCAAAGAGAAGCAGCTTAGACTCGTGCGTGCCTCGTGCGGGGCTGCTTTGCGCACCTGTTGAACGGGTCCGAGTCGTGCGCCAGCAGGAAGATGAGCTGCTCGTCCGTCACGTCAGAGGTCAGCCGCACCGGCGCGCTGAAGTTGCGCAGCAGGGACGGCACTGGCCGCGCCGGGATGTTGTCGAACGTGAACGTCTGCTCTGCCTGGTCCACGCGCAGCACCGTGGACGTGGGCGCTGCTCCGTCCGGCCCCGCCAGCGGCCGCCCGTTGACGGAGGAGAGGGGCAGGTCGGCGCCGTCCGGCCCGAGCAGGCCGACCGTGACCGGCAGCAGCATGGGCTGCTTCACGGGCTGGCCCGCACTGGGTGGGACCTCCTGCCTGGCGCGACACGAAGTGCCCGACAATGAGTTAGACAGTCGTCCATAGGAAAGCCAAGTTGTGAAAGCCGCCACCACCAAAGGAGCGTCAACAACTTTGGAAACGTGCTGTTGTCACTTGACGTCCCTTTAGTCGCGTACCAGCAAGGTAAAGCATGTCTCAAGCTTCCGAAAGGCGTCTCTTTGAAGAATGGAACCGGAATAGGGCATGGCTAAAACGTACATCAACACCTAAACTGCACGCCACCTCTCCATTCTGGCAATAGGCATATGCACTTTGGCTCAAGGGTAGTTAGAGGCTGACTTTCCCACGTCCGGCTTATCATCTGATGGTGGTCCCGGGCCAGCCGTCTACAACCAGCTCTGCCAATTTCAAAAAGACATCAGGTCTTTAAGACGACTCCCAGGCGTACAGTGCCTGACAAGCCGCCATCGGTACACCCGGTGGTCCTTGCGCGCAGCCCCCCTTACTTACTTGGTGGTGAGCGTGAACGTCTTGGCCGCCTCGTCGTAGTGCGTGGTGATGCTCAGCCGCGGCGTGCCGGCCTGCTGGTACCAGAGCGGGAAGGTGCCCAGGTCCGCGCCGTTGGCGTCGCGCATGGCGGCCAGAAAGTCGTCGCAGGTGACGGCCTGCCCGTCGTGGCGCTCGAAGTAGAGGTCCATCCCCTTGCGGAAGCCGGCCTTGCCCAGCAGCGTCTCGTACATGCGCACCACCTCCGCGCCCTGCGTGGCACACACCCCCGGGACGTCAGACTGTGCAGCTGGGGCCGCATAACCAGGCATGACGAGACCCGCAGCGCACGCGGTATCCGAAGCAATTAGTCAACCATACGGTTCCAAGAGGACCAATTTAATCTGTCCTCTGGAGCTGGCTCCCAGCAAGAGTGTGTGCGGACCTTCTCGTAGACGGTCAGCGTGTAGAAGTTGTCCATCTTGATGTACGACTGTGGCCGCACGGGGTGCGCCATGGGCCCTGCGTCCTCCGGGAACTGCGCCATGCGCAGCCGCTGCACGTCCCCAATGCGCGTCACCGCGCGGCTCGTCATGTCGGACGTGAATTCTTGATCACGGTAGACAGTCAGGCCCTGCACAAATAGAAGGCCACTTCATTTCCTGTACAACCGCGGTTGGAAGGCAGACAGTACCATGTGGCAACCCTTTCGACCCAGGATTCGAATCTCACGTGAAGCATGTTTTACCCACACGCGCTCAAGTGACGAGGATCCGGTGGTGTTACCTCCTTGAGGGAGAGCTGGAACCAGTCGCGGCAGGTGACGCGGTTGCCGGTCCAGTTGTGGAAGTACTCGTGGCCGACGACGCCCTCGATGGACGTGTAGTCGCCGTCGGTGGCCGTCTCGGGGGTGGCCAGCACCAGCCGCGAGTTGAAGATGTTCAGCGACTTGTTCTCCATCGCACCCACTGCGCACGCCACACAGCACGTCATACAGCCGCTTGACCTACCAGGCTGCACCTACAGCACTCTGTGCTACCCGGTTTGGAAGCCCGTTTTACAGCACAAATCAGAGCAAGAATCCCCATATCGGAAACAATTGCCGCACACAGTCGCTCGGCATCCTGGAAACAGCAGGCTGCTTTTCGCCTGGCGGAATATCGCGTGAGGGCATGGCAAGCGGGTTGCATGCCAAGGCACCCACAAAGATGTTCTCGTGCACCTTCTGACGGAGGCGACCCAGAGGCTGCTTCAGACGAGTCGGATGGCAAGCGATAAGAAAGTCGTCGAAACGCTCACTGTTGAAATCGTCGACAGCCACGATGTTGAACAGATCCAGATCTGGATGAAAAGAAAAGGCAATGAGTTGGGTGAAGGAAAAGCCAATATCAGTTTGCGAAAAGCTTCTGGATAAGGATCGGGTTCACGAATCGGTCACCAAAGCGCCTCTTACAATTGTTGGACAATGTTTTTGATATGTCGTGCAGAACCATATCCACACGAACGGCCGCAAAGGATCTTGGCTGCGCTGGAGCCTCACCGTACTCCCGGCCGAAAGTATCCTCATCCCACTTCATGGCGGCTTGCAGCGAGCGCATGGCATAGGCAGTCTTGTCCTTGTTGTGCTCCTACATGTCCAAAAGCAGAAGCAGTCGTCAGCACACGTTCAATATTGACCAATACCAGTCAAGGTATTGTGTGAGACAATGAACAGAGGGAGAGAAAACAAAGAAACGAGGCTCAATTTGAATGAATTTAGGAGCAGAGCTTCTGTGAATTGACAAACAATATATGTAGATGGGCTTTGAATGGCTGTGGAGAATCCGGGCCCAATACCCGCACGATACTCGCACGTTTTCATGGATTGCATGCAGCCATCGCACCGGTCCAACGAAGAAGAACGCCAGCAGTGCTCCTCTTGCGGTGGCGGCCTGACCTGGACGTATATTCGGAGAGTGACCTCCTTGCCGGACATGGTCACGAACTTGTCCTCCGTGTGCGTCAGCTGGCCCGCCACCAGGGCGAACAGGTAGCACGGCTTCACAAAGGGGTCCTCCCACACCGCGTAGTGGCGGCCCCCTTCCAGATCGCCCTGCTCCGCCAGGTTGCCGTTGGACAGCAGCACCGGGTAGCGCGCCGCGTCACCCTCGATGCGCACCGTGTAGCGGGCCTGTCGTCAGAAAGGGCTTGTTAGCATTCAGTAAGAATATGGTCAATTGACATGGCAGGTCGAAGAGTGGCAGCCGTTGATTCCTCCATTGAATGCTTTCACGGTTGTTACAATGAACAGGGCTTAGGACACCAGGTCCTTTCGGAGGACCCCTTACCATGACGTCGGGGCGGTCCTGGTAGAAGGTGATGCGCCGGAAGCCCTCCGCCTCGCACTGGGTGCAGAAGTTGCCACTCGTCTTATACAGGCCCTGCCACGCGGCAAGCTTGAGTGCGTGAGGACACACGAGCAGGCCCACTGGACTGCAGCAAGGCCCTGAATGGGCAAGAGGTCACAGGCAAGCAGCTGTACCAGCAACCTCCTCCAGGAGTGGCTTGACACAGGACAAGGAAACAGGGAAGGCGCGTTGGACGGCCTTAGGTCGCCCATCATCTTCGACCAATGGCAATCTAAGACTTGCTTAAGCCGGCCCCCTGCTTGCGCGGAGGGCTGCTGACCTCTAGTGCGGTGTTGTTCTGGGGCTGGATCTTGGTTTCAATCTCCAGGGTGTACGCCTCCGCGGGCGGGGAGACGATGGTCAACTTCTTCTGGCTGCGCTCGAAGTCGCCCGTCTGCAGGCAAGCATACCCAAACGCGGAGTCACCTCTGGACTAGGCTGCAGCAGCTTAACCCTGGTTCAGCATTTCAGTGAACTCTTTCCTCTGCTGATGCCTAAAGCAAAAAGAATCCGCAGAGAGATCGAGGTCAAAGATGCCCCTCAAAGACTTTCTCTGCGCATACAACAACAAAGCCACATCTCATCCACTTACTCAGCCATCAGTGCCGCATGACCAACCTTGAAGGGTTTATGACCCTGTCGATAGTCCATCCCAAGTGGACTCCCAATCTCGGGCTCCGCAATCAGGGTGGCTGAAAAGCACCTATCATTCAGATGAGAAGCTTGGCAGTATCTTTGAGCCACTTATTCTAGAGATATCATTTCAAGTTGGCAATCCCTTGTCTCTCACGACTTGCACGAAAAGACCTACCTGCAGCGCCTTCCCGTTCACCTTGACATTCACCAGCTCCAGGTCCTTGGGCTCAGCCCCATCCAGGATCAGAGGAGGGCTGCCACCTGTGCCAGCAAGAGCGGTGTAATTACAGGCAGGGACAGCCCCGGTACTCAACAGGCTTCCAACTAACCTGACTTTGCCAAAGGAGCTCTAGAGTCGGGTTGGCAGCCATCGAACTGCGTGCTGAGATGGACTTTGTAAAAACGGAGGGTGGCCCACACCATACCTGAGTGGCTGGGCCGCACCAGGATGCTCGAAGTGACAGTCGTGTAGTCTTCACCCAGCTCAAAAGTCAGATTGACCTGCATCAATTGAACTTTTAAGGAGTCAAGTCAAGTCAAGGAGTAGCCAACTGAACATGGCAACAAGCGACCACACCCAGTTCCTTGCAAATCCGATTCCTGGGCTGGTGCAGATGACGTCTATGTTGCCTTGATGGGGGCCCTGTTTGTTCCCGGCTCCATGTGAAGATCCTAATCAGTTGTCCAGCTCACCTTGTCAAAAAGATAATCCGGTGCCCTATAGTCTTTCAAAAAGATCGGCTTTGGAGCCTCTTTCTTCTCTACGGGCTCAGCAGCCGCTTGGGTGGCTACTGTCATCTGCGTACGCTCGACATTGGGGGCCATGCTGGGCTGCAACGGATAACCAAGGGACTATTTGAACAGGAGCAGACAGGAAGCATGTTGGCCTAATTAAAACCGAGTTGCTCAGAAAGAAGGGTGGCGTCAGCATCACATACCCAAGTTGATGAGATTGATGGAGAGGTGGTGGAGCAGAAAAGCAACCACTTTGATGTGCCCTTGAAGAAGTGAATCAACCAATCTGACAGAGCCTGATTCTACCAGCAGCCTACATCGACTCAAAAGCAATCTCTGGAGAGAGGGTGCACGAGGCTGACCAGAGCAGCGAACAGCGAAGTGGGCACGATGCTCGCTTGCGAAGGTCTCAATCCCTGCAACAGAGCACATCAAAGAAGCTCACTTGGTTGTGCAATTCAAGCAGCGTATGCAGATAAAGGATCAGGGCTGGTACTCAACAGACGACACCGCAGCTGAACAACCACATGCAAGCTCCTCACGAATTTAACAGGTTCCTTCCAGTGGTTCGCATGTGGGCCTAGACGTCCACTCTTGCTCGCGCCAACTGCCCTGCTTTACCTGTCCAGAAAGTGTCTCACTGCTGCGGAAGGGGCGAGAGGTACTTAAGACAGTCCTCGTCTGCTTTGGGGGTGTCCGGAGAAAAGAGCGAGCACACTGCACGATAAGAGACACTAGATACGTCAGGAGAGCCTCTAAAGAGATCCGCTCGCCACTGCGACCTGTTGATGTTGAATACGGTTGAAGGCCGGATGGAACAGTTGCGGCAATTTTGCAAACTGGTTGTCCATACAAAACTCTAGTCTATGGATGGCACAAATCGATGAATGCTATGAGGCACTTTACACGAGCAGGCCCTCCAGCATCTCAACACAGCGAGCTTACCCTTCGCACGATAGCTGCACCAGCCTGCATACAATCCTTGCTGCCTGAATTGGAGAACGATTTTGCTCTCAGAAAAGTAGCTGAACTGTGTGTGCGCAGACTCAAAACGGAGGCAACCGCCGGCATGGTGTCCAACTCAGTGTACCTGGTGGTGTCCAAGTTCCAACTCAGCGTACCTGGTCCTACAGCCTCAGCCTCAGCCCTGTTCCACTGCCACTTCCACTCCGAGACAATTTGAGTCGAGCAGCACCTGGCAGGGCCAGGGCCAGGGCCCAAGCTCGGGAGGGCATGTTCTAACCTGAACTTCTGCGTCCAGACTCCACACTGAAAAGTCAACTGGCACGAGTGGTTCTAACCTTATACATAACCACCCACTGACCAGCGCAAACAATAAACGCTCATGTGCCGTCGCTCTGTGTAATGGTAACGTTCTTTGTACCCAACAGAAATGCGGCCGGGTCAAAAAAGTGATCCTCAAGAGTTTGTGTCGACAACAGAAACGTGCGGAAACGACTGAAAAAGCTGACGTTTCAATGGTCGCCGTGAGGAAATCGGACGACCCACGAAGGCCAACCCAGGTTGCCAACCCGTTTTTCTAAACCTAGTGTTGGAGTTGGGGGCAATAATAATAATATTATTTTAGAATGTACGACCATTTTTGAAGACTTTGCATGCAGACCTTCTCAGCCTGATGCATGATGTGCTTGCTCATGCCCACTTGTGACTTGGCTTCGTCCCCATCAGGATGCAGAACATGGCGCAGTGAGAGCTAGAGAGTTCACAACGGCCTTTGGTTGGATGCATCGGCCTGGCATCGCGTCATTGATGTCAGCAGAGACGGCACCATAGGTTCCTGCTGGAGCTCCCGTCCGCAGGCCCGGGCTGCACTTCCCAACCACCACACGAGCTGGGCTGCAAGCCCGGGCCAGGTCTCCCCCCTCGAAGCTTCTGAATCCAATATGAGGAGGTCTTCCAGGAGTCAGCCAACTCCAGCACCTTCAGCAGGTAAAGGGCCTGGGGAGTGGAAGAAGCAGCTGCTGACCTGGCCTTGTTCTTGGTAGTAATGTCAAGTTGAGAAGCGCTTTTAGGGTCTCCTTGTTCTGTTTTCCGCTTGGCCACTTGTTTGATGGGTTTGCTTACAATGTTGTATGATGTGCTAAGCTTTTAGCCAATGCTGCACAAAGCAAAAAGTCAGTCGCAGACTTTGTACATGACGATATAGGGATTGCTCTCTGTTGGTCACTGTCTAGGTCAGCTGCAACATCGCGTGCTCAGCTTATAACTCACATGTTCATTTTTTGATAGGACGGACAAGTCGAGGGGACTCAGAGAAGGTGGAAGCATTGTTTGCACATTATGCCGATGACGAGGCGGATATCGGGTAAGCTCACCTCAACGAGACCCACTCTTGCAACACGAAGAATGATTGCACAGGGCTTGCTGATCATTGCTCGTGTTTGGATCTAACTCTGCTTTACTCTACCAGTAAAGAGAGTGTCATCCTCTACACTCACTAAACCCCCAACTTTCTCGCTATTTTGTTTGGCAGGCCCACTGGAGTGGAGAGACTGTGCGACGATCTGGGGATAAGCACAACTGACATCAGGATTCTCCTGCTGGCATGGTGAGAGTCCGAGGGGAAGTTAATTGTAGTGCTGCTACGTACACACTTCCATGTCTTAATTTCTCGCAACGGTTAAGATTCTCCGGCTTTGGGTTGTGTGAGGCAGGATAGATCTGCTTGATCCAAGCAAGTCTTTGGTTGCCAGGAGATTGAAGGCATCTCGGATGGGGTACTTTTCAAGAGATGAGTGGCGACAAGGCCTCAAGGGTCTGCGAGTCGACTCCCTGGATAAGTTGAAGAGGGTTCTTCCAAGTTTACAAGATGAGGTAAGGCTGCCAGCAACAGTTTCTGCCTTATCATCGCATCCGACGTCTTGACTGTCCAGCGCAGCCTTGTTTTCTTGTATGTGCAATCTGAGGTACCATGATAAGGAACATCTTTTGGCATGATGGTTCAACATTGAAGTGTCCCATCCTTTCCATTCGCATGCCTTTTATGCAGTAAAAGTAATTGATGAACTTTTTGTGTTTCAGGTTGCAAACCCGTACACTTTCAAGGAGTTTTACCAATTTGCCTTCAGATTCTGCTTAACCGGTGAGAGTTCAAACCAGGAAGCTCCTCCAGGGCCAAAACGATTTGAGACTTTCATGTTGATTCCTGTGCCAGCAGCTCTTGAGCAGGCTTAACTCCATCCTGCGCGTGTGGCTCTTTGAAAATACACCGTGGTTGCTGCGAGGCCCACTTGCACCAGAATTTTGACGTCACTACATTGTTCATTTATGTAAATGTTGCAGATTCTGATCGAGCTGTTCTCAATATTCACTCAGCACGGCACTTCCAAGGCCGTAAAAGCAGCGAGAGTATATGCATGTTCTGTCAGGAGAACAAACTTTGTCACTATGCGAGGATAGAGTGATGGTTTTCGGCTGGACGCAGACCACTATATCACTGTCGAATTCTCTACTTGCAGAACCATTGCAAAAGACGTTGGACATTGAAACAGCGACTGTGATGCTGGAGCTGGTTTTGGGGACCCACCCGCATCTTCCAACTTTTGTCCAGTTTCTCCAAGTAAGTGGGAGTTGCTGCCGTCAAGGTCTCACATTCGCACTTGACTCTTGTTTGCACGTTTGCAGATTGCTGACCACCGTGAAATAATGTGTACCTTTGCGAAATGATGATTAACCGCTACCTCACTCTACTTGGATCAGACCTGCCTATACCTTCCTTGTTCTTGAATGGAGCAGAGTTTTCCGTTTTGGATATGAGCTCTGTACTTCTAAGGAGTCCAGTTGACCTCACTGTGAGCTTGCTGACTAAACGATGGATTCGTTGCTGCTGCACTCATGCAGGAGCAGAAGGAGTACAAGGCTATCAACCTGGACCAGTGGACAGCATTCCTCCGGTTTTGCAACGAGGTGGGTGCGACTGCTTAAGTGACGCCCAGTCTGTGTAGGAGTGTTGTTCAAGTCCAATCCCTCAAATTTTTTGATGTGCTCTACTTTTCCCTTGTTCATCGCTTACAGTTGTCGTTCTTATGGCGGATATGCCAACAGGTGAAGCCGGATCTCAGTAACTACGACGAGAGCCAGGCCTGGCCGCTGCTGCTTGACAACTACGTGGAATGGGCAAAAGAGAAGCAGCATTGATTGTGCTAAACAGCGGAAGCTGCAAACTTGGAAAGCGCAGGTATTTCGAGCACATCTGATCGTGAAGAGCCAGACCTTTCTATACCTTGCGTTCTTGTCGAAGTCTCAGGTACTTACGAACTTGAGGTTGCCATCTTGTTAACTGGTTATTCTCATTTGTCCAAGGTATGTAGGTATGTCAAGTTTCACATAAGTATCCTTTGTCAGGTCGATTGACGCCTCTTGCTGGAGCGACGCATGCCTTAGCTGCCGATGCTGAGAAAAATGTCTGCCGTGGATACGAGAAACTCGTGAATTGTAGTCGACACTTTATCTTGATGGCGAGATCGGAGGAGGAAGATCATGTCGGTGACCTATCCAATCACATGATGCTCTTACACGAGGCATGGGGTCGGATTGGCACAAACTGGCACATGGCTGCTTTGACCAGGAATGACATGTTGTTCATTCTGCAACAGCGTTCAGTTTCCGGCAATCGGAATCCTGTCACCTGCCGAGCGCGCTGGCATGCCTTGATCTCTATTCCTTAGTGGAAAGTACGTCGTAAAGATTATCGGATTTTAGGGTCATAGTCTGCAATGGTATCAATATGAGATTAATAAGCTAGAAATCTAGACGTATAATCAATGCGTGAATGCATGACACGATACGCATGTTTATGCAACAGTCACTTCTAGCATCATGCTTAAGCCAATTGCATGGGCTCCACAGACATGCAACCATGCAACACTACATGGCCATGCTCATGCATGTGCATTATACGAATGCATCTATAACCGCCATGTCGACTTCCCCGGAGCATCAACAGTAAATATAACTCAGGTATTCAAACAGTTATGGCTCATCTGCCAACCGTGCGTGTCTGAAATACATATATATGCCGCATTGAAACAGTCGAGAGCTAGCTTTCGACAAGAATCCGTTTCTAGGCCGGATGAACGGATCAGTGACTTTGCATACAGATGCCAGCTATACATAGCTACTCGAATCATGCACGTTTGAGTAGCAATCGCGATGAGTCATGATGCGACGTGGAGGCTTGTCAAGATGAATGAGGAACTGTTCTTTCCGATGTCCGTGTCATTATCAGAGATACTGTTACATAGCCCAGAAACTATGCCTGGCAACCTTCATTCGTGCAGCCATGGGAACACTTTTGGCGACGTTGGAAAACGGGCAGTGAGCACCTCAACGCCGGTTTCCGTAACCAGCAATGTGTGCTCGAACTGGGCGCTTCTGCCACCGTCTTCGGTCACGGCAGTCCACCCGTCTGGCCACATGCGATCCCGCCAGACCCCTGGCAGAAAAGGACAAGGGCCTGTCTGTTGCTATCTTGTCTGGTGAGCTGCAAACCAAAGAGTTGTACGGAGCACACGAGCAACGATGCCTTGCTGCCACATCGGCAGTGACTAAAACATGAGCAAAGCGACACACCCGGCCTCAGGGCCAGACTGACCTGTGTTGATCATGGGTTCAATTGTGAATGTTTGGCCCGCTTTCATCACTCCGACCGCCTTATTCCGAGCGTAATGCGGGATGTTGGGCGCACAATGGAATAGGTCTCCTATGCCATGACCGCAGTACGACTTCACCTGCACGGGCCGCGAAAAGTGCGTCTTGTCTGCCCCTGAAGAGAGTCTCTCTTGGGCAGAGGAGAATGCGTCCGCTAACTATCAATCCGCACAGACAATGCTCTCAAAACACCCTCAGAAGCAACAACGTGACTGGGGCGTAGACGACACGAAAACCTCCGCAAGGAGACCTGTGCTGCATAGCAACGGTACCCACCACTTGGAAGGTGTTCATGGACGCATGTCGGCTGATGACCTCCCCCACCTCCCGGTACAACACGCCAGGCTTGACTGCAAGGCACAACAGGCGCGGCGGCACAATTACGGACCGGTCCAGTCGAACGCAATCTACTTTCCTCCATCTTCACAGGACCAGGACATGCAAGCACACCACCTGCGGCAATCCAACCCAGAACCAGCGTCAGAGCGAATGGATGGGGCATTCGCTCCCAGCAACCCGCATCGAAGCATGCGGACTGCCGAGCCGCTCGCACTGCTCGCCGTGTGGGGCGCATACCTATCTCGATGGCTTTCTGCATGCACTCGTAGGTGGTCTGTACCAGCCGTCGCGACACGTCGTCCACCTTGCCGACGAAGAAGGTCTCATTGAGGTCCCCGTGATAGCCGTTCAGAAACACTGAGACATCCACGTTCACGATGTCGCCCTCCGCGAGTGGCCGTGCGTCAGGGATGCCGTGGCAAATCACCTCGTTCACGGACCTGGGACGAGCGACAGACACGGTCTCTCCGAATCCGGTCTTTGCGGGAATAGCCGCCACTTTCCGCCAGCCACGAAACCGAGACCCCCAAACGGCCGCCAGGTTGCCGTTTGCTGGTTTGAAAGCTTTGAGGGAGTGCAGTTTTTACACCAGCCAGCGTGACAGGGCCGTATTTGACAAGTGCCTCAAGCGTCGGGTTTTTTCGACCGTTCCAAACTACACATCTTGAGGATCTGGAAAGACGCAGATGCAAAACAGAGAACGGAACTTGTGCGAAGTCAGCTTTGTCCTCGAGGAACACATACAGATTGCGCATAGACGATTTGCAAGACGCCTCGGACTTACGTGCAGGTGGACTTGGGGAAGTTGTGATAGTTGAGGGGGGAGGGGTATGCGCCGCCTGCGATGGTGGCCTCGTGCACGATGCGGTCAATCTCGTCCGTGGTGATGCCCGGCCGGATGGCCGCGGCAGCCGCGTCCAGGACCTCGCGCCCCAGCTGCACACATCACACCAGCGATGAGTCCCGCAGCAGTGGTGCGGCGCCAGCCAAGTTGGACGTAGCGAACGCGACAACCAGACAACTAACGGACACCAGAGAAGCTGCCCTCGTGCTTTGGCTTGCTCATGCACTTCAGGGATCAAGGCCACCCGGTGGATGAACAGAGTATTCGGTTCAAGTCTACTTGCTCAGCCCACCAGATCGTCGCGAATCTAGTCTTCGTAGGAGGATTCGGAGGATTCATCAACCAAAGTAAGTTCCCAAAAACGTCCTATGACTGTAAGAGGCACTGACAGTCCGCAATCATTGCCAGAAACCATCGCCAAATGTACGGCGGTGTTAAAACACAAAGAGCTGACCTTGCATGCTGCCCTGATGCCTGCAATTTGTTTTGGCGTCCGAATCTGCAGACAGAGACGAGGCTGTTTCGTGGAGGATGCCAGACACCGAGGTCACAGCGTAGACGTGCCTGGTGACCAGCGACCCAGCCGATCTGGCCCCCTCACTGACAGTGCGCTAAACGAGATGCAGAACTTCCGCCATGCAGTCGAAGTCTCTAGGAATGGACGTGAAACACGCAGTCCTCAGGATGCATTTGTGGAACACTTGACGACTAGAAGATCGGACCCAAACATCACTAAATTTCACAAGCGCAACAATCCTTTCACCTTCCAGGGACTTGGTTCTCAAGGTCTCAATCCACAGCAGCTGTTTGAATCTGGTGCCTCGAAATTTGCAACCATTTGCCTGGGACACTCCACGTGAGCAGCTACCCGACCAGCAGCCGCGTTTTCCTAGGCAGCCCATGCATCCCGAGGATCTGCCCTGGGTGCCCAAGACATCCTTGCCGGCATGCTGGTGCCCTGTCCGCTGCCCCTGCACAAGCGTCCCCTCACCTCCACAGTCCTCTGCTGTCTGCTCTCAATCTCCTGCTCCGGGTAGCCTGTTTCTGCCCACTCGGGCCGGGGGATGCTAGTGGGCACTCTTCGGCGAGGGGAAATGGGAAGCGGCCGCAGGTCACTGCACAGGAGCCAAGACGCAGCTTCAGGTAACAGCTTGTTGCTGCGGCACCGACATTTTGGCAGGCAGGCTGGACTGGGCCCGCAGGCTGCATCCGTGAGTAGAAGTCCTGAACATGGTATGGATAGCATACAGTGGCAGTTTCAATCGGCTGATCTAATGAGGGCTTATAAGAGCCTCGTCGGGTAGAGCCTCATCAGCTGTTTGACTCTTACAAACCCCTGAAAGTCCGCGCCCATCCTCCCCAGCTGGCCCCAGGCTCGGCCGTTGCCCCAACCCCCCGCCTATGCGGCTCACCCTGTCCAGGCGAACGTGGGGCACTGGTCGGTGCGCGCGGCCCCCTTCTTGGTGGCGTACAGCCAGCCCTTGGCCAGCGCGGCCTGCGCCAGGTCCAGCTTGGCGCCGGGCTCCGCCGGCAGCTGCACGCGGTGGTGCACCTTGTGGCCGGGCCAGTCCGCCTTGAAGCACGCCTGGCTGCAGTACGCCGACACGTCGCGGGGGAGCCGCATCTCCAGGCACTTGGGGCATCTGGAAAGGGCACACCACAACAATCATCCATCGAGTGCCATGTACGAAAGTGCGCCACTGCAGGAGTATCTGATTGAAGACCCCTTTGAGGTGATTGAAGAATTCCAGATGTTCTTTTATAGCGACCACATTGAGGTGACTGTAGAATAGCCAATGGTGCACTGTAGTGACGCACTCAGTATCTCAACTCTTTGAAAGCGGCATAAAGCCATGATGCCAGACCATACCCAAGAGCCCATCGGAGATGGTCAGGACGAGAGATGTTGCCCAAAGCACGTGGCGCACTCGACAGTCATCAAGAGTCAATGCTGAGGCTGCAAATAGAAACAACGGGAGAAGCCAATACCTTGGGCAAGTGTCCAGCTGCTCCTGGCAGTAGACGTGCAGAGTGGCAAGCATCGCATACTGCCGCAGGCAAGCAATTGGCAGGAGAACCCACTCAACCCTGACTTATCCTGAATCTGCACACTTCGAGTTCACATGCAAAACGCTTTTAGAAAGGCTTTTCGTGCAGCGACTCTGTGACACCAATGTAAGTGTGCACAACGTGGGCCACAGTCCTCCAGACCCTATGAGGAAGTGCACCGAAGCAGACTCACTGTAGTTTTGCTGGTGCATCACATTTGACACATGGGATGCTTGATATGGGGTCCGCTGCTTTCCCTGCAGAACCTTCTGCCATCATCGTTGAGAGCGCACAGGCGCCCTCACAGGCAACACCGACCAGTTGTGGCAAGTGATTGACTGGCAATGGTCCTGCGCAGCCCCGACGTTCTGCCCCTCTGCAATGCAAGGCAAGAAGAACCTATCTGCAATCCCTTTCGATTTCCTGAGGCAATGACGAAGAAATGGAGGCCAGGTGGCAAAGCAACGTAGGTACCTACAACAAAATCATTTGCGCTCAGACCAGACATAGCATGGCACTGCAAGTTGCAGATTGGCTCTGCAAGGTGCCTCGACTCCTCGCCACTGTCGCTAGTAGTACAATAGAACGAAGTTGTAAAAGTGTTATCAGCCGAGTGTTACCCAGGCCAGCACTGTCGGCCACAATATTGCCGATGATCTTGTCGTCGCGGGTGCGGTAGCGCGTCATCCAAGGTCCCTGAACAAAGCACCGGACGCCCTAAGCTACTCCTTCAAACCACCGGGTATAGAGTAACTTATTAGTGGCATTCCTTCATGACCGAACAGTCACCGATTCTCTAGGTAGTCAATTACCAAACCGGGGTCTCAACCAGGCAAAAACACTGAAGCCTCAAGACCGAAGCTTACTAGTTACCAGCTCGGAAGCTTTAACCGTGATCAAGCTGACCCTCAGAAGCCACCCCGGTTGTCTTGCGGTTACCTAGCCCTTAACCAAGATATTGATGATCTTCACCGAGTGCCCGGAGTGTTAAAGATGCTGACGCACCTTGCGCGTAAAAGTAGCATTTGAACACTTTTACAACTTCGTTCTTTGACCTTTTTGCCTCACTGTCAGTGTCTGGCTCTAGCCTGTCCAGGCCCGAGCCAGAGCCTGCTCTCGTCCGACAGATATTTGTGGAATTTGAACCATTTTCTGTCCACAACACAGTATTAGATGGAGCAAAAGGCGCCGGCATGAAGGCGTCAGCTGGTTGACGCGACTATCTCGTGTTGCGATCCTCGTATGCGATTTCAGGTTCAACTCAAGAGACGTCAATACACGCGGCTTTGAATGACGGTTGTCCAGACCTCAGTCAACGTAAAATGATGGCTAAAACATGTTATATAACGCTGAAATTGATGGGCGCTTATGGTGGTCTACCCGCGGGATTTATTGAAATAGCATCGCTGGCAGAGCTAGCACTGCATGCGAGCAGGGCTGCACGCTGCCCGCAGGTCAAGCAATTCTGTCGCTGTGCCCTGGGGCATAGAAGCATGGCCGCCAAGCGCAGCCTCTCGTTGATGCGAGCAGATTGGCAACTTCCTCAACTCAGGAGATTTGCTCAATTGAGTCAGGAAGTTGCAGTTTTGAATCATCCAGGAGGCACCTCACCAGTGTTTTCTCAGCAAGTAAAGGCAAGATCTGAGGTGCTCATTCCTCAGACAATTTTGCAAGGGCCGGCTAAGCAATCACTTGCAGATCTACATCACAGGAGTTTTCACCAAGCTAGCTGGCAAGGTGTGGAGGCTACGAGCTGCACTCAGATAGCTGATGACATCAGAACCCCTTGTTCTGCAGCCGCACAAGGTCTGTCAGAGGGGATAGAAGATCGGGCTTCATTTGGACAATCACCAAGCTATAATGCGAACAACCATCACTGGCCACACTTTGAGAGGGCTAACCTGCATTGCACCAGAGCCGAAGGCAGTAATGGAGGCTCATTTGCAGCGGCATTGTGGAAGAAATCTGTAGGGCATAAATTCCATACTCAAAGCTGGTGGAAGCAAAAATGGTTTACAGAAAGGCGTCAGGCAGCCGGCCTTTCGCCACTGAAACATAATGATGAGGAAGAAACACAAGTCTCCCGACAATCCTCTTGGGCAGTAGGTGAGGGATGGCTGGAAAATCAGCTGATTGTCGTCCGCCCAATGTTTGAGCTCTTGTATCTGAACTGCCGGGATCATGCTGCAATTGAAAGTTTGAAAAGAAGCAGTGACAACTTTTGCAGTTTACAAAAGGATCCCATTGAGATGGAACCCCCAATTTCGGAGTTTGATGTCATCATATTTGCACAAAATTAATTGCAGGCCACCTAAGTCAGTAGGTGGTATGTCCTAGGTACTTGTCTTCCTGAACGGATTGAAGGCCCTTGTGCATTCCGTATGTGATTAGGTGCATCAGTCCATGAGCACCTGGCGTTAGCTTGTCTGGACTCCATTCAACTTGCGACCTGCTGAAGGGCGCTGGATGGTGCAGGGAGGTATGAGAGCACACAGGCCAAGCCCCCTCTTCACGTCTTCCCTGAGGCTTTCAATGCTCCGCGGACGCCCCCTCCCACGGCGGCGGAGATCCAGAAGCAGGTGGTGGTGGACCACAGGTGGGGGGGCAGGCCGACACGGACCAGGGCAGGCATGCGCAAGAGTAGATTGGGACTACTGAAAAGTATCATTACATCTTGGCTCAAGCTTTAGGATGGCCAGAAGTGTCATGCCCTTTTCTGGTTCAAGCTAGCACGAATTGAGTATGCCTCTGAGTTTGAGCAACACTCTGTCCGGTTCATCTGACCCGCCAAGTGCGTTTTTGCAGTGAGCACGCGGTCAACGTGGCACTCATGATCAATGGCGTCGTCTTCTTTGGCAAGCTTCTTGTTTACTTCTGGACCTCCAGTGATGTTATGCTGGCAGAAGCAGTACATTCTCTTGCGGATATTGCAAATCAGGTGAGTGAAAGCCCTCGCACACGCGTTGATGAGGCCACAAGTGTACACAAAGGAGCAACAATGTCTGAGAAGATGTTCATATCTCTACTGGAAACTACTTCCACCCGTTGTTTTTGGCGTTTCTTGGTTTTTGAAATGACATCAGCCTCAATATCTTCCTTATGTTCTTGCAGGCACTACTAGCCTATGGCATATACCTCTCCAGAAGGGCTCCAGACAAGTGGCACCCGTGAGTCTTCACATCCTTGCTTGCACTTTTGTGCAAGCTGTCAACTTCTGACCTGCTTTCTGCAGACCTAAGAGCAGCCCATGAATGGCTACAAGTGAACGGAAGCTTACCTGGGTCATAGTACGATTTGGAATCATGTAACAGTCGATGCATTCAACAGCTGAAGTGAGACTTGTGCTGCAGGTACGGCTATGGGAAGGACCGCTTCATCTGGGCCCTCATCTCTGCCACCGGCATCTTCTGCTGTGGCGCGGGCATCAACATCGTGCATGGGGTACATTGCCTCATGGCACCAGAGGTGCGTGGACTCTGGCCCACTCGACCTGCGGGTCTCAAGGAGGGCTGTCGACAGTCCTTTTGCTTTCGAAGGACATGCTAGGCAATCCCAAGCTTCGTTTTTTGGTTGATTTCAACGGATGCTGTTGCAAATTTAGCAGAGCTGGAAGTTGATCGCCCCTGATGGATCCTGTCTCCAGGTCGTACCCAGCCTCTTGGTGGATTCATCTCGCAGGATGGCCTCCTCTACTGACCGCTTGCCTGCCTGTCCTCTGCAGCCTGTTGCAAACATCGGACTGGGGCTAGCCGTGTTGGCAGCATCGGGACTTGCAGAAGGTATGTGCGGCTCCTTCATTGCACTCATGAAGCTCCTCACCTTCTGTCCTGAGCAAGAGGCCCTTTCTTTGGAGCCTGGTTGCCTGCAGTGGCTTGATCTGGTTCACGTGGACGGCTTCGCACCAATGACGAACATTCCAGTCTGCTATGGGCCCCATTTGATAGCACGTAGATCGGTATTCAGTTTTCGAGGCAGGATCTCTTGGGTGGGCTACACCCCGTTTCTGGTTGCTTGGCCGTCCCGGTCACCTTGCCTCCATGCTGCTCTCTTGCTCTCATTTTGCGTTGCCCACCCGGGGTGCCCATACGTATGGCAGGCGGTTCGTTCTGGGTGGCGTACAAGGCGGTGCGGGACAGCGCCAAGGCGGAGAACATGCCCACCATCAAGTACCTCTGGGCGGGGCTCGACCCCACCGCCGTTGCGGTCCTCATGGAGGTGCGCGCTCTGTCCACTTCAGGCGGCCGTGGCCCTCGAGCCGCAGGAACAGCGGCGCCTTGCTTCTCATCCTGTCTTGCAATACGGCTCCCTTTGAAAACGGACGAGCAAGAGACTGGATGACACATCGCCTTCCTGATTCTTCATGAGTCACCAGTCTTTCGTCTGATCGAGTTACACGTCACCTGTTGGTGTTTGACAAGCATGAGGACGGGCTGGTCGTATACTCCAGTGGCACTGCTCTTCTCTCCAGGACGGCGCGGCGGTGATTGGCCTGGGCGTAGCTGCAGCGGCGCTGGTGGCAACCCACGCGACGGGGAACCCCGTGTATGACGCCATCGGCTCGATTGGGGTGGGCGTGCTGCTGGGAGGGGTGAGCACACAATTAGCCTGCTTAGATGACTGTCACGAGACGCAGGCAAAACTTCTATCAATACCACCACAACTTTCAAGCACATTGCCTAATCCCGCGTTAGCGAAGACGAGGCCTCGGTTCAAGAGATCTCGCCGTGATTCTCGTCTTCTCATGAAGCTGGCGTTACAGTCTTCGATGTTGCCTCATGGCTCGCGATGGGCCAGCTCGGTCGGTCTCCCCGCCCGCCCCCAGCAGTTTTGCAGCAGGTCACGCTCGTCCGGGGCGGTGCTGATTGCGGGCTCCCGCTGTGGCCCAGGTGGCGGCCTTTCTGATTCAGCGCAACCGGTCCGCCCTGCTGGGCCGCTCCATGGACGAGCACGAGATGCAGGAGCTGATGCACCTCCTCAAGGCCGACCCGGTGAGGGGGGCGCCACAGCTGCACGCCGGCCGCTGCGCCATTGCAGCACGCGCTGCCGCTGCCGCTGCAGCAGGTTGCCAGCGTTCTTTCCGTTGCACAGCTTGCGACCATGGTCCCATGAAGACTATCGCGCCGGGGTTGACGCCTCGTTGTTCATGGGAGCGTCAATCTTGTGGCTCCTTGTCACGTTCGAGTGTGGACGGTAGTGTGGACGTGACGCGTGCTGCATGGGTGTGCTGTGCCGCAGGTGGTGCACGCCATCTACGACGCCAAGAGCGAGGTGATCGGGCCCGGCGAGTTCAGGTTCAAGGCCGAGATTGGTGAGCCGCCAACGGACCCACACCTGTGCCTGTGTCGAGCCAACGCTGCCCCTCTGAGATATGATATCTCTCATGAGGAGCGTACTCTCAAAGACAGTCCCTCGACTGGCTCCGTCTTCCCTGCATTGCTTGTGCAGTCCTGAATCTCAAGCCCTCTCGTGCGCAGACTTTCGTGGCCACGTGGTGGTCCGCCACTTTCTCCAGCGCGCGGGCCACCGGCAGGTCCTGGATCATGTGAGGCGCCACCAGCAGGCTGCTCGCGGGTCCGGGCTGGCAGGCAGCCAGCCAGGGCACGCTCGGAACTGCGACACTCTCCTTTGCGTGACTTCTTTCTTTTTTCAGTTGCTGCTTGAGCAGTAGTGCGTTGCGGTCATCGAGTTCAAGAAGACGTATGGTTGGACTGTTGGTGACGCACTGAGTTTTTGCTTGGCGCTCGTTTGCAGTTTGAGAAGGCCCTCGCCAACAACACGGACGCTGCTGTTGAGGAAGCGCTGGAACAGTACGGTGAGGCGGCCCGCCCAGCCAAAGCACCGGCGGGCCGGCCCGCCGTCAGGGCTGCAGGCCTTTGTAGCATCAGCCGTAGTTTCTGCGAGCTTGCATTTCCACGATACGACCTGGCACGTGTAGTTTCTGTGTCCCAAGGCTTGTCGTTGGAGGTCAGCGCGTGTATGACTCGAGGTGTACTTCGTCATTGTGGTGCCCAGCAGCGATGCTCTGGTGAAAAGGCTCATGCTCAACTTTTTCGCTGCAGGTACTGCCATTGTGCAGTCAATCGGAGACGAAGTGGATCGACTCGAGCAGGTGATACAAAGGAAAGTGCCGGAGATGAGGCATGTTGATATTGAAGTCCACTCAAGATTTGGCAAATCTGCGTATCGATGATACCCCACTCAGCGTGGACGTTGAGCACTTGACATTCTTGTGTTTGAGACCTTAGATGGGGTAATTCTCCGACATTGTTTGTAAAACTTGCTCCAACGCGTTCTTTCCTATAAAAGATGGAAGACTTGTTCATGATTCGCGCGCTAGGACGATGTCCATGATTGAAGTGGGTAGCGGTCTATAGAGCAATTATGTGTCATTCAACGTGGAGTAACTTCTTTGGGCGAGCATCGTTGCCAGAAGAACATGATGATTGTATTTCACTAAATGTAGTATGTACAAAGCATTCAAGTGATGCCAGCAACTTAGAGTCGACAACCGAGTCGTGAAAAAATAATTAGGCGACGATATTAAGGTCACCACTCCGGATCGATAGGTTCAGTGCTTGATGCATGCGGTACCTGTTTCGTCCGGACGAGAGGCTTTTCACTAACTGAGCATATCATGTGCACTATCTTGTAACCCGGTGCCAGGCGCTTTGAATACAGCTGGACATGCTGTGGTTCAATCAATTGCTTAGATTGCACCGATGTCTTTTGGAACTCGTGGAGCCAAATAGCTCCTTAGAATGCAGCGGCTCGCCGCGCCATTAAATTGCATCAACTCATTGCTTCGGCCATGTATATAGTACGGGGTAGCTCTCGGCACCATAGTCAAAAGTATGGTATTGAATTCGGTATGTGTTTTCATGTCTACGCACGCCGTAGCCGCACCTGGGCCACCATGGCATCCGTCTTGCACCATGCCATCACGGGCATGCCATTGCATGCATACGTATGAACTTTGTGGATTTGTGCATACATGACTGACTGATGCATACAAGGTGGCGGCCAGTACTTCAAGGCCACCATGCATGGCCTTTATACTCCAGAAAAGCAAAAACGTGGCAAGGTGCATCACGTGGCATGGGTTCGTCACGAGGCATTTCAAAAGGGCGCAGGAAGCAAAGAGGGTTCGTCACGAGGACTTCCCGGAAGGTCACCCATTCCAGTACTGTTCTCGCCCACAGGCGTTTAGCTTCGGAGGTCTGATGGGATCCGGCGCAATAGCCTAGGTATGAACGAACCACGGCGACTATGTAATTATATGAATTATATACCTTGTATTAGCTAGATAGTCCCCTAGCTCCCATGCAACTAGTCGAAGCGCGGCTGAGTCTCAGACCAGTGCCTCAAGGCTCAGACTCAGAGTCAGAGTCAGAGTCAGAGTCATCCTTTGTCTGCTGGCGCCTCGGCCATACCGTACATTGATGATTGACAAGGATCAAAGCGCTGAACAGGTCAGTTGGCGCTATGCAGGCGCCATTCTCAACTCCGTGAATTCCTAATACTCAATGTCTTGATGAAATAGTGAGATTAAAACTCCGCTGCCAGCCGTCCTCCAGGCGGGGTTCTTGGGCCGTCCTGAGGTGGACCAGCATGACGCAGCATGAAGCAGACCAAAGTCCGCCAAACGACCCAGTGCATCGTGCACAGCAGGTATGCTCTGCAAAGCCCAATGCGTTTCATGCGACAGAGGACCAGCTGCTCTTGGAACTGCAAACTGCAGGTACCATGTGGCCTCTATGATCTAAGCTGCTCATCAGCTAGAGTCAGCTCACATGTTCACTTGGTTTGACACTGTGGTCAACCGTGCATTGCATCTGTATTGGTTGCACTCAAATTCCTCATCGGGCTATCCTTGCAGGATCCTAGCAATGCTGCAAGCGTCACAATTGGCGGTCCGCTGGGCGCTGCTGCCCCCCCCCCAACTTTGCGCCCGCTCTACTTGATGTGCATCTTCCTGTTCATCTGCTGGCTCAAGGTGACCACGGCAGGCATGCTCGGCTAACACACCACCTCATGATCAATCGGACCAGATCAGTGGAGGTTGAGAAGTTGCTGGGCAGCCTCTGGGAGGCATCTCCGTAGGACCTTGTCAGGCATGCGTGTGGAGTCATTCATTCGGCTGCCTTAGAGAGGGGAAGCCCATGTGCTGTTTTCCTGGTCATTTGGATCAACATGCTACGGCACTGGATGTGGAAGCACGTTCTCTGATGCAAAGCTGCCCTGCGGCTTCTTTTTCTTGCGCAGCCGTCGGAGCCGTTCCTAGTCGACTTTTACGTGGATATTAAAGGCCTCACAAACAAACAGGTATGGCCTCCCCCATCAATATGCAGCCCTTTTCCGTAGGCAGTGACAGCAAGCCAAAGTCTTCAAGCACCTCTGCAAGCATCCAGCAACAGTCCTCATGAGGACACCCATCAAGGCAGATGACCACCATATGACTTTGCCTGCATAGGTTCCATTTGGTAGAGCCCTCTGCCGGCCTCTGCCTGAGCCCCTGCCTTTTGGACACGAAGTGATGCGAGGCTGTGGGGCCTGACTGGGCCGTGTGTTTGTCTCGTCCTGCAGGTTGTTGACCGCGTGTTCCCCCTGTGGCAGTACAGCCACCTGCCCGCGCTCCTCCTGGTGGCCGTGGCCAGCGAGGCGGTCGGCTGCAAGGCGGTGGTGGTAGCCGGCGCGGTGTGCGGGGCTGCCACTGTGGCGCTCACGCTGTTCCCCACGCGCCTCGCGGTACTGCAGATGGCAGAGGTGAACGAGGGGGGCCACTAGCTAGCCCGCTGTGGGCTCAGGGGCTTTAGGGTGTCTTAGCTGCTGGCTATACGGAATTACTGCCCCTCTGGACGTTTCTGCAGACTCGTCTGCTTTTGAACTGTGGAGTTGGCTCTGTGTGAGTTTGACATACCTTTGAAAGTTTTTTGTGAATGAGCTCCATCATTCGTGACCGGGTGTTCGGCATGTGGCTCCATCCCGTCCCTTAGGCCAGTCCCTCTGTGCGCACCTCTGCCTCCTGGTTAGCTGGTAACCCCCTAGTAGGTTCCCCGGGGGATCCTTGAGGACGCTGGTTGAGTTCGTGTACACCGCCTGAGCATCTCCTTGTCCTTGTGGGTGGGTTCAGCTGACGGTGGCCCTCTCGATGGCAAGCCACTCCGCGGCATGGGCGCTCGTGTATGGCTCATTGCCCACTGGCCGCTACCAGATTGCGGCCCACTTCTCCAGGGCGGCTGCGCTGGCAGGCAAGGATGCTCACGTCCTCCAGCAGAACTTTCCCCTGCACAGCCTGATTGCGGTACCTTGAGATACCTTGCAACCAGTCAGGAGCCATTTGCCTGTTGTTTCCAGGTCCAGATATTGGTGTTGGTAGCATTGTGTCCAGTCAGTTCGTGGCAGCCTTGCGGGACTGTACCCATTCACTTGTCCGCCAGCATCCCGCGCTGCGCCTGCTGCTGTGTACGCCCCGCTCTGCTCTGCCTGTTCCCCTACTCCCCTGTTCCTGACGCATCCCCTCTCCCCCAGGCAGCTGCTTGGCCGCGGTGCTCGGCCAGCTGATGCGGCCCCGCTTCCCGCTGAAAACTCTGTTTGGCGCCTCCCTGGCGGGCCAGGCCGTCGCCTTCCTCGTTGCCTGCTGCCTGCCCGCCACCAGGAAGACGCCGCCCGCCCACGGTCAGCCCCGTACTTCGCTTTCGGAATCCTCTTGGGTAAACAGTGAAGTCCCAGGCTGCACTGACTGGAAGAGTTGACTTCACCTAGTGGAATTTATGGCGGCCGCCCGCCTGGCGAGCTGTGAAGTTGGTTTACCTCTAAATCACAGACGAAGGGGAAGAATGGCTGTCGTTTGTTGTCCCAAAACGATTCAAGATTATGTTCCATGAAAGTTATCAAGAGAAATGCAAAACATAACGCGAAGGCTCTTAGTTTCCTAAGTTAAGCCTGGGACCTTCGGTCAGAAAGGATGCTGCTCGATTCAGCAGCCGTGCAGACACATCTGACGGCCATTCTCAAGTGATGTTAAGTGATCGTTTTCATGTTTCGGCTTCTCTCGACACCTCTGAATGGTGCTTTCTTTCAATCTTTGAAGGAGATGCTCAAACTAAAAGTAAACGACCATACAGGACGGCTGCGCGGGCCTTGTCAAACGGCTAAGTCAGAATTCAGTCTACGGGCCTGCAGAGTCCCTTCGAGGGAACAACTCGGTCGAGGGCCGCGTGACAAGGCTTGTTTTTGTAAACCTCAGCTAAGCCGGAAAGTGAAGTACCTCGCCCCAGGCTCCTGCACTGTGACTAGAAGACCAGAGGGAGGGAGGTTTCCTTCGTCCCGAAGTAGTGCCAATCTCCCGTAGCTCCAGCCACGAACGCTCCTTTCGATCACGAAGGACCAGCCATAGTCGGTCAACCGGATCCCCGCTCCCTTTCCGTGCAGTGTCGGTGGAGGCCCAGAGCCCGGCAGACTCGGGGACTCCTCGCGGAGGCAAGGAGGGGGCGGCACCACCGGGCCTCGTCTCGAGTGCGGTGGCGGCAGTGGGTGCCTCGGCGGGTGCGCTGGGCGGGGCGGTGCAGGACGTGGGCATTGCGGTACGCGTGGAGGGCGTGCTCCCCTGGACGCTGTGGGCCGTTGCGGCGGGGGCGGTGCACCGCGCCACGCTCACCTACTGGCAGGTGACTACGCCAAGCTTTGCCTTGGCATTCTTATGATTCTTAAAACCATGCATTTCGCAGGAGCGTCCGGCCAACTCCAGTTCTCAAGATTCTATACTTATTACCACGATCAGGTGTTGGCAAGTCATGCAGAAGCTGATTGCCACACTGATTGCTTCGCTGCCTGGTCTCAGTCCGACAGCGCATGCTCGTTGGCTTGCCTGTCCGCGTCAAGCCCGTTCTGTGGCGTGCAGTCTCTGGTCCGTGTCAAGGGCGGCCCTTCTTCACGCGACTACAACGGCTACTTCTCCGCTGTTTCCTACCTGGCCGCCGCGGCCATTGCGTTTGCCACCTTCCGGGCCCCCTTGCGCCGGTTTCACTGGGCGGTGCTCCTGGGCAGCCCCGCGCTGTGCGGCGCCCTGCTGCTGGCCGCCGCACGCCCTGCCCCGCTGCTGTCCACCTACGCACTGCTGCTCGCGTACCAGGTCAGCCACGCCTGCCGCGCAGCGACTCCTCTGTGCAACCGAGCAGACGAGATGCACTGACAGAGGCATCCGCATTTATCTACTGGTGCGCCTCCAAAATCTTGAGCGAGCAAGTTTTTGGGTTGACGTCAGCTGCGTTCTCCCCTTCCTCGGGGGGCCCCATCGGCGGTGCGGCCTGCCTGTTCCGAGCTCCGCGCCAGTCCGTAATGCGTGCTGTTCTGCGTGCAGTGCGTGCACGAGGTGTCGGCCATCGTGTGCTCCACCGTGGTCGCCACCGCCATCGCCACTGCGGATGCCACCGCCACCAGCCGCGCCCTGCACCGCCTCTCCACCACGGCGTCGCGCGTCGCGCTGCTGCGCTCGACGGCGGACCAGCGCCTGGCCGTGCTGTTTGCTGGCACCGCCGCGGCCTCTGTGGCGGCGGAGGCGGGCATGCAGGCGGCGCTGCAGCACGGCCTGCGCCTCACCCTGCCGCAGCGCTTTGCCACCATGGGCGCTGCCCTCCTCGTGCTCGCGCTGGGCCTGGCGGGCGCGGGGGTGTACGCGACCGGCCTGGCGCCGCTGCGGCGGCTGCTGCTGCCCGCGGGAGCAGGGAGCAAGGCGGGGCTGGAGACGGGGCCAGTGGGGAGGCTTGGCGCCGCCCGGGGCCAGCCGACGTCGCCGTTCAGCAGACAGGAGAGCGCCCAGGAGCGCGTGCCCCTGCTGGGGACCTCGTAGCGTGGTCAACCGGAAGAAAGACTCCTTCAGGTGGCAGCGGCTGTCTGAGGAAGTTGCTCCGGCGATGGGACACCCCAGAACGGTAGATTCTTAGCCTGGCCGTAGAAGGACACAGTCGGAGGCCGTCAGCAGAGTCGAGAAGTTGTTTGACAATTGCTTGGAAATGAGAGTCACTTTAGAATAGGCTTGACTACCCCTGTCGCTTCAGATAGCAAACCAGACCATTTTTGAACTTTTGCTACTTATGGGTTGCGACAGTCCATTGACCCACGTGAGCGTCAGAGCAGCTGGCAATATTGGAGGTACATGATGAAGCTTGTAGGCCTAGAAAGGAAAGGCGACTGCAGGTCAGGTTGAGAAGCCCTGGGCTTCCAAACAAGGTGAAAGTAGAACACCTGTAGTCGCAAATGCCGCTTCTCAACGGAACAAGCCTAGAGGTTGAGCAGGTTTGGCCGAGGAAAGGTACAGTACGAAGGCAAGCGGTTGCGCCCGGCCGTCACTAGCAGCTGGCTGTGACGGCTGCACTGCAGCTGGTACCGTAAGTGGCTTGCACAGTACAATGAGGCTCTAGTTCTTAGATACAAAGTGCTGTTATGCATCGTCTTCAGTACAGTAACTTGGCTGAACGAAGTAAACCCATTGTGAGCTTTGCCACTTGGCCATCGCATTCGAGATCCTGTATCCTAGCTAGTGCAAGCTCAGCTCTTTTTCTCCATGCATCTTCAGAACGTGGATCGACACCCAATCGATGGACGCATGACCAATTGGAACAATAAGCTCTGGGCAACCAAAATTGAAAGCTTCAGCTACTTGCGAGCAGAGTTTGAACTCGGATTATCGTTGCGGCACACGTTTCTCGGGTTGACCGTCCCTATTGCACGGATTCAGGAATGATGGCGGATCTCGGAAACGGTCACCTGCTTCACCTTTTCAATCATATATCTAAGCTCCCGCGAGTCATGAAGACTCGACCGCGGATTGAGTGTGCATGACTCCCGGCGCCCGGCATGCGTGCAGCAATGATGCATGTATAAAGTGGGTCATCAATCGTCTGAATAAACATATGGCCAAAGCGTCGAGACTACTTTTGAACGACTCATGCTCGAGACGTGGCAGACATGGTTGACGCCGCGTGCATCATCTGCAGACGTGCATTGAGAGCCTTGCCTAGCTGATGATAATACTGGGCAACGACGGTACACGTACTGCCGCCCAGGATTCCTCTTCAGTCACTAATTTTCGAGTGCAATGAGCCGTGCTCGCGGGCCGGGCACTCATAAGCCGGGATCCTGGGCTGTGCAGATTTGCATACGGTTGTTCAAGCCAGATTGACCATGAATATAGTTCTGGTGAGGATGGATTGTTCCGAGTTGACAAGCTTTAGGGTTGATCAACATGTATAGGTCTTTTATATAAAGTCGGACGGTGTTTCGTATGAAGCGCTGGTACTCTAGAAACGAAGAGCCGCCCGATGAGCAAAGTGCATTGTACACGGCGGCCTCCCTCGAATGTTTCGACGCATCCATCCACCGACTCATGCAGACCTTCATCCTCGTCCAGAAAATCCATAAATCACGGGATGGACGTCCCCCGGCCACACGAAATGACGGACAGTGTCATACAGAGACCTCCAACGGACCCACTGGTCCTGCGCCACGTGGCCGCCAGAAGCCCGCCTGGGCTACAGGACGACGACCCGCTCTGCTGCGTCCTCGAACAGCTGGCGCGGCCGCGCGGCCACCTTGAAGGGCTTCGGCGAGATCTGGCGCATGAGCCGCTCCGAGTTCGCCCGCTCCAGCTTCTGGGCCTCCTCCTGGATGCCGTACCTGCACACACAGCCCGCCGCCCCTCACCCGGCTGCCAGCGCCCACGTGGCACGCGAATTGGCACAATCACGGGGATGCACGCCACACGCGCCAAGCGTGCTTTGCTGCAAACCGTGGCACGCCTCGCGCAGGAATTCAGCAGCTGCAAGACAACAGGGAACCAGATCTTGTCTTTGGATTGCTTTTCGACGAGCAGCCCCCACCTGGTCCCCTGGCTGATGCCCGCGCCGTTGACGTTCTCCGTGTTCAGCCGGTCCGCCCCTACCGCGGTCAGGAAGGGGCGGGGGGACACCGCGAGGCGCGCGCTCTGCTGCCGCTCCAGGCGCTCGCGGTCCTCCACCGCCGCGTACGGCGACGCCGCCTGCACGCTCAGCCGGCTCCCGGGCGAGTGCGCGTGGCTGCTGTCCCGCCCGCTCACGTACCCCGACCGCGTGCCTCCCCGGGAGAAGTCGCACGCAGGGCCGTCTCATAGTCGGCCGCACGCTGGATGAGGTCCGAGATGGAGGCGCCCCGGCTGGTCGACCGGGCCAGCGACGACTCCGCCTGGAGCAGACCCGCGCGCAGGGGCGCCAGGTCGAGCGGCTGCACGCGCGCGCCCCCCGCCCTCTCCACCTGCCCCGCGCTGCTCGGGGCGCTCGGGGGCTCGCTCAGGCTGCCCGAATGCGAGGACGACGTGCTGGTTCCCGTGGCGGAGCCCGGGCGGCCCGCGGTGTGCACGGTGTGCCAGAGGTGCTCCTCCACGGAGAGGCCGTCCAGCGCGGGCACCCCGCCCGCGTGGCGTGGGGCGCGGAACACCCCCGGGCACGAGCGCGTGCTCACGAGGTGGTGGCTCTGCCGCAGCACCGCCTGGTACTGCGCCGCTGCAGTAGCGCGCACCGCGGCAGCCGCGTCGGCCGCCTGCTGCTCGTACGACTCTGCACAGCAATGCAGCGCACGTGACGGGAAGTCGAGAAGAGGCAGGTCAAGGCCCGTCGCATGGTGCACCGATTGGAAGACTAGTGCGATGGGACGCGCTGACCCGGGCGGGAATCAAGGCAACGGCTGACCAGAATCCCTTTCGTGCCCTGCTTCACGGACTCAACGAGCGCCTTTGGAAGACCTAAACCCGTTCTCCATTTCAGCAGATTCAGTGATCGATGAGGCGTAATCCCAAACGGCCGTGAAAGGTTCCAGCGCACCTTGCAAGTGTGCACGCAGGCGCTCCGTGGTATGCAGAACAGCAGCAATGTAGGCGGCGCGTGCGTAGTAGCTGTGGCGGTACTTGCGGCTGTGGAAGCCGCGGAAGTGGCGCTGGATCACGGTGGCGGCCGCGTGGAAGTAGGCCAGCCGCAGCGCACGGTCGCGCTGCCACACGCAGGCCACAGCAGCGGGGGTGAGCGGGAGCAGCAGGACACGGCCAGGCGAGCGAGAAGAGGGACGACAGAGGAGCACCATGCTAGACTCTGCACTGTCGAGGTTCTTGAGGAGAAGCGCAGATGGTCACGTGAGCAATGGTTGCAACGTCTCGGAGCCAGGCTGTCATATGTGTAACTGGTCGAGTGGACGCAAATGAAGCTCTCAGGTCGATATAAGCAGATTCCCGAACAACACGGTCAAGAATCACACCAGTGACGAGCTTCTATCTGCCTACGAGATCTAGTTGGCTGATTGTCAACCATTGCGGCTTCGTGGCATTGAGGCGGTGCAGTCTTGCGGCAGCAGCAAGGAGACGTGTTGAGCTGCTGGTACCTGAGGGCAGCCTGTTGTGTCTAAACTTCAGGTCTCATGCTGGCGGAGCAGGGAGGGGCGCTCACCTGTCTGCGGCAGGCTGCTGCGTACTGCCTGCCAAGGTGGCCGCGGTAGCAACGCTGGATCACAGTACACGTGGCAGCCAGGCGGGCCAGGCTGCACCGCAGGAAGAAGCCCCGCCAGGCACTCTGGATGCGCACCGCAGCCGCCGTCTCGTGGGGTCGGTGCGCCTCCGCTTCTCTGGCAAGAGCAGCAGAAGCAGCAGGGCAGCGGGGTCAGCCGTGACCCATCTGCAGTGGCAGCTGAGTCTACAGCTTACTTGAAAAGACAGTCATCAAGAAGAAGCTTTGAATCTGACTTGTATGCTAAGCGCTTGGCTGGACAGCCTGCCTCTGGCAGCGTGCAGCAAGGGCCGTGCTGGGGCCCCTGCAGCCAACGGGGCAGACCGCAGCAGGACAGAGCGGTAAAGAAGCGCTTGCAATGGCCCATGGAAGGGTACCTCAACGGGTTACCCCCCACAGCAATCAGCTCCTGAAACCCACCGGCATGGCCCATGCTTTATCTTGGCATTCTTGCTCAACCAAGAAGAGATGGAAAGCTAGGGGCTCGCTGCCTGTGACTGCATAAGCCAATTCGCTTGCGCCAGCTCCCCCATGATGGTGACACAACGTGGAGCGGCGGCACCTACCTCAGCATTGCAAAGTAGTCCGCCACGACGTCATCCTGCAGCAGGGCCAGCCGGTCCTCCAGGGACGCCATGCCCGTGGGGCACCAGTCCCAGTGGCCGGCCGGGGCCACCAGCGAGCAGGACGACACGGCCCTGCTCCGGCAGGATGCGTCAAAGCTCAAGGCCTTGCTCTTGAGGTGCTGCACGTCGGAGCTGCATCCAAATTGTACGCAACATCAAGGAGCAGACCGAAGCGCTACACGAAGATACCGCCGGTACTGATTATTGCTGAAAGCTTCCAAGGGATGGGATCCGCGCTATATGCTGCCCCTGACTCTCCATCCACCAGCCTTTTGTTGGCGCATCAGTCCAAAAGTCTACTTGGGGCTTGACATTACGGTCCCGGCAGGTGGCATCGGCAGACTGTATCCTGATGGTCGTGCTGGCATAGGGCATGGATCGCAGGTGTCGCGCCACGGCTCTCAGCGGGGCTTAGCAAGTGCTGCATCCCGTTCTACTGGTTGCTGCGGCGCGGGTGCATATTTATACGATGCAATGTGCTGGATCAGCAAACCGGTCGTCCTAAGATAGATACTAATAGTCTCCGTTGGCATAAGGCTGGTGCCAGCCAGCCTCTGCAACCAGGGCGGCAACGTCCGGCGTCCAGCGTCGAAATCTGCAATTAATCAGGCGCAATATATTGCAGAGGTCGGGCGCTCAATTTCGTGTGCTTATTAAATTCATATCAAGCGAAGTCCACTACCAGACAAGAATGATGTTGTTAATCTTCAGACTCCAGAGTTCAAGTTCCATGTTTTGCTCTGGAACTTCTTCAGATCCGGAGAACCAATTACTGGCAAATTGCCCCCATTAAATTTCCAGGCGCTCAGTCAATGATGCAAGCCCACTGCAATACTTTGTAAGTAGAGTACATCAGGCCATATCTGATTTAGAATTCAAGATTAGGTGCTGTAGTTCTGTGTGATGTACTGTATTCTGTCACGGCTGCCGCCCCTCATGTGATAGGTACTGCACCGTTCGATTTCCAGGCCGCCCATCATAGAGTCACGTTGTTCCGTCCGCGCGCGAACAATGCTTATCGACGGAGCTGGCATTATTCCAGATCCACGTGGAATCATCGCAGGGCTATGTGACTGTGGCGCCGGCCGATTCTCCAATCGGCCGGCCGCCCAGTTGTACAATACGATTGCGCGTCGGATCGAGTCGGCGCGGCAGTACTCGTAAGCCGCGTGTGGCGTCCTCCGCATGCCACGTCGGCGTTGACCATTATGCCGCCGGTCAACGAGCAACTCTTTCCCCCCGGGGCCCGGACGCTACTGCACCCCGGGGCCCAGAGGTTTAGCCCCGAGATAATGGAAAAGCGGACCCGGGGCAGATTGGCTACAGCAGCAGTAATTAAAGTACCGTAGCGCCAAGGGAATTCACCACCTTTTTGTGCGAATAATTAATTTTCGAAAAATTCTAGGTTTCACCGAGCGGAATGGATATTTTCCAACATTTCGCACAAAAGGCGAATTTGGTTTTTTTGGCCCATTTTCCCCTATATTCCAGCAGTATGACAATACTTTTACCAATATTTTTCATTTCGTCATTTCAACCTCGGATTTCAAATAGTTTCAAAATTTTTACACCGACCCCTCAATATTTAATTTCAGGTGAATTCCCTTGGCGCTACGGTATCAATGTCTGAATTTGTTACTCTGGAGGTATGGATAATGGCAGGCACGTGATGTCTGGGCCGGGCGGGGGCCCGGGTGATCTTGCACTGCTTGGCGTCCGCCAGCTAGGGGCCCGGAGGAGCTAGCTAGTCGAGGGCCGAGTCACGAGTAATAATACGAGTCCGGTACGGTCGGGACTCGGGGCCCGGGGGTGGTCGGTCCCACTCAGATAGGGACATGGACATAAAATCCGCCGTTTTGATTGGGCCGCGTGTCAAAAAGACCACGTGTCGATCATAGACCGAGGTCCGAGTCGCCGGAAATAGAATTTGATGCAACGTCATTTGTTAGTCACTTAGTGACTTTCTAATAATCGGACGGTCTCAGTGACTCATTTACTGTATCGAACGGCCATCTGGGATCCATTTCATACTCCTGATATCGTCTTATACAAGCGATTATTCGGCCCTTATATCTCTCTTTTTCCTCTTTTCTTCCCTTTTCTCTCTTCTTTTCCCATGTTTCCCCTTGGCTGTGAGTGGGACCCCACCTGTGATTTCCGTTGGAAACGGCCAACAAACTTTTCAGCTACTCCAGCCGTCGACGTGTGCCCCGTGTGCATAATGCAGTAGTTGTTTGGTGGACAGGTCAACCATTCAGTAAGTACCCGGGCCGTTGAATTCGGTAGTGCTTAAGTGCGCTCTGGCTTGACCAAATATCGTCATTGGCAAATATCAACATTGCGAGTACACTAGTGCTCCAAAAGTTTGCGCCGCATTTTGTGAAAGCTAATACAAAGGCAGCGGAAGTCTCAACGACATTATGCACAGTGTTCGCCAGATTCGGTAGAGCCTGTCCGTCATGTGGGCCGTGGCCTTTCCGGTCCGCGTGCCATGCCAACCCAGCGGCGGTAAGATTCAAGAATCGCTTTCGAATCATGCTTTAGATACTTTCAAGGTGACGTCGAGGTCCATCATTGAGGAGATGGTATGTGTGTGCAAGAGCCGGCTACCCTGTTACACTGGCATGAGCCCACAACGCCTGCCCCAGCATCCTTCTTCCGCCGCTAGGCCACAACTCTACTGGAGGCTCTTGCTAACGAAGCCAACCTAAGCACGAGCCCCGCTTCTTTCCTGCGTGTGCATGCCGTGACTCGTGAGGGCTGCGCTCGCGCTAGCTAGAGGCAACACGCAAGAGGTTGCCCGTCAAGCACGGGGACTGCCCATTTGTTCGTGCAGGCGGCGGAGCAATGACACCGGAGTTTCTCCAGATGCACCAGAGTCCCTTACCTTGACGCGGGAGTGTAAAGCCAGAATTCCCGAATTTGTTCCAACCATTCCTACACAGTACCGCTATCGTCCTTGTACGGCACAGCAGGCTCATAGGGTCCCTGACTAAGGTGGTCCAAAGCCAGCCTTGATCAGCGCCATCGCCACAGTGCTCTTTTGCTTGAGATTCCCGAACAATCAGATAATGTAGAGCACACTGGCAGCAACCTGCCCCGCCGTATTACGTGGACAGACGCCCGCAGCAAGGGGCCTTCAAAGAGACGACCCGTCTGCCCCGCAAGTCCTGCCAGCAGCTGCCCCTTGCGGGAGGCCTCCCTCCTGGTCCTTCTCCCCTGCGGCGTGCCTGTCAAGCCAGCCTGCGGCAGCCAGCCCACGTGCCGTGACAGCTGGCGGTGGCCGCTCACCCCAGTGCCGGCTTTAAGGCCCGATGTCCAAGGCAGTCCTGGTGCTCAGCAGGGGGAGTGGTGACACCAGGCCCACAGCAAGCAGCTTGGAAGTCAGAGGCGGCTCCAGCGGCAGGAGAGCAGGGGCAGGGTCCGATGGCAACATGGGAGATGGCAGGCAAGGTGAGGGATCCCTGTGGCACACACTTTGCAGAGTCTGGCCATAGAGGCGGTGAGAGGCGGTTGCAAGAGTAGGTTCTCTCTTTTAGCTGCTCCAGAGCATAGCCTGCCCTTCCCCTCACTTTCTGTTGCCCAGTCTCAGCAGGGGCCAGCCCACGCACCTGTGTTGCCCTTCTCAAGGAGGCGCATCCCCTGCAGAGCAAGGAGCACACGAAGGCGCCCAGAGGGAGGGCCGCTCCTTGCAGCCCAGCACCAGCTTGGACACCCCCAGCGAGAGGAGCGCTGCGGAGCGCCACTCCCTGGAGCGCATGTTGAAGCAAGAGGGCGCTGGCCGCCTGCACGCCCTCCCTGACTCCCAGGGGGGGAACATGGCGGGAATGGCCAGCAGCGCAGCCAGCCACACACTGCTGCAAAAGGAGAGATGGCCCTGGGCAGAGGCTGCCAGCGGCAGCCCCGTCTCTGTGGAGGCACCCATAGGGGGTGCACCAGCTGGGAGAGGTGGAGATGGGCCTGCCGCCAAGTCCCAACAAGAGTTGACCAGTGGGGGGATGGAGGGCTTGACAGGGATGCGTGAAAAAAGGAAGAAATCTGAGAGCAAAGCAGTAGGCCTGCGCACTCCCCCTGGCAATGGGTGCAGTGATGTAGATGCCGGGTCTGGGGCAGTGGTGAAGCGGCGCTGAACAGAATCGACTCGGGGTGAGAGAGATACGGGCTAGAGAGACGATATACGA